CCCGTGTCCAGCAGGATTCGGGTACGCACTCCGTTAACCTCCCCTTCCACCAGCGACGTGGCCCCCGTGATCCCCGCCACCAGCTCCCGTAGCCAGTCGCCAGGAGTCACCGTTTCTGTGGGCGTTGTTGCTGGAACCTGTGTGGAGATCACTCGCTCGCCATTATTCTCATTATCGTCCATTTGTATCGGGACCGCGTCGATTGCACCCCTAGTTGGTCCGCTCTCTAGGGGGCGTTGGAGTTTAACCCCCGCGTCTGTCTCGCTCGGGTGATTTCATGACAGTCCCTCACTAGATGCCCTCGGCGATCGCACATATAACATGCCCGGGGAGGGGGGGCGGTTCCGTAGCGGGTCCCCTGTCCGCTCCCTCTCCCTCCCCCAGTACGCAGTTGCCCCACATCGGACTCTAATTGGGACACCCTCCCGGCTAGCCCCCCTACTGTCGAGCGTAGTTCCCCCATCTCAGACTGGAGGGCCTTCATATTTTTATTTGCTTCCTCGCGTGCTTGGGTTATCATATCCCCCACGCCGGCCTGTAACCCGGCTACCCACCCCGGGGTGGTCTCGCTGGGTCTCTGGGGCTCCCTTGCCCGTCCCCTTACTGCGGTGGCGAGCTCTTCCTCCTCGTCGGAGAGTAGGCTCGCTACGGCGCACTCTCGTCCCCTCCCTCGAGGCTGCGCGCGCTCACCCGAGAGTTTCTCGCATTTGCGCGCGCGCTTGACGAGGGTGTCAAAGGAGAGGCGTGCACCATCGACATTTGGCTGCCACCACGGGGTGTGTGCCAAATATCGCTGGACCTTCCCGGCGGCGAGGCCCTCAATTATTTTTGCCTCGTACTCTGGGTACGCGAGCTGGGTCAACATGCGTACGTCCTCGGCGTAATCTCGTAAATCTTCGCCGGGTTGGCGGCGGCGTGCCTCTAATGCCGCCTGCGCCTCCTCCTCATCATACTTGCCGAAGCGCTCTTCGAGTTGGCACATTAGTTCCTCCCAATGAGTTTGAGCGCTTGCGGGCAAAGCTTCCACAAAGTCAGCTGCCCGTCCATCTAAATGTAGTTCTAACTGCTGCAATGCCTCCTCATCTGTCCACCCATTAACCTTTTTAGCCCCCCTGATACTGCGGGCAAACGATTTCCATGATGGAATTCCTTTGCCCGTAAATGTGCATTTGATTTTAATCTGGGTTGGGGGGCCTCTTTCCCTTGGGGGTGCGGGGGATCGTCCCGTTTCTGACACCACTTTGTCGAGGTCGCTAGCCCCCGAGATCCCTCCCTCGATAATGTTAACGGCCGGGCTAGCATCATCAATCGCCCCCCCGCTGCTAAGCGAACCGCTGCTAAGTTCCTCACCCCTGGTGTGGGAGCCGTCGCCCGAGGATTCCCCTCCACCGCGGGTCCGCGTAATGGGCATGGTTAATTACCGATTAGTATTCTTCCCCTCTCTACTACGATACTTCCCTTTCCTAATCGCGCGCCTGCAACCCACACGGAGCGAACGCACGCACGCCCACACACACGCCGCTCCGCGCACTCCAACTCAACTCACGTTATACTCGCGCACCTGTATCACACACGGAGTGAACACACGCGACACCCACTCTCGCACCGCTCTGCGCAGCGCTCCCCCGAGGCGAGCCGCAGCACTACAGAATCACTGCGTACCCACGCGCAACCCGCGCGCTCAGCTCCGCGCAGCGCTCACTCACGTGGCGAACCACTGTGCACACAGCGCACCCACACGCTCACACTGCACGACAAGATCACGCGAGACCACGCTTCGCTATTAATGATTTATTATAGGCCACCTGCGAATTGATGTTGAATCAGTGAGTCGACGAGGCTGGCCTATTCCACTAAACCTGTACCTATTCCCTATTTATCGGCTTACGATACCCTACTTTACCTCCCCACTCACTGTTTGGTGCCCGCGGAGGTTCGCTGCTCTCTGCGCTAACAGCGTACCTCGATGCGTCGCACGGACGTCCGGGTCGCTGGCTGGAACTCCTGCTGGTCCGCTGGCCTGGAGAGAAGGGGCGATTTCCCCTCTCCGCTCCTCTATTTATCCTCCCTACCTCAAAGGGGATGCTGCGCTGAACAATGGGCTCGTGCACCCCAAGCCCGTGCACGGCGGTTCCCCGGGCGCTGTTGATATGCTAATCAGTGAGCGACGTTGGCGGCGTACATCCTAATTACTCCCTTACCCTTCCTAACAATGGGGCCTGCGCGCTCCAGCGCAATTATCCCAACCCCCCATGACTATGCGCAACAGCCCCTGTGACCCCGCTATTCATGCTGTCCCGTGCCTCCCCTGCTTGCCCCGTCGACCCGTGGGAGTGTGTGTGGGGGGAAAATGCGCCTCAACCGCGGTGGCCGAATGCCCCACGCCGCGACCACACCATATTAAGGCCGGCCGCGGCGCCGCGGTGCCACGTAGCACGGGGGGGGGGTCATCCAATTCCCTGATCGCCGGAAACCGTGAGAATTAATCCCGATAAGGGTCTCTCGGATAAAAACCGGTCGATCAGGTGACCTTCCCTTCCAGCTCTATGGGGGGGGGGGAATGCGTGCGGGTGTGTGCTTATGTGGGGCGGGTGATGGGGGGCAGTGCGGTGGGGGAAGCCGGGCGGCTCCCTGGTTCGGCAGAGCGGCCCCGTCGTTGTGGCACCACAATATTAATAGTGCGTGGTAATTCTGCTCATAATCACGTGTGATTGTCACACAACCATTTTAATGTAAAACAACTTGAGTTCTGAAGAAACAATGGCTTTTTCTCAAATGTTAATCTGCTGTTGATGTTCTATAGTTTACGGACTACAGTTTAGTTTTGGGCCTAACTCTCTTCCTGGATCTTGACACTAATGTAGAGGAGTATTGTTGTTCCACATTAATTAGTTGCGTGAAGCGTGTAACGATTTGATTTGTATTTGAACGGAGACGACTCTAAGGGGTCGTCCATAAATGATGTCACGCGATTTTGGACGATTTTTGACCCCCCCCCCCCCCCTTCGTCACACGGCGTCACAAAAACTCAGACCCCCCCCCCCTCAAATATGACGTCACAAAGCTTTTCCCACCTCCCCCCCCAAATAAAACATGCTTCAAATCGCTTTAAACTATTGTCATTGTAGTGCGTATTTAATGTGTCGCTGCACTCTGATGTTGTAGGAGAAAACATTTATTAAAAAATCTATTTAATTAAGTAGAACGTGTTGTCTATATTAATTTAAAGTTGCTCGTATTGATGTGACGTCACATTTCTCACCCCCCCCCCCCCTCGTCACACATGTCTGACCCCCCCGCCCCCCGCTAGGTGCGTGACGTCATTTATGGACGGCCCCCAATAAGTAACACACTACAGGATGCCCGAGACATTCTTCCACTTTGCTTGGTGTTCACTTGTGTATAGCGCCACCACGTGCCAGCAGTTATGTAACTGCATCAATGTAAAGCAGAACTCACGGGCATAAGTAGTACTAATCACATACCTGCATTTCCCATAAATATGCTAAATTCCTCTTAATATGCATATTCTTTTGTCAAGGTGCCCTTTTCCCCCCTTCCAACCCAGCTTATATATATATGCTCCAAGCACGTGTGCTGTTTCATTCAGACGCTGTCGCCTCGACAGACCTGGTTTTCACATGAGGACGGCTGCTTGCGTTGTGGCGGAAACGTCGTGAGAATTGTTTTATTATGTTTTATTTTTATTATTTTATTACTTCCCTTCTACGTGACTTTACCGAAAGAACCAAGAAGATCATCCATGTATGTTTATCTTATCGTATGTGAATGGGAACAACGCTTCTTGCCTCGGAACCGACATTTCATGAATGCCATCGTGCGTGTCAATAATCGAACTCTGAAAAATGGTCAACAGTCGAAATGTTAGCCGGTTGCATAACTTTATCTTTAAAAAAAAACCTTTAGTACCTGCACTGGATAGGGTTGCCCAAGCCATTGCAAGATCAGTAACAGAATATTTATTTAAACTGGAGGAATCCGATGAGCTATTAAGCTCTTTTTCTGGAAGATTATGCTGTTTTTTCCTGGATTTTCTGTTTGCACATAGTCACTTTAAGATTAATTTTGGAGCTTTCGTGACTGCAGGAATTATTCTTTGGTTCTTTCGGTTAAGTCATGTCTAAGATGTTTTCTTGTTCATGTTTTTGTTTTTTGTTTGTTGCGGTTGCACCCAATTCAAGAGCCGAATGGCTCACAGGGCTTCACCTAATAAATGAAACTGAAAACTGAAAAACAGACATCCAGTCGGGGTACGGGGTCAGAATGATACAATAACAATACAAAAAAACACTATCCAACAGCGGATAGACAATGGCTAATGATGATGAAGGCAGTGTTTGTTAATAACAGTGGAAGGTCTTCTTGGTTCTTTCGGTAAAGTGACGTAGAAGGGAAGTAATAAAATAATAAAAATAAAACATAATAAAATAATTCTCACGTGACTTTACCGAAAGAACCAAGAAGATGAATCCCTGCAGTCACGAAAGCTTTAAATCGAAATTTAACAGTGGAAGGTGTTATTGTGTCAATGCAGTCTCTCATTGTTGGGGGTGCCTACCACGTGACACAATAACCAAGGGGTGGGGGGGGTCACGTGACACCAGAACGCGATTGCTCGTGACGTCACGCGGCGGTGACGTTACATGACGCCAGAATGAGCCGCGTGACGCCAAAACGCGACTAATCGACACGTGACGTCACTCGCCAAGTGACTAACGAGCAATCGCGTTCTGTCGTCACGTGACCGTACATCACCCCTCGGCGCCCCCCACCCCGCCAACCGCCGCGTGACGTACCCAGAGCTCGCGCGCGCGCGCGCGTTGATTACGCAACAACCGCCGCGTGTCACGTGGGGGGTTGTTTTTTTTGGCTGGTGGGGGGGGCCGCGCGCGAGCAACCCCCCGCGACGCGCACCACGTGACCTTCACCCCCACCCCTACTTCCCCACCCCACTGCGCGCGCCACCACCCCCCCCCCATTCACTTGCCCCGCCCCCCCGCACGCGCCCTCTTCCCCCCCCGCCCCGCCCCTCATCAGGCGAGGGTCAAACATGGCGGCGCACTTCAAGATCGGCGAGCTCGTCTGGTGAGACGGGAGTTGTTCGCGCTCCACGTTCTTTCTTCGTTCCTCTTCGTTCTTGCCCTCCCTCCATCCCTCCGCCTCAAGCCCACCCACCCACCCACCCTCCGCACCTAACTCGCCTCGCCTCAGCCGTTCAACGTTTGTGTGTTGATGATGATGAAGAAGGCAGTGTTGTCCGTCCCCCCCCCCCTCCGTGAGCTCACCACCTCGTGCCTCTCTCTCTTTCTCTCCGTGCTTTTGTGTCCGTGCAGGGGCAAGATGGGCAAGTACCCGCCGTGGCCGGGCAAGGTACGCGCTGGGGTGGTGAGGGGGTATGGGGGAGTAGCTTAGGCCCAGGGCTAGGTGGGGGGGGCATGGCGGAGCGCGGTGTGGCTGGCGTGCGCCCTCCCTCATCATCTCCTCATCTCCATGGCCTCATCTCCATCTCCCTCATATCCTCATCTCCCACGAACACCCAAAAGCCAACGAGTTACTAACAACGACGCTTTATAACGCTGTAGTACAACGCCAAAAGTGAGATACACGGTCCATGTCCTGACAATGTTAATACTACAGGGACTGACTGGACTTGGTGTCGCCACCCAAACACTGTGTTGTGAATGATAATATTGGCCGAGAAAGCATCCGTGTTAAGTTTAATACTGGTGATGTACCAAACCGTACGGATGTGTACAATAAAGTACGACTGCAGTGATGGCAAACTATTAGAGCAACGCATCTAACACGACTGTTTTTAATTGCAAACACGAATTGCTTTCAAGGCGATGTACATTATTGTAGTACAATTACTACTGTATATCATCAGTACAGTACACACTGCATTTATTCCATTGATATCCCTGCACATTTTTCCACGTTAATTTGGCGTTTATTTTTCTTCTTTAGTTCGAGTTGTAGGTGGCCAGTGTTTTTACTTGTCTTCATTGCAAGTGTTTAAAACGCAAAACATCACTGATAACGCACGGTAACTCCTCACCTGCTCGTGTGAATAAATACTGAAAGCTCAAGTGTTGGGAAAAACCACCACAACTTTGTTGCGCCGCTCACACCCCCATCCATCGTTGCACTGCTCTCTCATGCCGACGAGACGACTACTGTGTGCTCCACTAAACCCTTCACTTCTCTAAAGCTCCAGATCCGTGCTCTCTTCATTGCAAGGCCCGCGGGTCACTGACAGCTGCTGGTGGCCTTTAGTACGGCCCCTGATGTGTGCCCCCCCCCTTCCCCCGACAATACACAACATTCATAATAAACATTTTTGGGTTAGATCGCGTTATTTATAAATGTGTCGTAACCCTCCACCACCCGACACGGGCAATCAGTAAACAAGTGTCACGTTGACAAAAGACAAATAGTTCACTACTTTAGCCCACCGGTGTGTTGAAGAGTGAATCCACATTTACAATTTTTGAGTACGACGTTTCGCTGGTAATTACATCCAGCATCATCGGGCAATTTGCCAGAACGTGTTAAATACACAACATGTGAAAAACACCCCCCCCGCCCCCCATCATCGTTCTGTCAAACTCCCAATCGTTTCAAATGTGTGGCGGCCCTCAACACTGATGATGTCTTATGAGCGAAAGTGGGCCCCCCCTCTGAAAATGAGTGAAGAACACTGCTCCAGATGATTCAACTTCAGATACCCTGGCCAGACTTGTGACCCGCGCCTGTAAACATGACCCAGTCATCCCGAACCTATAAAACTCAGGCAAACTAACAAAACTACACACATTATTTTTAAGACGGCGTTACTGACGAATAAGTATATAATCGGTGACTTTTTGGCCAATGGCCCTTCACAGCACTTCAAGAGGTCAGAGGTAGATTAATCGCCAAATATTTGGTTTTATTTTGAAGGCAAAATACATGAGCGTAAGGTGGTTGTGCAGTCCGCTACTTCCACCGCTTTTCTGCCATTCAGAACACTTGCTTCAGTTAATCCCTGGCGTGGACAAATTCATCTCTATGCACGCAGTGGTTGATTTGTTCTTAGTATTTTGTTGTTGCTACGTTTCTGCTTGCGTAGAAGTAGTGGACCAAATACTGGCTATGGCATTGGGAGGACCGGTGTTAAACACTTTTCCTTGATTTCGCTGGATCTGAGGTTAACGCCGCAGTGGAAATTGATACGTTTATATTATGAGATTGCACTAGAGAACCACGCAATAGTCAGGGCCTTTGTTTGAACTCGTATTTTACAACCCAGATGACAGTGTTAGTTATGTTTAAGACAAAACGAAAACACATCACAGGTGGGCCGCGAGGTTACGATCTCCCACCCAAAAAAAGAATTGACCTGCTACAGAAACGTCCAGGAATCACCTGGGGCGCCTCAACTGATTGCTGATCTAATCATTGGCACAGTATTGTGCTCCAGCCTGGTATGGCATCTCATGCACACAACTGTTGGATGCACAATTAAATAACACGACACCGACACAAATTCCATGGCGAACATTCTGCCATCATATAGGCACAGAGACATGCAAACTGCAACTACATTAACTCGTTTTATTGCCAATGACAACCTACCCATCAACCAAAACTTTTACAATTCACCTTGCCACTGACACAAGTCTGGATCCCCCTTCTGGGATAGTGCTGTCACTATTATAGAATCCTATCCAAATCAGGAAGAATGCTTGCGAACACGGTGGAACAACGTGGATTTCGAGTATAAACTCAGTTGAGACCCAACATCGTGCCTGCCTTTGACATTCCTCAAAGTCACTGGTGCACCATCAACCGCATCGGAACATCAGCAAGCCAATGGGTACACCTTCTTAATTGGAATATTAAAGGAAAGCCACACAGTGTGACTGGCCATGTGACCCAAACTGTAGACCATATAATAAACCACTGTTGTCGTCAGTGCTCCATGGAGGAATAGCACAACGACAAAAACCCTTTCCTGGAGCCCTCTCCTGGCTAGCAGACCTCAACATTTGCATTTAGGTCTTCTGCATTGTTGCCATATGCAAGAATAGAATTTCATTTAATCTCCTGCTAATCCATGCAGTTATTGCAGTGAGTACAATTACTATCCTAGTTGGTACATATTCAATTTCTCTCCATAATTAATCTCACGAAGTTAAATGTTCTTGTACCTCTTTGCAGATTGTGAAGCCACCAAAAGACATGAAGAAGCCAAAAGGAAAACCTTGTTATTTTGTTAAGTTTTTTGGAACCGAAGACCAGTAAGGAATTTTATCATGCTTTTGTCATGCAATTGTACGTGTAATTACTCAAATATGAGGACTTGTAATCCATGCGCTCCTGTTCACTGTATGCTCTCAGTGCCTGGATCAAAGTGGACCAGCTGAAGCCTTTTCAGCCACACAAGGAGGACATGGTAAAGGCGAACAAGAGCAAGCGCTTTCTACAGGCCCTCGATTCTGTGGAGGAATTTATTAACAAAAAGAAGGTGAGTTGTATTAATTGGCTTAAGATTTTTTTTAAAGGTGGATCAGAGTGCTTTCTCTGTCAATATGCCTTATCCTAATACTGCACTGTGAGCTCTTTCTTCCTGCAAATCCTCTTGCATATTGCCACCAGTTAATCACATATCTTACCAGTGAGATGAAGCATATACCAGTGAAATGAAGCCCCTGACCATGAAAATCTACGCAGCTTTGCGGAGTCGATATGTGATTTTTACGTCAACAAAGGTTCGCTGTTAGAGGGAAATATTTTGTCGCCATGGCCCCAAATGATGACTTATTTCCCACAGGCCTTCGTTTGAAGAATGTTACCTCTTGCTTAGCAATGCCAGCTTGAGTTTTAAGAGCATGGACATGGTTGTCTACATGGGCTTGCACAGCAGTTGGGGTAAATATGTTGTGGTTGGCTATGTATGCTGTATTAGTTTCACGACTCAATGTAGGATAGTATTATAGAGGAATTCAGACAAACACATTGTGAAAGACCCAGAGCAGAAGATCCCCTGGTTTTAATATTCCACGAAGCTCGTGGTCCACCTTAAACGACATCCGCACAAATTATGGCAGATGCAGATACCTGATGCACAAATGGAACATTTAAAACCTTCTAGTGTGCGACTGGTCATCCAGAACAGACCATACAATGCATCATGATACAATGCCCGATCCACAAATACGACGGAGACATTACAGCGATACACTTTTGGTGCTCCTGATGCGGTTGTCTGGCTTGACCACCTGAATGGGAAATTGTAGTTGTTGCCCCGCATTTACATCAGCCATACGAAAGAAGATGTAACAATTTGTCAGTAATTTAACTATATGGATTCAGCATTGTCAGGGTTTGCTCTCTGGCGAGAGCTGCGTAGTTAGTGAACTAGTTAGTGTTCAACCGGAATCAGTCGTGAATTTGAAATTGGGTCCCACGGTCCGATCAGACTTGAGAGGAGATTATTCGTCTTCTCTCTGTTTTGCCCAGGCGGCAGCAAGTGGTGAGACAGCCAAACGGGGGAAAAAGGAGGAGCAAAAAGAAGAGAAAAATGTTTCGCCCAAAAAATCCCCTGCGGGAAAGAAGGTGTGATTTTTGTCACAACTGTTATCATTCCATAAATGACAGCTTTGTTGGGAACCATGTAGTGAACAGATGTGCATTGCTCTTCAAATCATGCCCATGTAACCTTGAATGACACTGGTCACATGCACACCTGTACATCGCAGGTGAATGCATGGCACGTGTCATTTTTCACAGCCTGCATGTAATGTGCATGTGCAGTCGAAACTTTGCTTTGTTGCTTATCACTTTCTACCTTCATACTTTCTTCCTCTCTCTAGAATTTATCTCCTCTGCTATCAAAGTCCATCTCCTAACCCATTTAAAACACCATCTTGAGATGCATCTGCGTTTGCATGCTTTATTAATAATCAGTGCACCGGGTGATCCATTTATACATACACCATTGATTTCTCAATGAGCCTCTTCTCAACAGGTGATTTAATGTTGTGCAAGTGACAGCTCCGTATCTTACAGAGGAGAGTGTTGAACTTTGTAATGTGTGTATTGAGATTGGTGGGAGATACGCAGATGCTTTAAAGTATTTTTTTACAATTTCTAGAATATTTGTGGGGTATCTAGAAATGGATCGTCCTGTATACCCGAATATGCTCGATATAAGCACACACCTTGGGAGCAAGGCCATGTGTGCTTGTATCAGAAGTTGCCCTTCCCCTTTCACCCACCAGTGTAATGTAAAGGTGCATTGTGTATATATGAATTGTGTGTACTTAGTGTCTTTATTTCCAGGCTAAATATACACATTTTTCAAACCCACACAGTCTTACACTGATTCAATAGAAGATTTTATTAAAGTATTTTTCTTCAAAAATGTTTTATTCAAACTAATTCAGTGGAGGTTTGTAATGCTGCAAATATCAGGTGGTTGTGTGTTTTACTTAGAAAGTTGTATTGATTGTTGCTGTTAAATAGTGGTGATAAAAAAACATTCGAAAAATGTGCCTAATATTGTTTTAACAAAATAGGATTTTTTTGCATCAACTTTTTCACCACAAGTTGATGCAGACTTTATTCATTGCAAAAGGTTTCTATTTGGTGTTTGAACATCTTAACACAGCTGTTTTATTGCCAAAAATACTTATTTTTTCATATTGTTTTAGCAGTTTCATAGATTACTGCCATCTGCCAATACAAATACCTATAACTGAACAATCCAGGACCTTCAACTAATGATTGTAAATTATTTCATAGACATTCTTTAATTATAAACTGAGCACTTAAATACAATGTTGGCCTTTGTGCCTTTGACAGGTACCCGAGGTCTTGACAACAACTGCAATTGGGCCGGCCGCTATTATCAAGCGCACGGTAAGTACGGTTACCTCGGGGTCTGTGTATGAGACTACGATTACGTGTTGTTTTCCGTGCGCTTGAGAAATGGTATACTGAATAAATTTCTTGTGACAGCATGGAACCCTGTTGGTGTCCAGTGTTGAGGTGACTCAATACAAACAAAACACCAATACAATTATACAATTGCTTTAGGCTGGTACACTCGCTCTCTTTGCTCTTGCACATTTAATATCAATGAAGGGAGCCTTCCAGAGTTTGTTTTGCAAATATATGTCAAACACTTGGATCCTAAAGATATTCCTTGAATCGCCATTTGCCATGAGGGTTGCCTGCTTACCGTAACGCTCCTTTACCACGGGGGTATGTGTGTGTGCATGCGCATTATTTTCCATGGGTGTTAGTATGCGTTTTTTGTCGTCCATTAATGCCCATATCATCCTTTTAATCTATGAATCATAGCGCTGACCACGTGAACTGCAAGAGTCGAGTTAAAATATCAGGCATCTCTCTCCACTGCTTCAGTGTTCAATTAAATACCGTCTCATCTGTGGTCATATGCCCAGAACTATGCTTTTTTATATTTGCGCTTGAAGTGCATATGACCAACAAGTGATGTCTCTTTACGTAACGAGAGTGAAAATTCATTTTAAAAAACACGTTTTTAAAACTGCGGTTACTGCCAAAAGAATCTGTAGGAAAGTGAACAAAAATTAGCATGGATACATTTAGTACGCTTATTTCACTGATGAAAATAAAATGGGCAAGTTATTATAGTTTCTTCTTGTTTATTATTAGTTTAACCAGATGTAGGTTTGACTTTACAAGATCACCGTACACGCTAAATAGATGGAGTCGTGCCGTGCTATATGGTGTGGGTTGAGCATGTACCCAGTGATAATGTAGCAGTCTCTCGCATTTTGCTCAGGCCCCTCTCTCCATTGATGCCTCACTTTTCTGTTTCTTTTCTCAGCATGTTAAGGATGACCCCCACTTTAGACATTTCCTCCTGAGCCAGTCAGACAAGGTACAGTACTGATGTAACAAACATTCCCAGAAATAATGCGAATCACTCTTAAAAGCACAAACACATTGACATAAGCAGCACCGTTTATTCATTTGTAATAACCCAGATTTTTTACAATTCCGAAGTTGTATCAAACACACACACATATGGCCATAAGCATGCCATTCTTACCGCTGCTTGATTTCTTTTGATTGATACATTATAGTGTTAAACTAACTACATTACTTATAGCTTCTATAGAAATATCCGAGTGCCATTGTTTTACACAAACAATGTGCTTATTGACTACAATTTATCACAGGCAGATATTATATTATTTGCTTCCCAGAGCAACATAACGGATTATGATGACACACCTTGTGTAACATCCATGTTTTTCGGGAGTCCAAAACTTTGGAATTAAATTACCAAAAGTGCTAAGTGAGAGGGAATGACCCGGACATGTTACATCAGTTGCAGCAGAAACCAATAAATTGATCATTATACACAATTCAAACACTGTAGACACTCTTGCTCTGAACATTTCAAAACATCAATACTTTGGCAAAGTAATGATCCTTTGCTTGCTTCTGCTGTACATGATATATTTGTGGATATGGCCCAAATGTAATTGTCAATTTGGTTGGCTAGGCTTGGATGAATATTTACACAATAATTTTTACTCTTGATAGTCCAAAGTCCAATTCTTTTGCACTTTGGCTCCCCTTAACATCTCAAGCATGCCTCCTTTTTAGTCTTGCAATTCAAAATGCTTGCATGCTAAACATTGAATGCTGCTTTCATCATCAAAGCGCCACTGTCATACGCGAGGGCAGTTTATAAAGATTTCTGATGCTGCCAATTTTGCAACCACTGCTGGCCATTACATTCTGCTCTGCCAGTAGTTGTGATTGTGATGTATAGCTCCAATTAAAGTGGCAGGGGGTAGAAAAACATTGGTTAAGGAAACAATTATAGATAATCCTTTCTGACCAGTGAAACGTCCCACCCAAAAAGAGGTGGTTACCCCTTTTTTATAATGTAGACTTTACATTCTAACATCGTGTCGATATAAATCACAGTTATAGCCTATGAAGGTGTAACTTTGTAGTCTCTTCTTGAATTGTTTTCATCACAATTGTCTGCCCTTTTAAAATCAACCCAATACTTAACATTTAAGCAAACCCCCAAACAGTCACAGGAAATTTATTTAAATATAACAGGCCTTGCTCATGTTTTGATGTACAGATACTTTTGTTTTTAGTTGTGGGGGGAAAAAACATTGTTATAGATTCATTGTTTACATGCGGGTTTATATGATATGCCGTTAATAATGAGTGCTTATGTGTATTTTCGTCAGTCGTAGCATTATTAGGATTTATCATCCACTCGCATGTACAGTTAACGAACCTCTACTTCAGTGACAGTTCATGCAACGTTTGCTGTGTGCACCGAAACGACACGTTTTAACGTTCGCTAATTATCGAAAAGCATTAACGTCGCTCCGTTTTCCTAGCAGCCCAGTGGAAGCGCGAGCAGCTTCCACGCAGCGCCGCCTCCCAGCACTCTGCAGGCTGCATGCGCTGTGAGTGCCCTGCAGGCCGTACAGAGCCCGTCCTCCCTCCAGGTAGTCGGGAGCCCAAGCTTGACCGAGGCACCAGCGACGGAAGTCGGTGTAAGCCTTCTGCAGTGTGCAGGAGATGCGAGCAACCCGCAACCGCCTCCTCTCAACGGCGGCTCCTCTGAAACGTCATCTGAATCCCCCCAGCTTGGAGGGAGTGCAGTGGAATTTGCTGTAAAGTCAGAGGTGGGAATGCAATGTAGTGGCTTTAAAACAGAACTAAATTTCGTTGATATATATATATAACTTTTGCACTCTGTCGTTAATTGTTTCTTTTTTGAAGCCTGCTATAATATGGTATTGTAGTTGGGTCTCAATTCTTACATTGCCCTCTCACAAGCTTTGACATTGTCTGTATCACTGATGTAAAATTTGGATGCAATTTTCCATCTGGCCGATGTGGAAGTGTCAGCAAGAATATCGTCTAGAGATGCTTCTATAGCTCCCTCTAGTATGGAGGCCCTTTCCATAAGCAGTAGTACAAACAAGTAATTGCAGGGCTGCTGAACCTTCACCTCTTACATTACAGATCTGCACATCTTTAGTTCTAAAAGGTGTCAGTTTTGTTGCCAGATAAAAGGGTAAAAAAACAATGATCATATTTTGCTACTGACAAAGGAGGTTCCAATGGTGTAAATGCTTACCCCGAGGTCTCATACTCTGATGGTGCATTGTCTTTGAGTTGTGCGCCTTTTGGCGTCATCTGGTCCAACACCATGTGAGACGAGGCTCTAAGAAACGCTGTCTCGGGTGTGGACCAATCAATTTCAAGGACAGGTGCATACATTATCAGAGTTGTGTTTTTTGTTTAAATTCTGACCGCATGTATTGTGGTCAATGCAACACAGATAAAAGGGTAAAATACCAATTATCATATTTTGCTACTGGCAAAGGAGGTTCCAATGATCTTTAGTTCTAGTCTGAAACATTTCACAAGGTCGCATCATCATGTATTGTTGGTCATCTAGATGTGCCTTCTAAAGGATTGTGTGCTTGATGTTTCCACAGCACCTTACCACAGCGTCCGAGACAGGGGCCACGAACCATGTCACACTGGTAATAATTCTAGGCCAGCACACTAGTTGTCCACATCTTTACATTTCAGTCAAAACTGTATATGGTTTTTACTTGCATAATAGGGTTATTTTGGGTTAGATCGCGTAAATATATAAATGTGTCGTTAAACCCGCCCACCACCCGACACGGCCAACTAGTAAGGGTTGTCACGTAAACAGAACGCGGCCAATTCGTCACTAGTACAGCACGCCGGTGTGTAGGAGAGTCAAACCACAACATTTACAATCCGAGCACGACGTATCGCCAGTAATTATAACTAGCTTCATCAGGCGACAGACAGATTTGTGGAGAAGCCCAGCTGTTTCGTTCCTTATATGGAGGCGTAGATGTGGTGACCACACTTCTCTGCTCTTGAGTCAACGTCCATGATGAATGCGCATTATGCTGGCCCATTGATCTTGTCCTTCCTGTCCATTGTGTGTATTAAAATAGCCGTACTAATGGTAATCCCTATTGAAGTATGGTGGCCTGTTTTTGCTTGAGAAGTTAAGATGGAAAATCCCATTGTTGTGGTCCACAGGCTCTCGATTCAATTGTGGAGGTGGACATTTTGAAATTGTAAAAAAATGTGATCAAAATTATTTGATCGTTTGAATCATTAGGTGACAATCCATAAATGTAATGGACATTGTTTATGTAGCATTATAATGTTCCTTCCAGATTTGCCAGCAAAGTTTTTTTTTAATGATCACATTTTGTTGAATGCGGTGTGTAAATAAGTTTATGCATAATAATATTTTCGTGCCAGTTAACAGAATTGCTTATTTTACTTAGTGGCTATTTAGGTTTTATGTTTCATCTAATGCAACCTCATCACAGGGGGTCTGTACTAAACAGTGCAACATGGGTATCCTGGATGAAGGAATTTTAGTCTAGAAAGAGAAAGATAAAAGTTTTAGGCAGAGGAGAAGAGGGTGGTCTTGAGTCTAGACTTTGGCAAAGAGTCGACAACTTGTATGTCGAGGGAAAGAGAGTTCCAGACAGTGGGGGCAGCAGAGAAGGACGACTGAACTCCCACTAAACAATGGTTGGCTTCCAACAGGAGGCCTTCGTTGCTGGGAGTGGAGAGAGCATGTGAGGTGGAGTAGACTAAGAGTAGAGAGGCAGGCAGGGGTGAGTCCATGGAGGAACTTTAAAATGCTGTGTGATCTTGAAGTTGATCCAGGATGTGGATTTGGAGCCAGTAGCTTGACCTTGGGGGTGATGTCACGTGATTGGGAACGGATGATCGGCATTTTGAATCATCTTGAGTTTGGAGGTTCGTATTTGTGGAGGCCTTGGAGGAGAGAGTGGCAATTGTTGAGTCGGAATGTTATGAACACACAGAGATGGGAGTTTCAGATGCACCTTGGGAGAGAACCATGATGTACGTGGGAGATGTTGCGCAGACGGAGGTGTGAAACGGTGCATACCTTTGTGGGAAGAGAGTTTGGGATAAATGGCAACTCCAAGGTTTTGCACACACTGCCAGGAATAATGTCGGTTTAGGAGGTGCAAAATTGAACTGGAGTCTTTACTGAGTGTGGACTCTTTGGTAACATTTAGATGGAGAAAAAAAATTGATGACAGAAAGTCGGATGCAAGTTTGAACAGGGAGGTTGGGTTTCTGAAGCCAATCGCGGCAGAGTTGGCTGTAATCAGTATAGAAGTGATGGTTGACATTAACACTGGAGATGTTTTTCCAAGTGAATGAGTTGCTGAGACGATCAGGAGATTGCAAATTGAGCTGTGTAGTGCACTTTAGCACAGGGGTCTTTGGGAAGGAGACAGTCCTTGTATGGAAATGTATAAAGAGCAGTTTGAGAGGTAAGAGTGGAATGAGGAGATAATTCTGCTGGAGATGTCCTCATCGTGATGAGGATGCTCAAGAAACACGGCGTTAATCGATGGTGTCAAAAGCAACATCGGTCGATGAAAATTTGGAGTGAGAGTTATCCAGGACCTGAACAAAGAGAATAATTTTCCACACGTGAGAGAGCAGTTTCAAAAGAATGGCTTTGGCAGAAACCAGAATATACTGGGTCTTGGCTACTTTATAGAGAAACAGGTGGGTGGAGATAACCCTTTCTAGGACTTTTCCAATGTTAAGGAGGTTTGAGACGTGAAGGAAATTTACAGAGATGTTGGGCTCCAGTGTTGATGTTTTTCAGGGGGGCAGTCTTGAGCGCTACAGGAATGGTACCGGATGAGATGAAGGCAGTGACGAAGCAGGTGATGTGCAAAGGGTCGGGGTGGGGAGGTAGCGAGGGATGACTTGGTTGGGAGAGTAGAGGATCAGGGCTGTTTAGAATGGAGGTGATTATCGTAATTATGTTTTTGGTGACAGACTTAAGGGGTACGTCAATTACTTGTGCTGCTTCATCCTTTGTTCTGCCAGGGCATGCCACTCGCATCTGTCCAGGCGGCAGATACTACCGCAGCAAATGGAAACATCACGCCCATCGACAAACGGTTGGTGAACTTTGCCGTCGAGGTTGCTGCGGGTGTTTTGCTTGGATTTTGTCTTTCGGTAAAGTCAGGTAGAAGGGAAATAATAAAATAATAAAAATAAACACTAAAATTATCACGACGTTTCGATTGCAACACAAGCAATCATCAGGTGTGAAAACCACAGCAAGAAAACAGCAAGAACATTTTCTTGCTGTGGTTTTCACACCTGATGATGATTGCATGTGTTGCAATCGAAACGTCGTGAGAATTTCATCGTTTTATTTTTCTTATTTTGTTATTTCCCTTCTGTGACTTTACCGAAAGAACCAAGAATATGAATCCCTGCAGTCACGAAAGCTCTAAATCGAAATTTAGTAGTTGATTAATCACAGAGCTAATGTATATTTTAATATCAATAGATTGGTGTCGGTAGTAATGACTGCAGAAGAAGTGCTCTACTGTACACATACACAATAGCAACTGTGAAAGACTTCTCCCAGACATATAGCCATTACAGCGCACAATTGATTAACGGGACCTCACGTTAACAACGGTTTATTTTTGTTGGCGTTGAGTCTATTTTGGTTTTATTTTTGACACTAACCTGGGCTCAGCGCCTCCTCCCACATGCTGCTGTCAAGCGTCTCACCATGGTCTTAACCCCGGTGTCTGTCCCCCTCTTCTTATATGGAGGGTCATGGTAAATCTGACACGCTATGAAGAAGGGCAGTCACCTAAAACGTCACCTGTAGGCAGTGTTGTTGACGAATTAGGGTTTTTATTCACTTGCGCACCATTGCCGGCGCAGTATCACCAAATTATTCGTCATGTTCGAGATTAGTATTGTGTGGAAGGAAAAATGTTGGGTTTTGTTATAAGCACTTGGCAGTGTTGCAAAGCGTGAAACTCGCTTGCAGTTGACGAGGTTGCATGCTATATTTGATCCTTATGGCGGTACCCTGGGGTACCAAATAATACCAAATGGCCAAGGCAATTAAATATTTTATTTCTGGGACACTTTTTTTTCCAGGGGTGTTAACTCCGCGACTGGGGTACCAATCCGAAATCAGTGCCACTCCGCGATGTCGAAACGCAGCGAGGACGATTGCGCCGAAACACTGAATGCTCGTATGCGCCGTGGTAGTGCATCGTGTACAGCTCATCGAGATGAGTCGATTGCCGCATCGCCGATCATCAACAGACTAAAGATGACTGCATCACGGACATTGTGCGAGAGCCGGGGTAATCTGGTACCCCAGGGTACCGCCATAAGGTTAATTTGGCCTCCGGTCGTCATGCTCAGTGTAGCGATGTGTGCACTTCTTGCCTTCCTGTGCCCTACAGGATAGGCTTCCTGGGACTTGGCCTCATGGGCTGTGGAATGGTCCAGAATCTGTTGAAGACTGGCCACAATGTTACTGTTTGGAGTAGAACGGCTAGTAAGGTAAGAGATATGCAGTCAAGGGTTCGATTTATGGAATATACAGTTGATCATTGATGATATTATCCGGGGGGGAAGGGGGCGCCGTATTTTCAAAAACGCCGCTTATTTTTGCACATTCTTGCATAACATGTTTTGGGTGTTGTGTATATGTGTTTTTTAAAATGTGTTTACTATATAAAATTGGCATGGAAAGGAGTCCCTTCGCCGTACGCACGCACAACAGCTGCGCCAGAGTAGGATTGGCATGCTAATGCAAACGAGCACAATGGGAAATGAGCCGGGTCTTACTTAGCCTTGGGTGACACCCACCTCAAACCTATATATAACCTCTTGTTACAACAGCTCTTTCTTGTTCAGCAGTTCTACTGCTGTATCTTTCTACCTGATGACGATTGCCTGTGTTGCGATCGAAACCTAAGAGTATGGATTCCTGCAGTCACGAAAACTTCCAATCAAGATTGTATCGGCATTCATCGACACTGACTGAACTATGTTTCCCCGTTCCTAGTGCGACATATTTGTGCAAGATGGAGCCTACCTTGGAAGAACGCCTGCGGAGGTTGTGTCCTCCTGTGACATCACCCTTGCTTGCATTGCTGATCCTGCAGCTGCTAAAGAGGTATGTGTGAACCCATGCAGCTGGGAGAAGATGGACAACTGAAATTGAGCATTGTGCCAACATTCCTCCTCGTTGAAATTTATTGTGATCTGATAAGGCCGCACTCATTACACACAACGTGCTTGCCACAAATAAACCACAAGACCTTGCCGATCTCGTCAAGGAGCGTAAACCCACACGTAAACTCCCAGTCATCCTCGCAGCGGCTTTTGGCTAACCATCGAACAAAGACGGCCACTGCATCGCGCGCTTTCAAATGCGCTTCTGCGGCTGTTTGGAACACTCTTCTGATATTTAAAAGCCACTGGAGCTACACATTTTCTAATTTATATTTAATACCTATTTAGAAATGCTTTCTGTGTTCAGTTGTCCTTCGCCCCTGCACCTCCGATTAGCGCGGTTGGCTACGTACGGTGCGAAAGAAGGTCAACGTGCGTACGAGTGTGGCTGAGCTTGTTTGCGCACTGTGAATGTGCCGGAGCATATGTGCGGAAGCTTCTGGAGCTTAACATCACAAGAAGGCTCACTAAATATCCACGATCACTCAAAAAAATTTTCATCACAGGTATATTTGCTATTAAAGGTTTGTCATCTTGATTAGTTTATTGTGTTGAATCACTGCGAGTTCAGATGTGTTACCATAAACGAACTACATGAAGATGAACGAAATACAGAAAGTGTTATCGCAGCAAATAAATACGAATAAACTATACGTATGTACCCAGCAATGCTTTAAATAAATGTGATTTAGCATGTAACATGCTGATATTTCAATGTAATGTATATATTGTTTTACAGGCAATATACTGTGTATGTATACTGTTTAATCCTTGTCCCTCTGTTCTTCTTCGTGTGATGCCAGCTGGTTCTGGGGCCCAGTGGAGTACTGCAGGGGATTAGACCTGGGAAGTGCTACGTAGACATGTCTACAGTGGATCCAGAGACGGCTGTTGACATTTCAGAGGTTTGTCCTTTCTACGTGTAGCATTATTATATCTGTAACACCATCCCGGTTTGCATCTCGCCTCGTTGGTGCTTACATTGTCAGAAAAAGGACCTTGCAGTGATAGTAGTAACTGAGTGCAGTGATATTAGAAACGGTATTGTTGCCACATTTAAAAACACATTCCTGCGGAGTGAGCTGGTAAGAACGTTGGGTTGCTCGGTCAATGGCCAGGGTCAACGGCGGCGTGGTGTATTCCGCAAATATGGCCGACTGTGAGGGCGGGCACAAGCCGGCGTGAGTAGGTTAAACGTTGAGTTTTATAAGGGCACCACGGGGTGACCAGCCCCTCCCCACCCCACCTCACCCCTCCCACCCCCCACCCACCCCCTCCCCACCCTCCCCTCCCCACCCAGCCCCTCCCTGCACGACGGATGGACACAATAATCCCTTGTGGGCTGGTGTAACCAGGAGGTTCCTACCAGTAATATTCCCCTCTAGTACCTAATTAGCGTGGCCATTGATGTTTTCAGCGATGGATACATCTCGTTTGTGGGCTGATAGAAAGCAATGGGAGCCTCGTGTGATTGTGGGCCGTATGAATTGCAGTCACTAGCTGTATGAAGTGTTGCATCATGGGCTGTTTGAAGTGAAGTCACAGGCTGCAGTTTCCCTACCCCGGTTGTTGAGGACCAATGTTGTATTGCTCTACTGCAGCCATGCGCTTGCACCCAGCCGCTACACTCTCCTGCCTCTGCCTCTCTATTTCAGGCTGTAACGCTGCGTGGCGGTCGGTACTTGGAGGCGCCCGTGTCAGGAAACAAGCGCTTGTCGGAGGACGGCGGTCTGCTTGTGCTGGCCGCGGGGGACCGTGCTCTCTATGACGAGTGCAATAGCTGCTTCCAGGCCATCTGCCGGCGTGCCTTCTACCTCGGTGAGTGAGCCCAGCACCCCGCACAAGTAAGTTACGTGTGTGGATTTTGTAGCGCTTTAAAGCCTTTTAAACTATGAAGCATTGTGTTGGCGGTGTTGAAGCTGATGGGTCGCCCTCGGGGCACAAAACATGTTTGCATGTTGTAAATAGTCCTTCACGCCCTGGTTTGGGTCTCCCAAGTATTTTTGGGCAACCGTTTAATAAATGCGGCCAAATATCAGAAGGGCAAGTTTCAAATAGCTATACAACTTGAAAATGGCATTCGGTTCACGTCGGATATTTACGAGAATTATTGTACGAAAAATTTGATTGTCTCTACGAGAACTCTCATTTACAATAACGCTCATAAAGATGCTCCCATATGTGAACCAAACTGTTGTCATCAAGTTATCGTATTGAATCATCTTACGAGTGTCAACGTGCATCCCACACCCCCGTTACGCGTCGAGACGGATAACATTAATGCTTGAACGCTTTTCACCTGATGCGTGTCGACGAGCTTTTAGAAATGCTTCTTTGTCACCAAAGATGACCTCTTTGCTGGGCCCCGACCCCCCCTGCGTTTGTAGGCGAAGTGGGCAGCGCGGCGCGGATGGCCTTGGTGGTCAACATGATCTTGGGAAGCTTCATGACGTCCTTGGCAGAGGGCTTCTCCCTGGCACAGCGATGTGGTCTCTCCCAGCAAACCCTGCTGGATGTCCTGAGCCTGGGTCCCATTGGAAGTTCGCTCGTGGAACAGAAGGGGCTTGGTGAGATTTTACAACTCGGCCTTTTACTGAACCACGAATTTTTTTTTTTTAATAATTGTATTTACTCCTATTCTTGGTTCTTTCGGTAAAGTCACGTAGAAGGGAAACAATAAAATAATAAAAATATAAAACAATAAAAATCTCACGATGTTTCGACTGCAACACAAGCAATCATCATCAGGTGTGAAATCCACAGCAATAAAATTAGAAAATTTGGTGCTGACGTTAAGAAAAAACCGCCACTTTTTAAAATTTTCTTGCTGTGGATTTCACACCTGATGATGATTGCTTGTGTTGCAGTCGAAACGTCGTGAGAATTTTTTTGTTTTATATTTTTATTATTTTATTGTTTCCCTTCTACGTGACTTTACCGATAGAACCAAGAATATGAATCCCTGCAGTCACGAAAGCTTTAAATAAAAAAATATAATTACTCCGTCCAGAAAAAAAGGCTCCGTGTTCTCTGCTGATAAAATATGATTTTAACGGCCGTACCATTTGAGCTCGCAAAACAAACAAAAAAACAGACAACACTTCCAGTGGTATTAAAGTGAAAATACTTGAACAGATGTGGCTTTTGAGGCTCAGTGATCGGAGCACTCAGCTTTGGCACCACTGAGATCCTGGCTTTAAATCGGGTGAAGCTACCCGTGATTTAACTGGGCTCTCAAGTGTAGCGAGTATGATAATTGTTTTTTTACCCTTTTATCTGGCAACAAAACTGACACCTTTTTTTACAAGGAGTCATGTTTGCATTGACCACAATACCTGCGGTCGGAATGTGCCTTTTGGCGTCATCTGGTCCAACACCATGTGAGACTAGGCTCTAAGAAAAGTTGTCTCGGGTGTGGACCAATCAATTTCAAGGACAGTGCATATATTATCATAGCGTGTTTTTGTTTGCATTCCGACCGCAGGTATTGTGGATATGTAACGTCTTCGTATTTTCGTGTTGTTCCTTTAAGGAATTTTACAAGGCGATTACGAGCCCAACTCCTCCCTGAAGCATGTACAGAAGGACCTGAGGCTGGCCCTCGCAATGGGCGATATGCTGCACCAACAAACCCCCGTGGCAGCTGCTGCCAATGAGGTGAGGGCAACAGCCGGTGCGAGCAAGGATACGCCCCCGCTGATATGTTTGGCAGCGTTGTGCACCGTGGTGGTGAGATGTTATCTCCCTCGACTGGTATGCAGGAGGTCGTGGGTTTGGTCCCAACCCTGACGATGCCTGTATATTTGAATGTTTGCATGTTCTGCCCGTGATCGCATTAATTGTCCTACAGATGTGATCAGGTTTTTCCCTCCACATTTAGAAACATGTTATTTAGATTGTCTGGCTGCTTTACATTTCCACGTGAAAAGCCACTTGGTTGAACTATCATTTGTGGCCATGTCACTTTTGAAACAGAGCTTAAGAGCTCAATGGGTTTTACCTGGTAAATAAATAGTTTAAAATATATATAATGTTTAATTGTCAGCCCTTTGTCAATCCACTGCTGGATGAGGGCCTCCCCCATGATTGTGAGGGCTGTTGACCGTACTTTACGCTGGTCAGTGCCTTTGACATTCTTTAACAATACAGTTGGACCGCAGAATTTTGTCGTCACCAAGACATTCCATAGTGACCCATATTGAATCAATTATCTTTACGTGAAAGTGTTTTTAAGATTTAAGCTTTTAAATAAATAAATAACCCGCGGGGGGTGGGGGGCGGCGCTGCCAAAGAGGCGCATGCGGCTCTGAACCGCAGATTGTCAACCCCTGCGCTATCCCATACTGGTGTTGCCTTCTGATGAGCTGCGGGGTACGGCACCTCCACGCCCAACCAACGGCGAGTTTGCAACATTTATTTTGCGATCCACCGCCTCCAGTGCGCTTGGATTGCAGGCGTGCCTAAAGCCCAGCCACCACCACCATTAGGTCACGTGTGCGGTTTGGTGTCACTGATGTTGCGTGTTTTTGTTGTTGTTGCAGATGTTCAAAAAGGCCAAATCACTGGACCAGTCAGAAAATGACATGTCAGCTGTGTATCGGGTGTACGAGTAGGAAAGTTATTTTTAGACTGAACAAGACTACTGCATTCCTTACACCGCTGCAGCTGAGCGCAGCTTTTTCTTTTTTCCTTTCGAGCATACACTTCTTTGTACAGTACGGTATTGTATCGTTAACAACTTGATGTAGTGGTGTTTTTATTTACGCTGTTTCAGTTAAAACATTGACACCAGGCAGTATCATTACATACTGATGTGTTCTTGAGATACCAGGCATATTCATGTTATACCCGAGGTATGCTCAAGCTACCTGGTAGTTCATAATAATAAACCCCGTGGAATGTTTCACAAATGCCAGGGTTATGCTTCTCAAGCAGAATACAGTTAAGTTAATGTTTTCATTTAAGTTAAGGCATTGCAAGTTGCGTAAAAAAAAGTGCATTGTTAATTTAATATTTGACATTAACTTAAAATAGTGAATAATTCGGCAAAATGTTATTTGCTTTTCATTTCATAGGGTTTTAAACATTTTTAACAGCTGTCAAATAGGCATATATGTGTATTAGTGCTAAGCTACTGACAGCCTACAGTACATGTAACTGTTAATTTCAGGATTATCGAATGAGTACAGATTTTTGTGATAAAGTGTTTTTTGGCTTGATGTGAGCCTTGGAAGACGATTGCCACCTTTTTTCAATTTAGTAATTTAAAAACAAATGTATCGTTAATGAATATCTTTGGTTTTCTTGCATATGAATAGCTCAATGATTAAATTACCGTGCTACGTAATAAAAGTGTCACAACTGAACATGTCCGTGTTCAGAAAGCGTGTTGCAAAACGCTTACCTGGCGGCGCTCCTGGGTAGGTTTTCGCTATACAGCTCTCCGATGTGTTTATATTATGCGTCATCCTACCATGGTGTTCGGCACCATGTCCTAAGTTTTGCTCCACGTGCAGAGCTACGCTTATTTAGCTGTTTTTTTTAAATTACCCTTTCCAATACAAGGACTTTCCACTTACAGTACTTTTATCTTTCTTGCCTGGTATGCTGTCTCAATCCCAACCCTGATGATGCCTGTTTGTTTGGAGTTTGCGTTGTTTTCTCTCTGTCCCTGTGGTTTTTTTCTCCCGGGTCCTTTGGTTTTGCCCTTCCACTTTTAGAGACGTGTGTTTAGATTGTGACTGCTATTATAAATTCACAGTCGTGATAAGCAACTTTAACGAGCTTATGTGTGGCCAGGTCGCCTCTGAAAAATGGCCATTAGCTCAGTGGGGAGATTTAAACTACCTTACCCGGTATGAAGGAGGTTGTGGGTTCGAACTCTACACTTGTATATTTGGATTTTGCATGTTCTCCCCGTGGTCGTGTGCATCTTTCTCCGGTTATGAAAAAGCTTAAAGCTCAGTGGGCCTTAGCTGGTAAAATAACAAAACTTAAGAATCGTTTTTAAACAGATGCAAACCTAATTGCAATCTAATTCCACTCGAAGTTGAATTTATCTACACGTGCTGAGTGACAACTGTAGTTTTATGTAAACAACCAAATCAATTGTGATGCTTATGAAATGCAATGGAAGAGACCAGACAATTCTACAGCTTTTGATAAATGACTTTTTAATGGAAAAAAAATACAAATTCTCATCAGTATTTACAAGGCGAGACACTGGATGAAAAACCACATCGTTTCTTTTAAAAGAATTAGAACCCCTTGGATTTTCAGATGGCGCAGTGTGTATTTTTGCAGCGGCGAGTCCAAGGCTACGGACGATATTCTACGAGCCACTCGTTTTTTCTCCACTGCTTTTGCCACCACTGTTCTTGGGTAGTTGTTTATCGCATACTTCGTGTTTTTTGGAGGGGTGTTGCTGAAAGGTGGATGATGTGTATGCCTATTCATAATAATAATGCCTTTATCCAGGAAGGCCTGAGTCTCAACACTTTTTTCAAGAGTTGCATTTACATGTTTGGCCAATGCAATTCATGATTTGCTTGTTTGAGCACATGTTGCCACACTTTATACAGTACAATTAAGAGGGATAGGAGAATTAATATTTTATCAGGTATTCTTAGACCTATTTTCATTTGAAGTGGCATACAAAATATGAAGGCGGGCACGGCAACACGCGTTTTGCCTTTGGAGAAAATCATTTGAAACTGCCACTTTAAAAAGTTGTACAAAATTACATTGAACACAAATTCAACTTGTAACGCAGCAGACGATAATGTATTGTATTTTCAATGTAAAAGTTTCTAACCTCACGTAATTTTTTTTACGTTACGTAACTTTGAAAGGCCAAATTATACAAATTTGGAAGGAATCTAACCGTCCTAGCATATATATGACGCTTTACACTTCATCATATGAGTTGGTGCAACATAACCTCACCCTCTATCAGTTTATCGGAACTCAAGCAAACGATTTCGGCAAATACAAAGTGTTGTCCCTGATACTTCTTCAGAATGTGCATATATGAAACTGAATGTTTGACATTCGTACTTTACGTGTGCCCCAAAATGATCTTCTCCACAATGCAGATTGTATTTGGTTGGTGTGGTATGATGTGGACAAAGTGCCATCAAGGGTCTGTTTCTCGCTTAGAATCTCTGTGCTCTAGCTCCTCTTGTTGATCTTGCCCAGTCTCTCGGGAGACCTCTTGATCGTGTGAATACTTGCAGTTGTCTCCAAATGTGCAGATGCCCTATTTAAAAAGACAACATTTTCACACATCATGATCAATCCCCTTGCTGCGTTAAGGCCCACGGCCAAGCCATCGCCATCTCAATTTGGCGATACAGTAAAACCTTGGATTGCGAGTAACTTGGTCTGCGAGTGTTTTGCAAGACGAGGTAGGAACTTGGTTGGACAGCGCATTCGTGCACGACAGACAAATATGCACGACAGACAGACAAATAATCCCTGGTGGGCAGTGTGGAACCTGTTGTTCCTACCTGTATAAATGTTCATTTGATAAACGAGCGAGGTCTTGCAATACGAGTAGTACGTATACGCTTTGTCTGCCGAGCGTCACGTGATCACAACTGATATACGAGTGCTTTGGATTACAAACACATTTCCGGAACGAATTATGCTTGCAATCCAAGGTTTTACTGTATATAAACGATCCACTTGGTGCCTGCACACGAGCCTATTTCATCGCTCCATCGCCTAAGTGCTTGTCCAACTGAGAACCACAAAGCGATCGACTGTAGGGGTGGAACGACGTATAGGTTTGTTTGTCCATGGTCGGTTCCAAAGGCCCATGATACATGCATAGCACTGGGCGTTATATTCGCAATCAATGCAAATATATATTTTTTTGCATTTAGGCTATTTGACTAAACCATAATGTACAAATGAGATCTAAAAAAAACAAGGAAATACAAACAAGATGGCAAAAATTACAGTTCATGAATGAACCCACCACTTCTACTTTGCATACATTTTTTCTATGGATTCAAATAAACTAATATCCTTAATACACATTTGCTGGAAGCGTATTTACGTAATTAACGAGTACAATATAAAAAAAAAAAGTTTAACGAACCGATTTTTTGTCAATTATTTTTACTGTTACCAGGTTTCCAAATTGTTTTTTTTTTTTATCAACTTTCATTTATCCAAATGAAAGTTGTTTGTAAAATCTACTTTGAGGATAAACGTGTATACTCAAACAATTGTCCTGATAACAAACTGGATACATGTTTAATGTGCATTTTGGATATAGTGAATGCAAATTAAATCAAAATAAGCTACACGTGACATTTCATCGATTGAATTTTAATTGGGCAACTGTAAATAAACTGCATTTATCACTCTACAGAAATGACGGAAGCACTTGAGAATTCCTTTTTTGGACGAGGGTGAGTTACTCAACTTGCACGAATAATCTTCTTGGTTCTTTCGGTAAAGTCACGTAGAAGGGAAGTAATAAAATAATAAAAATAAAACATAATAAAATAATTCTCACGACGTTTTGGCCACAACAGAGTCTGTTGATAAGACAGCATGTCTTATCGAAAGACATGTTCTTCACCTGAGGACGGCTGCTTGCGTTGTGGCCGAAACGTCGTGAGAATTATTTTATTATGTTTTATTTTTATTATTTTATTACTTCCCTTCTACGTGACTTTACCGAAAGAACCAAGAAGATGAATCCCTGCAGTCACGAAAGCTTTAAATCGAAATTTTGCACGAATAAATTCATTCGAATAAAGCTCATCTCCTGCTTGGTGAAAAGTGGTGAGGGTGGGACACTTCATTAATAATGTTTCATTGTGCGACTGACCTTCAAGCAAAGCCATCAAGACGAGCTTGAGTTTACACGATAGATTATCTTGCAGCAAGCCAACAGATACTAATGCCCATTTTCCAGTCGTACGTTGTCATTTGGTGAACTTCAACATGCCAACTTAAACTATTTTTATTTTACCAGGTATGGCCCACTGAGCTGCATAGCTCTTTTTAAATCCTTTATATTAAGTTCACTTGCTTGCTTGCGCGCTTACGACCGTGCAAATCTTTCGGTCGTTTTTTAACCCACTTCCGTGATCCAATCGAGCTGACATTTTGCACACAGACTCGTGCGTGACAATTTATTTTCGTGAAAAAATTTTTCCTAAATTTTACACTTTATAGGAAATTTTTTTTTTTCATATTTAATTTAAAATACCAATGTGATAAAAATAAAACTCTTACTCAAGAAAAACAGAAATGAATAATAAAATAAAACCGATGCCAGGCATATAAAGGATTTATAGTGAAAAACTTTGTTTTTACGGTTTAATTTTTAAAATCCTTTATATTAAGTTCACTTGCTTGCTTGCGTGCTTACGACCGTGTAAATTTTCGGTCGTTTTTTAACCCACTTCCCGTGATCCAATCGAGCTGACATTTTGCACACAGACTCGTGCGTGACAATTTATTTGTGAAATTTTTTTTCTAAAATTTTCCACTTTTTGGGAGAAAAAAAATTCATATTTAATTTAAAATACCAATGTGATAGAAATGAAACTCTTACTCAAGAAAAACAAATGAATAATAAAATAAAACCGATGCCATGCATATAAAGGATTTATAGTGAAAAACTTTGTTTTTACGGGTTACTTTTTCAGAATCAACTGACCACATGCGAGCTCAACGAAGTGGCTTATAACGTGGAAATTTTTAGCCAAAAACGCAAGTTTCTAAATAGAGGGAAAAACCGGAGGACCCTGACAAAAATCCATGCGACCACGGGGAGAGAGAACATGCAAACTCCAAATATACAGGCGTTGGCGTCGGGATCGAACCCATGACCTGTATACCAGGCAAGGTAGTTAACATCTCGCGAACATGTGACGCCGATGTTAGCACGCCTCTGGTTCTGCAGTAAGAAAAATAAACAGCTTGTGCCTTGAGCTGCACCAGGCTGGCTGTACACAACTCGGTAATACATTGGACAAGAAGCGTGAGAGTTCTTACCTTTTTGAATCTCTTGCAGGGAAAGGCTTTGAGACTTGGGTCGCTATAGGTCGCCTTCCTCTTGCCTTGCTGCCTCTTTCTCTTGTTTTCTTCAGACTCTTGTATGCCTCCCCTTCAGCACATAAACAATATTCATCACCATTGGCCATGAAACACTGCTGGATGATGGCCTCCCCCCCCCCCCCCCCAAGCCGTTGCCATCTCTGGAACAGGGCCAAGAGGTGCTTTTATCTGAATCATACAAGATCTGTGCTTATGCAAGGTGAACGGATATATATCATGTTATCAATATTCACTCAAATATGAATGGATGACGGACCTCAATGCCGTGGGAGTTAATGACCATACTTCACCACCCTGGTCAGTGTGGGTTGGGGAAGGCCGGGAGCTTGAGATGTGGGAGCAGAGAAGCGCCACGGGGCATTGTTGAAGTTTGCTGCACTGCCTACCGTGTGGTGGCAACACCGCATTAACGTTGTGCTCGTCACACACAAAGTGCTTGCCACAAATGGACCACGATACCTTGCCAATCTCGTGAAGGAGCATAAACCATCACGCAAACTCAGCTCATCCTAGCAGCAACGGCTAGCTTTTGGCTCGCTGTCAAGCAAAGACGATCACCGCATCACGTGTTTTCAGATGCGCTTCTGCGGCCGTCTGGAAAGCTCTTCTGATATTAGGAAGCCACTGGAGCTATGCACTTTTACATATAGATTGAAAATTCATTTATTTAAAACTGCTTGTTTTTCGTTTGTTGTCCTTCTCCCGCATATCCGATTAGCACGGTTGGCTACGTCCGGCGCGAAATAAGTTCAACATCCATCCCCCGCGGATGTCTATGACAACCTCCTGTGTGTACGTGGCGGTCGCCAATCCAAGCAAGCACTAGACAGGCTTGACCATTCTTACATTCAGAAATCTGGTGAGATCGAGCACATTTCCAGTCATACCGTCACGACGCAACATCACAGTTCTAACAGTCGTATACTTTTTTTAACCATCGGCTGCGAAGAAAATACACCCTTGGCGACAACACTCACCCAGGTTTGGCTCGTGCCTTTGGACCCCAGTTTGGCAACGGATTCTCCTGAAATCGCTTGAGGCCTTTGCGACGAGAGATGGGATTCGCATCTTCCCGCAGAGTGAAGCACGCTTCGAAGCTGGAAACGCGCACGCGCGCACACATGGGGGGGGGGGGGCCTTGTTTGTCAAACAGGAAAACGGAGCAAATCCCCTCGCTGACCGCACAGCCCCCTTGTCCGAGGACACTCGCTGCGACACCTAACGTTTCATCCAAATCGCTGGGGACTGAGATGGTATTAGAGGCAAGCGGTCGGCAACCTGCGGCTCAGGAGCGGCTTGCGGCTTTTTAAGGACTGCTTCGTGACGTTGTTCGCGTGCATTGCGGCTCTTGAAATAGAGGGTTTTTTTTTTTTACCAAATTCGACGAAAAAAAATCCCTTATTATTTTGGTTGCCAACCCCCCTGGTTTAGGTGGATATGCAAAAACAGTCGGGATACATAAACATATGTGGAAAATGACGAAATGACAATGGGAAAATGATTTGCTGTACTTTACAAAATGAATAATGCATTGCTGCACGTGAAACATTTGCATTTGTGAACCATCCACTGGAAATTACCATTTCAAAAAAACACATATTGGACTGCAGGCGTTTAAATTGGTCGGAGCAGATATGCGCGCTATAGCCCTGAACTCCACTACAAAATAAATATATTCCAACGGCATCGTATGTTATACCTTGCTGGCTTCTTGAGAATTTGAAACCCTGGCATTGTTTCCAATAGCCTCTCCTTCTTTGCAGGCCATTTCTTTTCCTGTTCATGAACACACGCACATCACATTCACCATTTAATACGTGTACGGCCCCCGTTTGTCGATCCACGCCGTGCGGGTCCGTGTGTGGGGGGCGGGGGCTGTGATTGGACCATACTTCACCGCACTGGGCACAGAGGCTTGGTAATGGCGGCAGGTGGGGGGAGCATACACGTGGAGACATAGAAGTACAGCGCAGTAATGAATGTTGCTGCGCTGCACCTCCGCTTGCCACCACGTAGCTCTGTCGCTGTTTGACGACAAGCTGGCATGCAGGCGGTCACCCAACCGGAAGCCATCCAGGTTTTAATCCTGCTTGGCTTCTGAGATCCGATGTGATATCGGTTAAATTCTGGATCACGTGTTCATATTTAATAACCGTGAGTAAACGCGTACTCGCACAGAGTGGGCGGTGGTGGAGGGCTACATAGCTTTAATCGTCATTACACCTCCACAAACTAACCCAAAGAGAAACCAACTGCGCATCGCGTAAGTGCTTTATTGCAAGAAGAATACGGAAATTATTGTGCGTGTGAAAAAAACACAATACAATTCAATTGAAGAGAAGTGCTTTTTGTGTTCACTTTGTTGTCCTTCCCCTGCACCTCCGATGAACGCACTTGGCTACGTACGGTGCGCGAAAGAGGTTCAACGTGCATATACACATACGCGGTACTCACCCAGCCACGCATGATGTCCCAGATGACGTGCGGGGGTGCGTCGGTCTTGATCGCATTCTTACATGCGTGTGACAAGGAGACTCTGTATCCCGCGTGCAGTACTGCGGACCTTAAAAAAAACACACACGCAAACAGAATGGACTTTAAATGTTGAAAATTCGTCGGCTGTCTGTCCGGGTGGCTCAGAGGTCACAGCGTTGAGCTGACACCGCGACTGCCAAGAAGCTGGGTTTTAAATCCAGGTTTCGTTCCGCCTGCGACGATACCGGGTTCTCAAACGTAGTGAGTTGATGATCTCAGCCCTGGGTCACGTTCAGAATCGTAATCTTTATCCTGGAGGAGTCTTTGAAGTTCTTTTTCACAGATGTCCAGTCAGAAAGTCACGTTACTCTCTGTGGCAGGATAAGTGAGAAAGTGCTGCGCCACTATTGTGTGGATCAGAGGTCACTTGAAAGGAATTTCGGAGGTAGCTCTGTGACCCCTGCTTCAGCCAGCCATTCTCCAACAAATGGGTTGCACTGCTGTGTAAAGAAGAGTTGTAAATGGGATTCTGGTGTGCGGGTTCGTTGAATTAACGACATCCATTAAATGGCACCTACGGGATCTTGTTGGGTGACCAAACGGACCCGCTCCATCTTGTTGCAAGGTCCAGTTGGCTGTTACCTGAACTCCAGCAAGGAGGGGGTGTTGCATCGAATAACGCTGCTCAGTTGATCCAACCCATAATACAGCGGGCAGTCTTGGAGTTCCTGAAATAGAATGGCAACGTATAAAAACGATGTCTCCAACAAAACATTGACGTCCATTCGTCAATTTCTGGACGACGGCCTCCCCCACGCCGCATCGGGTTATATGGCCGTTTGACCATACTTCACCGCGCCGGTCAGTGAAAGGGGGTGGAGCGGAGGGGCTGCGATCAGTTCCGATAGCGCTCGCGTCAGCAACGTTAAAACGGGAATGGAACTCGTGCCACCCATTTCATAGCGCAGTGCGAAAACCACTGCGCCACCGCTCCACTCTCCACTAGACACATTGCTCAAATAGAATCTTAGAAATCATTTGGCGCAAAACTGATTCAAATTCAGTATTTCGTCATTATTTACGAGGGAGGATCCGTTTCGGAGATGCTCGTGAATGGGATATTTAGCGGATGATATTGGCCTACGAATATCGTACACGCAACGCCTGCAGATGCTTCCAAAGCTTCGGGAAGATCTCTCTCTCATCACTTCATCTCTCATCGCTTCATCTCTCATCACATTCTCGCTCATCGCTCTATTCCATCCACTTTCTTTCTCTCTCGAGACGCAGTCGTGTAGAGTTCCAGATGCGATTCGCGGAAAGCCAAGTCCGCGAGTAACGAGGCAAGGCTCCACAGATCCCTTCTGAAACACCGTCAGCTTAATCTATCTGGTGCACCAATTTGAAATCAACAAGCAAAGTATGGCCAGCTTGATTACAATTTATCACAAAATCTATTTGTTTTACCTCAGTGACAACTGCCAGCATTCCAATTATTCTGTCGGACGTTTTGAAGCGTGTCCTGTTCGCTTCTACGGCTGATATGATCTTCTGGACGTAGTTGATATCGTGTATGGCGCCTGTCCAGATGGGCCCTCCGAGCTGGCAAACAGAAACGAGGCGTGAATATCAATGTGGGCATTTCCAAAAACACAGCCATTTCCATGTCAAACATGTCCTCCGTCCGTGCAGCTGCATTTGCCGAGCAACGGTGACGCACGTGGCCCAGAGGTCGCAACCGGGTACCCGATACCCGTACTGTACCGGATACCCGGCTACCCGTACCCGGCCGGGTACGGTTACGGGTAGCCGTTTGCGACCCTGGTGCGGCCGGGTACGGGTACGGGTAGGCCGTGAGTCACTGGTGAGTAGCCGTTTCTCACTCATTTCGGGTAGGGTACGGGTAGGGAACGGGTACCCGTACCCGGCCGGGTACGGGTACCCATTTGCGACCCTGGTGCGGCCAGGTACGGGTAAGGAATCAAAACCCGTTTGCGACCTCTGACGTGGCCTGAAATCTAGCGGTGTGGAGGCGAAGGTTGGTGGACTGCGCAAATGTTGTTAAACTCCCTGTCCCTTGGGTGTCAAGGAGTCCTGGCTCGCCAGGAGAAGGCGGTACAGCAAGCGTAGACTAATCTCCATCTAATCTTGATTTGAAGCTTTCGTGACTGCAGGAATCCATACTCTTTGGTTCTTTAGGTAATCTCCATCTGTGTCATCTGCATGGGATAGTGTTGCCCCTGGGATGTGTGCGTTTTCTCCTGATACTCCAGCTGCCTCCCACATGTAAACATGCATCCATTGGCCAATAGATAACATCTACAGCAGGGGTCGGCAAACTAAGGACTGCTTCGTGACGTTATGCATTACAGGTCTTGAAATTTTGAGTTTTTACCGAATTCTAAAAAAGTGGCCATTCTTGTTATTTTGATTGCCAACGCATGATCTAGATTTCCACAGAGCTTGAACCCTACTGGGTCGTGACGTCTCGGGCGTTGCCGGCTGGTAAACGAACATCATTCGACGACAGAAATCCTCCACAATTTAAGCGTTTGAAGCACCACTCACGTGGTGCCGCTGTCCACAGTTCTCACAGTTGGGTCCCATGGGCGGCCCGGTGGCTGCTGTGAACTTCAGCCTGTCAAGATGGCAACAACAATGTGGAAGCGGTGAAAAACCCCAACAGAGAGGTTAACCCCCCTCCCCCCGACGTTAACTCAAAAGGCTGGAATTGGTGAGGCTCTCTGGGGTAACTGGACACGGCAGCCCATGTGGAGTGATACGACAGGAAGACCAGCTGGCAGGGAGATACGCACATCGTAATTCAAGCTGCAGATAAGAATGACAATGGGACCCGTTGTGCACTTTGAAACACCCCAATTTTATACCCAACTAGAACCCATCCCCCCCCCCCCCCCCCCCCCCCGCTTGTGGTTCCGACTCAGTGGGACAAGTGAGCTTATTTTCCCCCTCTCCCCTAACCCATGTGCTGTGTTCGGGCTTTTTCTCCCCGTGAAATTTCTGGGCCCCCTTCCATTTTTACTGCTCGCGTTCTGGCCCGGGGCACTTGTCGAATAATAATAAATTAATAAAAAATATATTTTTTTGTACATTTCTAATAAACTAATAAAGAAATATTGGTTGTATGGTTATAATAAATACGGGTGTTCACATTAATACGTTTATAATAAATAAATAAAATATTGTAATTGACTGTTTTTGCGATCAATTATTCAAGCCCCTTTGAAACTGGCGGCTGCCCCCGGTATCCTGCCTCCCGTCTGCCCTAAAGAGAAACCCCCAAGCCAAGCCCAGCGCGACGCAGCTGACGATGCCGATGATGTCACCAAACCCCACCCATCACCTCCAGTCCAGCGGCACACACGGAAACAGAAGGACTAGTTTCACATCATCAGAATGAGAAACTTGCTCATTGTTATCTATTACAACTCTGATAGCACTGTTTAGTGGCTAGGCTATTTGATATCCAGGGCCTCTGGACCCCCCCCCCCCCGTCCTCAGCGATCGCAGAACAAAAAACAATTTGACAATCGATTACTTAATGGGATAGCCCACCTTGACGTACACTCAACACGAACAACGCAATGCGTGCGTGACCTTACCCGCTATTGTGGGCCGTGGATTTTCCCATTGGTTGCAGGTGAAACGAGCCACACCCAACACAGTTGTACACAAGGGCCTGCTTGCTGCAAGAGGAAACGCAACCGATTATAATCGGGATGCGATATTCGAACATCACCGCAGTTGAATCATACAATCAATCCATCTTTATACTGTTAAGAACCACCTGGTTCCACCAGCCCACAGGGGATTATTGTGTCCGTCCGTCGTGCATCCAAAATGGGAGGGGTGGGGCTGGGTGGAGAGGGGAGGGGCTGGGTGGGGAGGGGAGGGTCGGGAGGGGCTGAGTGGGGAGGGTGGGGCTGGGTGGGGGGTGGGAGGGGTGGGGCTGGGTGGGGAGGGGAGGGGCTAGTCACCCCGTGGTGCCCTTATAAAACTCAACGTTTAACCTACTCACGCCGGCTTGTACCCGCCCTCACAGTCGGGCATATTTGCGAAATAAACCACGCCGCCGTTGACCCTGGCCATTGACCGAACAACCCAACGTTCCTACCAGCTCCCTCCACAGGAATGTGTTTTTACGTGCTAATGCCGCCCCCTAAATAACACAGGCATCAATCAGTGCACATTACAGCAGAATGGGAACGGTACGGGGGGGTGGGCACGGAGCAACAGGAATGGAAAAAGAAACCAGCTAACACCTTTACTTTACATTTTCTCTGGGCCGTACGAGTGTTCAATTGTTAATTATGGATTATGCCGTTGTTATTGTTGTCGGCCTGTAACTTCCCACTGCTGGGAAAAAGGCTCCCCCCCCCCCCATATCTATATCTAAATCGCCTCAAGCCTCCCATATGTCACGCAACTTTTGTGTGGCCACTCCCACTCTGAACAACTCCCCGCCCCTCGCTGCCCGCTGTAAAAACAGACGCCGCTCCGTGTAGCAGCATCGAGGACCTGATGTAACCTCTTCCTCCCCATCCTTATCTCTCCTGACCCATTACTCCCATATTTCTATTCCTTGTCCACCCTTTTTCTCTTATTTCCCATTCTTTCTCTTCTTTCTCCACGCATTATATCCTTGACTTTACTCCTCTTCCGATGATGTGCCACGGCTAGAAGGCCCCCCCCCCGCCCCCACCCCCCCCCCCGGGGTTGTTTTTAACCCTAGGCCGTGGTGCGGCGTCGATTCCAAGGTTTTGGTACGTTTACCTTGCCGACATTTTGACCTTGGCTTGGCCGGAGAATATGCGGACGAAGACCCGGATGTAGAAGTCGGCGCTGATGGCCAGCAGAGGCACGATGTAACGGTGGTAGCGGTTGGAATGCAGGTCAAGGCAGTGCAGTATTATTCTGAGGGCCTGTAGCCACAAAACGACACGACACTCGTGTCTTAGGCCAAGACCGTCGAAGCATCAAACCGCGTATCATGCCAGGCGAACGGTTGAAACAATGGGCACATTTCGTGTTGTTATCTCCGAGTGTTAGAGACACAGAAGGAAGCATTCGCTCTTGGAAGGTCAACGCGGCTTTAAAACAATAACAACACCATAAGGCGCACAGTTACAGGCAGCCATCTTCTCTATGAGGTATTCAATGTCTGGGCCCTCCTCTAGCAGGCGCCCCTCACCCCCTATATAGACATAGGAAGCCACTGGAGCGAAGCACTTTCAAATCTAGATTTAAAACTCATTTCTTTACAACTGCTTTTTGTGTTTAATTTGTTGTCATTCCCCCCGCAACCTCCGATTAGCACGGTTGGCTACGTACGGTGCGAAAGAAGTTCAGCATTAATTTGTGACCATCTGAGGTAACGCACAAATTCATATGCCTTCGTACCCCGATACAGCACATTACTGTAATCTATCCCATCTCAGCCTACCCAGCAGTATTAATGCGTATGCCAGCTAGCCAATCGGCAGGTACGCGTTTGGTGGGGTGAAGCGTGGGTAATCCCGCCTGTTGCAAGACGTCTGGCCGGCGGGGAAGAGTAGGCCAATAACCCTTTCAGAGGGGGCACTCGAAGGCTCTCCTGGAGTAGAGGGCCCTTCTGCCAGCAGTGGTGTGAGTGAGCAACTGAAGGGCTTTACATTTAGAATCAACGTGGATTTGGAGTGTTTGGCCGCTATAAATGTCCACGTGATAAGCCACTTCCGTGAGCTATCATTTGTGGCCCGGGCGCTTCTGAAATGTAAGCTAGTAAACGGTAGGTTTTACCTGATAACATAACAAACATTTTTCTTGGTTCTTTCTGTAAAGTCACGTAGAAGGGAAACAATAAAATAAATATAATACAATAAAATTCTCACGACGTTTCGATTGCAACACAATCAATCATCATCATTGTTAAGTTTTAGTTTTATTTTGTTATTGATCCGTTTCCTTTTCCTATGTTTTGCGCTCCTGTCATGTTTTGTATTGTTTGTTGTTATAACGTTCTGACCCCGTGCCCCCCATCTGTGGAAAAAAAAGCTTCATAGTTCATCGGATTCCTCCAGTATTAAAGATTATGATTCTGACCTTAACATATGACTGCATCAAAACTAATACAACTATAAAAAACTATTTTTATTTTACCAGGTAAGGCCCACTGAGCTATACAGCTCTTTTGCAGAAGCAACCTGGCCACAAATGATAGTTCAGTGAAGTGGCTTGTCACGTGCAAATTTAGAGCAGCCGAATACTCTAAACGCACGTCGATTCTAAACGTGGACGGAAAAACCGGAGAACCCGGAGAAAAATCCACGTGAGCACGGGGAGAACACGCAAACTAAAAACATGCACGTGTCAGGCTCGGGATCAAATCCACGACCTCCTGCGTACCAGGCGAGGGAGTTAACATCTCGCCACCGCAGCCCCACTAGGGAGAACTTGACGAGTGGAGGCAGGCGTCACTTTACCATTTCGTGGCAGAACTTGGCTTTGAGCGACATGGAGCCGTACTTGGAGTAGCAGGTTTCTCCGCTGTTCCCAGCCATGACGGCCATGTCCGTGCAGGTCACGCACAGTAACCCTGAGGGGGGCGGCAAAAGGTCACACGGTAAAAATAAATTTTCATCCCCACCCCTCCCTTTCACCCCCCCTCCTCCCCTCCCTTTTCTTTTTCCTCCCCACCCACCCCATCCTTCCCCTAGAGGGTTATCGAGTTAAGGAAGTAGACACCAGGGATGCAGAGTCACGTAGGTAAAAAGTAAAATGAAATAAAAAATATAAATCACGACATTTCGATTGCAACACAAGCAATCGTCATCAGGTGTGAAAATCACAGCTAGAAACATTTTCTAGCTGTGATTGCTTGTGTTGCAATCGAAACGTCGTGATTTATTATTTTAGTTTTTATTTCATTTTATTTTTCAGCTATGTGACTTTACCAAAAGAACCAAAGAGTATGGATCCTTGCAGTCACGAAAACTTCAAATCTAGAAAGGGATGCAGAGTTTATTGATATGTAGATAGACAGGTTGAAAACTAGAAAACGTTGGTAATAATCATTGTGCTTCGCTTGTGTCCATACTGGTGTCAATTCCCATACAATGCCCTGTGTGTACCAATAAAAAATACATTTGGGTAAAAAATAAGGTTTTCATTTGAAGTAAAGCATGCGATGCAAACGCTACTTTTATAAGGTACCTGACACAGGTCATACAGTCAACTCTCGATCATCCGGGGTAATGGCAAGGGGAGGGGCAAGGGGGGAAGTGGCAATGGGGAGGGGTATTTGGGAGGGCTGGAGATTGGGAGCTCATTTGGGGGGGGGGGGGATAATGGGGGGAGTGAAGACTGAGACCAAGCATGAGCACGGACAATGCAAAAGGTTCACAAAGCAGGATATGTAAGACCCATGTATTGCTTAGAATGGGGGTGGGGATATAGAAATGCGTTCGTGTTTTGTTGATGACAGCAATCGGTCACCAAAAGTCACGAGGGGCTGCACAGTTTACATAAAAAAGCATCGGAATACCGCACGTTATATTTTTCGACGTGTTTTATATTTTTTACCCGCAACCACGGTTTATCCGCAACGCGGAAAAACCAGCTGAAGGCCGCTGCACTTGGTAATTCAGGCCGTCACACAAGCAGCTGTGGACATCCGAGCTCCGTGCCTCCCGAGTTCGCAATTGAGCAACAGCTTTGTCCATTTTGAGAAATTTGCGCGCGTGACAAGATATTTTATGATCATCATCATTATTACGTTGAGGACACACTGTATCCCGTGACGCTGTACTCACTCTGGTGCTGTTGTCACAACGTGTGTTTAGATGCCCGCCAAAGCGACCACACTTACCGCCTTCATTCACAGACTGAACGGCTGCGTCCAGAAACTGGACGGGACTCCCGTACGGGTCCAGGTCCACCACATCGAAGCTCTCCTTGTGATTCTTGCTCTTGTACATCAACATGCTGAAGCGAGACAGGTCCATTAGGTGTAAATCCATCATCATCATTTATTTATCCCAGGAAAGCCTCATGAGTCTAAAGACTCTCTTCCAGGAGGGTTCTGGAATGACTCTCTTCCAGGAGGGTCCTGGAATGACTCTCTTCCAGGAGGATTTTGGGATGTTTGGCCAACGGCATTTTTAAATAAGGAGCGTTCTGCTGGGATGGAAACCGGTGTACCCGGAGAAAATCCACCACACGCATGAAGGGGGTAATATTGAAACATCTGTACCGTTTGTTTTCATGAACCCACTTGCTGTACTAAAAGCTTTTGTCCACCTCACAGCCCATTGGGCTTTGGAGTTTCACGAATCTGCGTGATCCATCGGCTAATGGTGGAACAACGCACGGGTGCAGTGAGACTGTGGCCACTTTACACTGCAAAGTAAAATGTGCGTAAGCTCACACTTGCTACTTTAAGTTTCCCAAATGCGTGACACCCAACACCAGAACCAACACATACCAGGTACGCTACACGTTGTAAGAAGCTGAGAGTAAGTCCAAAAATATATAATTGTTGTACTGTAATTATATGCTCCCACACATCTACGCTCTCCTTTTTCGTCAACCCGTGCACTGACCAGCATGGTGAAATCTGGGAAAATAACTCCCACTGCACACATGGTGTGGGGAAATTACTCATCCCAAAGTGAAAAACAAACGGCTGGACATTTACAACATACAAAACACTTAAGCTATACCAAATGCATCGACGTGGGCATCGAGCCTAACAAGATCGTGTGATATTTTTCATAAATATATATAAATTCACTATCGCACTCCCTTTGGCCACGATAAAGCTGTGCGTGAATAAAAACCACGCGTTGCATGAGGTGCAGGTTCTACTTAACTTTGGAAATAAAAATTACCGAATCAGAACACTTTACTGTATGTTGGATGAATCTGAAAAATCCCATAATCTGGCCGAGATATGAATCTTCATATCCAACATTTTTTAATTTTTTGTCTCAAATCTATCTGAAGGTATGCCATCACAGGAAATGACGAGACATGGCATCAAATGTAGCATCGGCTATGTACACATAGTTTTTTCGCACAGTGCGTCGCCAACTGCGCTAATCAGAGTTGCGGGCTTAGAATCGAAATGTGGCGACATCACTTTACTTGTGCGAAGACATTAAATGATATTACAGTAAAGCCAAGAAAAGACCCAAAATTGTCCTTAAAAATATGAAATAAAACAAAATGTAAAATCCGAAACTCATCCCTAATACCTATTATTTAACTTGAAAGCTCAACTATTCTCCAATGCCCATTCCCTTCCTCTTCCCTCCCCTCGCCCCTCCACTCCTGCCGATCCCTCCCCTGCCCTTTCATGACCCTCACATGCCCTCTGTTACAACCCTTGCACTGCTCCTGCCATCTAAATCACTCGGTTTTGTTACCGCTTGTTATCTATGTTATGAACCTCCTTGAGCCAAGGCGCTCTAAATATTAAATGAGATATAAATATTAAATTAGATACGCTATAATGATCGACTGTGAATAGCACACCGCCGTGGAGAACCCACCTTGCATCTGAGTAACTCGCGGTTACAAGATGCTGCACTTGGTTCATCTCAATGTTCTTGTTAATGGCGGCGACGGCGTCTTTTGAGAAGTCATTAGTGATGATGCTCTTAATGCCGGGGATTTCCTTGGCAAATCTGATAGGATCGCAAACCAGACGCTGCCAGGGCTTCCAAAACCTTGACTCCTTCCTGTAGATAAATTCAATACAAATCATCATCATAATCATCATCAGCCACAACAAGTCCACTGCCGGATGAAGGCCTCACGAACCCATCATCATCTCTCGCTAGTTCTGCGATTTAGCAACCATCTAGCATTTTCAAAAGAGCCGATGTCATCATTCCATCTCCACGGCGGTCGTCCCTCAGACGCATTCCGTTCTTTTCTTCTGGTTCCGTTCCGATGACGTACGTGTACGTGTGGGGTTAAACGCAGGTGGTTCCGCCAACGGTAACGGTAATCGGGCCGTAGCGCGCGTACCTCACACCTGACGCCCACGTACGCTTGCTTCTCGGCATCTTGTGGAGAGGCGGCCGACACGCTGCCCGGGCTTTCAGGCCCATCGCTCAGCGACACGACCACTCGGCTCTCTTCACCCGGCACCACCACTGAAAGAATAAACACTTCCATTTAAATAACCTTCTTCCCAACAAAAATAGCACATAGTATTGGTGGGAGCACCCACGGCCCAAGGGACGGATTAGCAGAGGTGGGACAAAGTCATTGTTATGCAAGTCCAAGTCGAGTCTCAAGTCATCAAATTCATGACTCGAGTCTGACTCGAGTCCAAGTCACATGACTCGAGTCCACACCTCAGAGGTGGGACAAAGTCATTGTTATGCAAGTCCAAGTCGAGTCTCAAGTCATCAAATTCATGACTCGAGTCTGACTCGAGTCCAAGTCACATGACTCGAGTCCACACCTCTGCGGATTAGCATGCAAATTCATTTCATGCGGTCCATGACTTCATTCCGTACGACCTGCGAATTAACTTAATATAGTGGGCGACTACATTTCATATGACCCACGTACATTTTCTAAGGCCACGAAAGTTTTAGATGCCATACCATACAGTGAGCATACATTTTAAACAAAACCAGGCAGCCGCCCGAGATAAGAACTTCCGACTTATGAACATCCACACTTACGAACAAACTGCCATAAGGTGTTATTATTTTTAACCATTCGACCTGCGAATGTTAGGTCGTACTTGTGAACCGAACTCCGGGACTATTTTGTTCAGCGGAGCGATCCTCCGCGAGGTGTAATGAGTTCCAGCATCCCGTGCGATGCACAACAACGGTGAACCGTTCGGCGTCGAGTTTAACAATGCTCCCCTCTTTTGTTGAACCACAATACAATTTTATAACACTGACCGTATGTACAATTAAATATTGAGTCCCGATACACGAACAAATCGACTTACGAACGGGACTCAGGAACGTAACTAGTTCGCAAGTCGAGGACTGCCTGTGCAAAGGTATTCTCCGCAAGTACATTTTAAAATGTAACAATGTGATGAAAGTTGTACTGCCTGCACACTCGATATCTACATCAACTTTTTGCAGCCTCCACGTGTACCTCTGATGTGTCTCTCGTGAAGGCGTTCCCTTATGAACTCTGTAACAACAGCAGACCTGTTCAAACAGGAAATTGCACAGGTTGTGCCAGTTACTTAAGAGTATGCGGTTAATAAACAAATTATAAATAAAAGTACAGTATTCATTTCATGACAACTTTTAGAATTAGTTTCAACATGACATTAGCCCAAAATATCAGTCTATTATATTGTTTTCTTTAATCAGGCCATGTTAATGATGAGTATGGAACAATGTTTTTATTTGTGCTTGTGCACTACTGCCAATACAGTCCCTTGATATTTTTTGTTCAACAAGATTGTCCTATTTTACCCTGTTCCCAAAGTTCACCTTTAATAACCACTTCATCTTGCTTGCTATTTATATGTTAGCTATTGTACCACTTATACAATGTAATAACAAAATAATTACAGCCCTTCGTCACTGCTGGACAATGGCCTCCCCACGCCATATTGGTCATGGGATTTGTGTGACCATACTTCACCACGCTGGTCAGTGCGGGTTGATGAGAGGAGGGTGACCCAGGACCAGTTCAGATATCACTCTACACTTATGTTAACGATGGATGGGAATCAAACTAAGGTTGTCGAGTTCATAGTGCAATACCCTAACATCTACACCACTACTCCAGGAGAGTATTTTGCCCACAACTCAATTATAAAAGAAAAGGTGCAGCCCTGAAACTTATTGCTCAAGCCACTTGCTCGTGGTAAGGCCTCCACAATAAAGAATCTCTAGAAAGCAACTCTTAGAGCAGTGGTTCTTAACCTGGGGTGCACGCACCCACCAGGGAGTGCGAGATGACCTTTCTGGGGGTGAGAGACATGCCAGATTTGTTTAGAAGGTAAATAATCGAAAACACAAATTAAGCACAGGCGTACAACTACTTTGTTTCATCAAACCTATGTACTTATTAAAATTATAAAACATTTCACGATTTAACCGTTGCAAGGCTGCAGTAAAGGTTAAGAACCACTGTCTTAAGAGGAAACTTGGCCTACGCTTCCACACTGGCCAGACACCATGGAAGAGGTGGGGGTCCCCACACTTTACCCCACCACACATGACCTGCCGATCGATTGTGGTGCACCTACTTATACTGCTGGGTGGACAGAGGCAGGGGAGAATTTAATAAACTTGAACCATTGTAATTGTTTTTTACCATTCTATCTGGCAACAAAAACTGACACCTTTTTACAAGGAGTCATGTTTGCATAGACCGCAATACCTGCAGTCATAATACAAACAAAAGACATAACTCTGATAATGTGCACTGTCCTTGAAGTTGATTGGTCCACACCTGAGACAGCTTTCCTTAGAGCCTAGCCTCACATGGGTTGGACCAGATGACGCCAAAAGGCGCACAACTCAAAGACAATGCACCATCAGAGTATGAGAGCTCGGGGCCAGCATCTACACTATGGGAACCTCATTTGCCATTGTTTCAGCTGCCGCATCACCTCTAGATTGAGTGCTATGACATCGTGGCAGCACACCGAACACGATTGTGATGTCGGGCAAATCCACATCCGTAAAAAAAAGTGCTTTCTAGCTCATCGGATTCCTCCAGTGCAAATACATATTATGATTCCGACGCGGATGTAATGTACTTACGTAATGTCCCGATTAAATTCCTGGACGGGATTGTAAAACACTTCGCTTAAGTTCGGGAAGAAAATTCGTGCTTTCCCCTCTGAGATGATTGATCCGGACGTCCCAAGGTCCGCCTCTTCACAACTCTTCTTGGGCTCGATCTCAGCAGCGTTGGACTCGGGCGTTTCATGCGATGTTGTTGTTGCCATTCTGCACACAGGAGTTGAAAGGTGAAAAGTTTGTTTTTGTCACCTGACATACAATCGGTCGCTTTTACAAACCAGATCTTGAAAGCAGCTGTTAAGGTCGGGTGAGGCCAAAATTGGTTTCGGTAGATTATGTCCCACGAAGGATTTCTAAGCGGTTACACGACAATTATTGGGTTGGCCCGCTTGTGGTGGGGTAGAAAGTATGCGTATAATCACACCTCTTCAATAATCTTTGGCCAGCGTGGAAGAGTAGGCCAAATGCCCTATAAGGTGGGCTTCTTAAGAGCTCCGTCCAGTGGAAAGCCCCTCTGCCCAGTAGTGTCGTAAGCAAGTAAAATGTACGGCTGCAGAGCGGGTGGGAAAGTGCTTCCACTCCTTCCTGTGTACACCAGAGATCACTTAAATGTATCTCGAAAGTAGCTCTGGGATATCCACTTCCGTGGGACGCTAACATACAGGGCTGCGCTGCTCTTACAGAGATCCAAGTGGAGTATTCGTCTCGTAACACGATGCCAATAGCAACATACAATATAACATTGCCAAAATGTTAAATATTCATTTAAAGTGTCGTAAACGTATTCGGTACGATTGATCAACACATCAGCCAATAACAATGGCCCAAAAATGATTATAATGTGCGTATATGAAAGGCGACTGTTTCGGGCTTTGGCCCTTTTCCACGGCGTAAAAAAACCCTTGTAAAATGTGCCGTTACGTTGTAACACATTCCCAAACATCTGCATTCAACACACAAAAAACCACCCCACATGGGAGGAGTGAGGGGGGGTGGGCGGGGAGCAATGATACGGTCTGCCAGATCGCACGTGCGCACCTAAGAAAGCAAGCCCCGTGCAACGCGCGCTACTGTAAGAAGAAGGGCCACATCGCCCAACCACCAAAGCCACCACCACCACCATCAACAACAACAACAACCACCACCACCCCAGCCGTCACGCGTGTGAGCCCGGCACGAACGCAACGCTCACCCAGAGACGGAGAGAGGCGGCGGTGGAGGTGGAGGCGGCGGCGTGCGGAGAGGGACGCGATGGAGGAGCGTCCTCGGCAGTGCCGACGCGAGACGGCTGCCCCAGTGCATGGGGCGAAGCGACCCCCACGTGCAGGAAGCAGAGGGCGGAGGGGGGGGGGGTCACCCGGAGACGTCATCAAGCCGCGCCGCGGGGCCCTGTTCGCTCTGTGGGGTGGGTAGGGTGGGTGGGGGTTGTGGTGGCACCGCTGATGAGACCCTGACACGTGGAAACCGGTCCGGCTGTGTTTGGAGAGATGTTGAGGCAGTGTACGCTGTGACTCAATTGTCATGAAGAGGGAACTTCGTTGGCTGTCATCACTGGCAGTTTATCAGTGTTGGCTCCAGCAAGGCTGGCTCTGCTGATGAGACCCTGACACGTGGAAACCGGTCCGGCTGTGTTTGGAGAGATGTTGAGGCAGTGTGGGCGCTGGCTGAATTGTCGTAGAGAGGGAACTCTGTTGGCTGTCATCACTGGCAGTTTATCAGTATTGGCTCCAGTAAGATTGACTGCTGATGAGAGCCTGACACGTGGAAACCGGTCCAGCGGTGTTTGAGAAGATGTTGAGGCAGTGTGGGCTGTGACTCAATTGTCGTAAAGAGGGAACTTTGTTGGCTGTCATCACCGGCAGTTTATCAGTATTGGCTCCAGCAAGCCTGGCTCTGCTGATGAGACCCTGACACGTGGAAACCGGTCCGGCTGTGTTTGGCAAGATGTTGAGGCAGTGTGGGCTGGGACTCAATTGTCGTAGAGAGGGAACTCTGTTGGCTGTCATCACTGGCAGTTTATCAGTGTTGGCTCCAGCAAGAATGACTGCTGATGAGACCCTGATATGTGGAAACCGGTCCGGCGGTGTTTGGAGAGATGTTGAGTCAGTGTGAGCGCTGACTGAATTGTCGTAAAGAGGGAACTTCGTTGGCTGTCATCACCGGCAGTTTATCAGTATTGGCTCCAGCAAGGCTGGCTCTGCTGATGAGACCCTGACACGTGGAAACAGGTCCGGCGGTGTTTGGGAAGATGTTGAGTCAGTGTGGGCGCTGGCTGAATTGTCGTAAAGAGGGAACTCTGTTGGCTGTCATCACTGGCAGTTTATCAGTATTGGCTCCAGCAAGAATGACTGCTGATGAGACCCTGACACGTGGAAACCGGTCCGGCGGTGTTCGGGAAGATGTTGAGGCAGTGTGGGCTGGGACTGAATTGTCGTAAAGAGGGAACTTTGTTGGCTGTCATCACCGGCAGTTTATCGGTGTTGGCTCCAGCAAGGCTGGCTCTGCTGATGAGACCCTGACACGTGGAAACTGGTCCGGCGGTGTTTGGCAAGATGTTGAGGCAGTGTGGGCTGGGACTCAATTATCGTAGAGAGAGAGAACTTTGTGGCTGTTCATCAGTATTGGCTCCAGCAAGAATGACTGCTGATGACACCCTGAAACTTGAAACCGATCCAGAATGTTTCTTGTGCTGAATCAATGCTTCTGATTTTTTTGTATTCTCAGAAGGGTCTAAGGTTGTTGGGTTGTGTAAGAAATATTTATTTTCGTTTACATGGAGGGACTTGTATTACTCAATGGCGGGCTATGAAGTCTGGATCAATGGTGGCTCTCTCATAGGTCGACTCAGCCTTAAAAAATGCTTTTTTTATTGTTTGCGGCACGTGACCATCAGCACATGGGGTGACACACAGCGCTGGACGTGATTGGTATTGGTGGCACGTGGCCCATGACCTGGCTTTAGTTAGTTTCCATTAAAAACATGTTGCATCAGTAAACGTGTCTCAATGTCATTCTCATGTGCCCCCGCCATGGTGGAAAGTGTAGCCTACAACTATGATTCGCTCTATGAAGAAAGTTCTCTGTTCAGTGCCGGATTATCCTAGTAGCAAAAGTAGCTACATATGATGCGGGCCCCGCACTTTCAAGGACCCCGCGCTAAATGCTTTCAAGCCATCAATTCTGGTTCAGTGATTCTGCACTTGCTCTATTACTATAGTACTATACTGCCTTCAACTTTTACGAACGACTGGGTGTTTAAAGTTAGCGATTTCTCGTATTATCTGGCTGTATAACAAATGACAAAAATACAATTACTTTACTATGCAAGTTAATCATTTGTGTTTTAATATTTGTGCTTTTTATTTGTTTTAGGGCCCCTTTATAACATATGCTACAGGCCCCGCACGAGCTTAATCCGGCACTGTCTCTATTACTGGTAAGAACCTCCTGGTTCCACCAGCCCACAGGGGATTATTGTGTCCGTCCGTCCATCGTGCATCCAAAAATGGGAGGGGTGGGGAGGGAGGGGCTTGGTGGGGAGGGGAGGGTGGGGAGGGGAGGGTGGGGAGGGGCTGGGTGGGGAAGGAGGGGCTGGGTGGGTTAGGGTGGGACTGGGTGGGGAGGGGCTGGTCACCCCATGGTGCCCTTATAAAACTCAACGTTTAATCTACTCATGCCGGCTTGTGCAAACACAATCCACACACCTCTTGAATCTGGAGGTTTGGTTTTTGGGAAGGGGGGAGGATCACGCCATTAATGTTGGATTTTTTTGGTTTAGATCGCGCAAATATAATATAGGTTTTTTTGGGTCAGATCGCGTAGCTTTCGCTAAGTTGTCCCCACTGCGCCCGAAACGTTGTGATTTAATTTAGTTGTTTTCATTTATTTTATTTTTTATCTACGTGACTTTACCGAAAAAAAAGTATTACAGGTAGTCCCCGAATTACGATGGTCCGACTTACGATATTTCGATCTTACGATGGCGATATCGATATGACAAAATTGTTAAATATTTTTACATTTCGTACGTTGGGACGCTGCCGCTGCCGGGATGTTCTGCATGCAGATGATGATACTCCGACTGATGCTCCTGCTGTTGTGGAGTGACTCATGCAGCCAGCTATGGTTGCAGGGTTTTGGTGGTACATGTTCTTCTTGGTTCTTTCGGTAAAGTCACGTAGAAGGGAAATAATAACATAATAAAAATAAAACATAATAAAATACAATTCTCACTATATTGTATTTTAGTTTTCGACTTACGATGGGGTCGTCGTAACGCATCTCCATCGTAAATCGGAGACTACCTAGATTTGAAGCTTTCGTGACTGCAAGGATTCATATTCTTAGGTTTTTTCGGTAAAGTCACGTAGGTAAAAAATTAAAATTTATAAAAGTAAAATAAAATAAAAATCACGACGTTTCGGAGGCAACACAAGCTTCCGTCTTCAGGTGGAACCGTCACAACCCGACAGCTGTATCAAGTAAATGAGAGATTACAGGAGATACCATTCCGTATATATAATGGTTGAGTGGGGGGGGGAACGGGCAGGGATGGCACACTTTTTATTATTATGGTAAGGTGCAGTTTGAGACTATGAATAGACTGCATAACAAAAGACTGAGCCTTTATTATGGAGAGGTTCGGTTTGTGACTACGCCTAGCCTACATAATAAAAGTGTGAAAAAAGAACAAAAGCTAAACCTGGTAGACAGCTAAACCTGGTGAAACAACTGGCTGTCCATCGGTAACCTGCAATAGTTTTCTGTCAAATAAGATGGTTCAAATAAGTGTAGTTAAATCTTTTTTGCATGGTTAATCACATCTTTCCAATGATTAAAGGTGCGGCTTGAGACTATGAATAGACTGCATAATAAAAGACTGAGCCTTTATTATGGAAAAAAACCTAAGAATACGGAGACTATTCTTTGGTTCTTTCGGTAAAGTCACGTATCAAGATAAAATAATAAATTAAATAATAGCATACGACGTTTCGATTGCAACACAAGCAATCATCATCAGGTATAAATGAAATAGCAACAAAAAATCTAACCAGAAAACAATAGACAGACATATAAGCAGACAGATATCACCAAGATACATAGAGAGAGCAACCCAGGTACAGAGAGGGGGATCGTCTCTGTGGGGTGGCCTTAAATAGACAGAGGGGGGCGGAGGCAGAGAGAGGGAGGGGTTACAGAAAGAAATTTACATGTCAATGAGACGATCCCCCTCTCTGTACCTGTGTTACTCTCTCTATGTATCTTGGTGATATCTGTCTGCTTATATGTCTGTCTATTGTTTTCTGGTTAGATTTTTTGTTGCTATTTCATTTATACCTGATGATGATTGCTTGTGTTGCAATCGAAACGTCGTATGCTATTATTTAATTTATTATTTTATCTTGATACGTGACTTTACCGAAAGAACCAAAGAATAATTCCTGCAGTCACGAAAGCTCCAAAATTAATACGGAGACTACCTGTATTACTTCGTGCGCGTCTTAACTTTATCGCCCCGCCCCCAGCCCCGCCCCCACGCCCCGCCCCCACGCCCCGCCCCCAGCCCCGCCCCCAGCCCCACGCCCCGCCCCCAGCCCCGCCCCAACCCTTCACAACCAATCCGGTGTCGACGACGTTGCAACGCAGTTCGCTTCCGTACCCAACCAAAGCAAATGACCACGGACCCTAAATCCCGGCCCTGTAATCGTGGCCTCCTCATCCTCCTCCTCGCTGCCAGTGCCGAGCGAGACGCCGCCGCCGCCACCGCTTCCATCACCTCCACGCCGTCGAGTCCCAAGCCGTTGCGGGGCTGCGCTTCGTCTCCCCGTCGTCGTTCTCCCGTCGCGGCAGCCCGAGGGGTAAGCGTGGCTGGCCGCCTCTCCGTCGACTCGTGTGTCGAAGTCCGCAGTTGCCTGTTGGGGGCGAGGCCTCGGCCGGTCGAATAGTGGCGACCGTCGCCCAGGACGTCTGACCGCCGCGCAGGAAGAAGAGTAGGCCAAGTACCCTAGACCGGTGGTGGTGGGAGTGGTGGTCCAGATGTCTTGTTTTGTATACCAACGTGGGCGACAAAGATATTAAGTGGGGAGCGGTGGCGCAGCGGTTAGCGCGCCGCGCTACGAACCCGCACCACCCGAGTTCGATCCTCCACGTTCACGGCCACCCAACACCAAGTGACGAATTATCGGAACCGGTCCTGGGCCTCGTCTAGGTCGACTCGGCCTCAAATGAGTACCCGGTGCGTGAAAACATCGCCACTGGGGGGGGGGGAGACAAAGGCGGCCGGTGCGTCGTTGCTGGCCACTCACACCCCCCACCGTATGCCGTGCCGGCCTTCATAGGTGCACTTGCTGCGACAGTCTTATTAAAATGCTCCTCTACACGCGGCGAATTTGTGTCTTTGTGAAGTGTTTAGGGGTCCTTTTTCGTCGGCAGATTCGCGAGGTCGTGGCCCATACAAGCAACTCTCCAAGCTCAAGGCCCCCCACCCCCCCAATCTGCGTTAAACTTGCGACGTCTGATTGAGTTTGGGCGCAGTGCGAGCTACTTTGTGCTCTTGGCGTCGTCGTTTCTTGTGACACGTAGCGAGAGAGTGCCGTGTGGCATGTTACCTGCGTTGGCCAATGAAAGTCAGGGGTCGACTCAATAATAATGCAAATCATCCCCACCCCCCCCCCCCCTTATGGAGTGGCCAACTAAAACACATTCCTGCGGAGGGAGCTGGTAGGAACGTTGGGTTGCTCGGTCAATGGCCTGCAGGGTCAACGGCGACGTGGTGTATTCCGCAAATATGCCCGACTGTGAGGGCGGGCACAAGCCGGCGTGAGTAGGTTAAACGTTGAGTTTTATAAGGGCACCACGGTGTGACCAGCCCCTCCCCACCCAGCCCCACCCCTCCCACCCCCCACCCAGCCCCACACTCCCCACCCAGCCCCACCCTCCCCACCCAGCCCCTCCCTGCACGACGGACACAATCATCCCCTGTGGGCTGGTGGAACCAGGAGGTTCCTACCAGTATAATTGTACGTTCGTGGGACGTTAACCCGTGGTCGAATTTCGTTGTTGGCACTGGCCCAAAGGTTGTAAAAACGGGGTGAGCTCGAAGTTGAAGCAGGAAGCCCACGCGAGAGTTTTCGTTCTTCTGGCCTTGTTCTAACCTCGTCTAAATATCCTCTTGCGATGTCGTGATGGTGGCCGGTTCGATCGCCGAGCGCGGCAGTTGTGAACAATGGGGCAAGTCTTTGTTTTATCCCCCCCCTCCCCCCCCAATATAAATGGGCACACACCTTATTACAGACCAATTCAGACCTTATTGGTGGTCACCCCGTGCCCTTATAAATATCAACCTTCATCCTACAAAGTCCCATCACAAGGGAGAAACACAAACAAATAGACAAAACTAATTTATGGGTTGACACGGTATGCAAAATACCCTCTTAAGAGGGGGCCCCTTTATAACTCCCGCCCCCCAACAAGTGGCAGGCATTCCATCAGCAGTGTCGTGAGCAAGCAATTGCAGGGCTGCACCTTTTACCCTGTAAAACTAACGCGCTGCTTGTCTTCTCCTTAGGATGTGATTTAAAGCACAAGAAAATAAAGACCTCTCTTGTCTTGGCGGGGAGCTGGTTCAAAGAAGCAGAGCGCGCATCATGCCACAGGTCGTCCCGCTGCTCGCGATCCTCTTGTTGCTCGGGAGGTCTGCATCGGCGGCTGTCGGGGAGTGGGACGGTGCCGGCAGCGATTGGTCCGGTTTGACCATCGCCGCCGAGGACACGTGGCCGCCCGACTGGAGCCTCCTGCACGTGTTCGAGGGCCGGGTGGGCAGCGGGAACTTCACTCGCCTGCGCACCGACCACCCGGGCAAGCTGGTGCTGTGGCTGGAGAGCCTTACCGGGGACGCTGACCTCTACGTGTCGGACAAGACGCTGCACCCGACGTACGATGACTACGAGCTGGCCGCCACCTCGTGCGGCCGCGACGCTACCGTGGTGCCGGCCTCCTTCCATCGGCCACTCGGGGTGGCCATATACGGACACGTGTTCTACCCGGAGAGCGAGTTTCGCCTCTCAGTGCTTCTCGACGTCTCTGTAACCAAGGACCACTTTGCCAACGACGGGGTGTGGCCGGGGGATGAAGATGATTACGATTACGAGCGAGATGATTCCACGAGGCCCAAGACCCAGCAGCGTGCGGAGGGAGGCGAGCATGAGTCTCTCATTTGGACAATTTTTGTGGGGCTGCTCAAAATCGTGTTTGAAGTTTTGACTTGATTCTGAAATAAATAATACTGCTCATCATAGCAGTTTGTGTAGAATCAGATTCATTTGCTGTGTGGAGATGATTTGTTTATTTTTTGTGGAGAGTAAAAGGCACATGCGATGAACCCACGCTCGAATGTGTAAATTAGTGATTTGCTAAGGGTTGTGAAAAATATGTACAAGTTTGGGATATGAATGTGTTAAATAGAAACATGCTATGGAAGTAGTGTTTTGCTTTCAGTCTGTTAAATTCTCCAAAAAATATATATTTTAAAAGGGGGTTCATTGCAGAGATTAAGACCTGTATTCTTAGTCACTGCGTGGCTAAGGATTCGCTCTGGCTCGAGTGAGCTGGCTCAAAGCTGTGCTTAACTTGAGCCACCTCCTGGGCCGTGGTCCTAGCCATGCTCAGGATTTCCATGAGCTGATCCTGAGCTAAGCCATGGCGGAGTCAGTCATGTGTCTTTGAAGATAACTTCGCTCAGCTGCGTCAAGCCAGAGCCAAACCATGACTAAAAATACGGCCCTAAAACCTTAAAATGTATTTTAACCTACATGATGCACAGCCAGTTGACAGCAGTGAGCACCTTGCATTTGGAATGCTGTGAGATCATGTCCTGGTTGGGGGTTTCACTCGGCCTATCAACCCAGCGGGGTGCATAAAATTAGTACGATGTTGTAGGGGAAGTCATCTGGATATAATTGACCCCACTATAGGAATGTGAAATTTTCACCATTGGCTCAGGGCTGTAAACAGAAGATGAGAACCACCACAATGCTCATTTAGGTTGGAAATCGCTGCCTTTTTTTAAACAACCTTTTGCTATAGCCATTTCACACAAGTTGCAACTCTTGTGCAGTACTGAGGGAGATATTTATCACCTAAGTGTGTTCTGCGTCGTAATGTAAGTGAAGTACCTTTCTGATTTGGGTAAATTGCGGGAATTTTTTTTGGTGTTTTTATGGAGAACCCTGTAACAACTGAATATGCAGAAGTTAAAAACAAGCAACTTGTATGTTGCGATGTGACAAAGTTGGAAATTTCTGTTGTATTCAACTTCTCTGGCAACATCATTCCTTCTCAAGATCAGCCATAGGTGAAAAAGCCCTTGCCATGTGTATGCTACCTCTTGCATAATAATGAGACACACTTTGCAACAACATTTAAGCGCATTTACACAAAAAGGTGGGAATGTTGCTCAGGTGTAATAGTTTGCAAACGTGACTTGCAATCCAGAGGTCGCTGGTTCAAAATCCAAGCGTGGCAATTGAAACAATGGTGCAAGTTTACCAAATCCCCTCCCCTGACCTCCATCCTCTGTCGCCCAGCAGTGTAAATAAGTATACCGCAGCAAATCGGTCGGTTGCTTGTGGTGGGGTAAAGTGTGGGTCGTCTCACCTTCCAGGACATTAAGCCGGTGCAGAAGAGTCTGCTAAATAACCACGAGAGGTGCTCTCGGGCTTCCTATAATGGAGGGCCTTCAGCCAGAAGTGGCATGAGCAGGCAATTGCAGGACTGCGCCTTTACATAGGAATCGCTTACATTTGGTGTCTGCTTGAACGATTACAGCTGGCACCTGTAGTCTATTGTTGCTATTTTCATATGAAAAAAACTTTAATATTTTGACAACTTGAAGGTTTAAAGAAATGTTGCCTTAATTGTATTTAAATAGGGTTGCTATATACTGTATTACAATGTCTTAATAAATATCAATGGATCGACATTTGTTTCATGAACTATGCCTTTCCAGATATCGTATGCTGATTTTGAGAAAACGTTGAGTTGGAATTGTTCTGTATTGTGAGTTTAAGTGTAAATTCTTGAGATACATGCTGTAATTTAATATCCCATCCCATGTTATTCTGCAATACAATTTTACTATTTCCCATTAATTCGATACACATTTTTTGATATGGGTGTTAAAATGTCATCCGAATATATATTTTTACCACCTTAAACTTCAATACGTATATAATCTTTCCATTATTAAAAAAAAATGGTAGGTTAAACAATAATTAGTTGTTAGAGTATAGCTCGTACGCTTTTGCTATGTTTCAAACATTTTGGTCCTCATTATTTGCACTTTATATTCATGCATGTGAGCATTCTCAGTTCGTATCTACATCAAACAAAAAAAAAACAATAATAATATAGCCTTTGGGTACTGGCATTGCATGAACACCAACTAAGAATGTGGCTCTTTTCTTTTGCTTGTTTACCCAGGAAAGCCACCTTGAGTCTCAAGGCTCTATCATGAGGGTCCTGCAAGTTTTTCCTCAGTGGGGGGGGGTGATGTTGCTTTGTGCAATTCAAATCGAGTTTTTTGTAGGTAATGTTGACCAATATCTGTTACATATGGTGGGGGGAGGGGAGTAGCTATGAGAGAAAACCATAGAACCCGGAGGAAACCCATACACATCAAGGGGAGAACACACAAACCCCACAGAAATGCCACCGAGTCAGGAATCGAACCGATGTGCTTCTTACTAAGCCACAAATGTTACCCAAAGTCATTATCATTGAAATAAAGTGACACTCTTTGAAACACTTCCATGACTTTGCTAATCACGTTCTGAGACCGGCATCAGTGTTTTTGTTAAAGCTTTTATAGTCTCGACAATGACAAGGGGGAAGCTTGCTGTGGGGTGTCACGGGTTATGACACTGGACTCTCAACCCCAGAGGTCGCTGCAGTCGAATATTCTGGAGTGGTAGTTGCAGCAAGTTCCTTTAACCCAGCACCAAGTGTGGGTGAAAAAAATAAATGCATTATTGAGCTCCCCCCCCCCAAAAAGTGTATTTTTATAATTTTTGCATGGTGTACAGTCTGGAAAGTACCCACATGGCAAATTTCAAGTTTGTTGCATGTCGGGAAGTACGCTAAACATTTTGAACAGACACATCATCACAATTTTGATTTAAAGCTTTCGTGATTGCAGGGATTCATTTTCTTGGTTCTTTCGGTAAAGTCACGAAACGTGAGAATTTGTATTGCTTTATATTTTTATTATTGTATTATTTCCCTTCTACGTGACTTTACCGAAAGAACCAAGAAAATACATATTCACAACTTTGCCTTTTAAATCTATGGAGATGTTGTAATTGACCACGGTCCCTTACGTTATGGCAAGCCTCGGGGCCACTTCCTGGAGTCGTGGAGTGCTTCCATTACTAGTACGGTACATTTCATTAAAGCGTGTTTAAAAAAAAAAGTATTTTTTACAATATTTATTACTAATTTAATTTCAAGTTTTAAAGTTTTAATCTTATAAATACACCGGTTGTGAGGACACTCGTCGGTCAAATCGCCGCGGTCCCTTTTATAGCCATCACCAACAGCTGGGCGTGGAACTCCGCCGCCGACGCTTCCCGGCTGCAGCCCGCGCCTCCCCTCCTCGTCGGATCCTCCTTTAACCTCCTTCACAACCTCCTTCACCACCTCCTTCACAACCTCCTTCACCACCTCCTTCACCACCTCCTTCACAACCTCCTTCACCCTCCGGCACGCCGACAGCAGCTCCCACGGCGTCGTGATCGGGGGGTGGGTTGCTTTGCCCGCTCGCAGTTGCAGCCGTCCAGTGAGACACGCATTGTGTGGGTGAGGTGGCACAACAACAACAACAACACACTTTGTGGGTGAGGTGGCACAACAACAACACACACTTTGTGGGGAGGTGGGCACAACAACAACACACACTTTGTGGGTGAGGTGGGCACAACAACAACAACACTTTGTGGGTGAGGTGGCACAACAACACATTTTGTGGGTGAGGTGGCACAACAACAACACACACACTTTGTGGGTGAGGTGGCACAACAACAACACACACTTTGTGGGTGAGGTGGCACAACAACAACAACACTTTGTGTGGGTTAGGTTGGCACAACAACAACAACACACACTTTGTGGGTGAGGTGGGCACAACAACAACACACTTTGTGTGGGTGAGGTGGGCACAACAACAACAACACACACTTTGTGTGGGTGAGGTGGGCACAACAACAACAACACACACTTTGTGGGTGAGGTGGGCACAACAACAACACACATTGTGTGAGTTAGGTGGGCACAACAACAACACACACTTTGTGGGTGAGGTGGCACAACAACAACACACACTTTGTGGGTGAGGTGGCACAACAACAACAACACACTTTGTGGGTGAGGTGGCAAAACGACAACAACACACTTTGTGGGTGAGCTGGGCACAACAACAACAACACACTTTGTGGGTGAGGTGGCAAAACAACAACAACACACTTTGTGGGTGAGGTGGGCACAACAACAACACACACTTTGTGGGTGAGGTGGCACAACAACAACACTTTGTGTGGGTGAGGTGGGCACAGTGGCCCAACAACAACATTTTGTGGGGGTGAGGTGGGCACAACAACAACAACACTTTGTGTGGGTGAGGTGGGCACAGTCACCCAACAACAACACACATTGTGGGTGTAGGTGGGCACAGTGGCCCAACAACAACAAAACACTTTGTGAGTGAGGTGGGCACATTGGCTGGTCACCCCGTGGTGCCCTTATAAAACTCAACGTTTAACCTACTCACGCCGGCTTGTGCCCGCCCTCACAGTGGGGCATATTTGCGGAATACACCACGCCGCCGTTGACCCTGGCCATTGACCGAGCAACCCAACGTTCCTACCAGCTCCCTCCGCAGGAATTTGTTTAAATGCCCTCGGATTGGGCATCATCGTTCAATGCCGTAATTGCAGTTCACGCCCGGCTACGTTAGCTCGCGAGACCGCGTGCTCAGGGGAGAATTAAGGACATTTTAAATTGTAGGGGGAGGACTTTGTCCATAATTGGATTGATAGATGTGCTGTGGATTAAACTAAATGTGGTGGGGACCTTTCACGCAGTGCTGTCTGCCATATAAAGTGGCCGTGTGTGTGTGTGCGTGCAGAAAACATGGACAGTCGGTGCTTTGGCTGTGCGTGCAAGTTTTCGATATTGAGGAAAGAGGTGAGTTTTGCTGCTGACCAACTAAAACACATGGACAGCGATATGCCCCATTGGACTTACGTGTCTGAACCTTAACCATGATTTGATATTAAAACTACAGGAGAATTACACTCTGACCTAATATCCCGTAGCAGCAAAATGGTCCCAATTAATTCCATTATCCGCATTTCCCCGAAATAAATAATTGCCGATCAGCTTCCTTTAATGTGTAAAAAAAATTGCGGATTTGAGCAGAAAATGTGGCTTATTTGTATCTATTATTTGTATCTATCGGAATCTACAAAGTGTGTCTCCCTCATCAGCACGGATAAGAGGACTTCTGTAATAAGCCGGGCGGTGGTGGGCTTTAATCCAGCATTGTGGAAGTGACTGTTGATGGATTGCACAAATGTTGTCAAACTCCCTTTCCCTGTGTGCATCGAGGTGCCATCATACCCTGGCTTGTCAGGAGAGTGCGGTACATCAAATGTGAACTCCACACCTGTTCCATCTGTATAGGATAAGAGTATTGTCCCCACCCCCCTCGCCCACGTGGGGCTTCTCCGGGTGGTTTCGGTGTCCTCCCACGTGTCGGCGCTCATTAATTGGCTGATAACGCCTTAATATAACGAAGATCCACAGAGCTTGAGGGAGAATGTGGTGCTGGTTCACAGCGTGGCTGCCTTTCTGGCTTGTTTGTAGTAACTCGCACCTCTGAATCGTTTTCTTTTTTTAAATCCTTTAAATTAAGTTCACTTGCTTGCTTGCTTGCGCGCTTACGACTGTGCAAATCTTTCGGTCGTTTTTAACCCACGTGATCCAATCGAGCTGACATTTTGCACACAGACTGGTTGTGCGTGACAATTTATTTTCGTGAAATTTTTTTTCCAAAATTTTACACTTTTAGGAAAAAAATAAATAATATTTAATTACCAATTGCTTAATGGTGGCAGGCAATCATCTGACCCATAGGTGGCAGCCATCTCAAGCCAGAGGACGAGAGGACTCTAGCCGCCACGCATATAAAGGATTTATAGTGAAAAACTTTGTTTTTACGGGTTAATTTTTTATTTACACGCTTTGTTATTTAACTCACCTTCGTCTGTTGTATCCTGAAAAAATAAATCTTGTAACTCAATTTTTACACACTTCCCAATGTGCTGTTGACTGCAAACTTCGTATAGGTATGTCATACTGATGACAACACGATATTCTATCATAAAAAAATCCAAAACATTTTAAAACTTTGTACACGCTTTTATTTTACTTACTGTATGTGTTGTATCCAAAATTCTTGTAACTCAATTTCAACCGTATTCCCAATGTCGTATCGACTGCAAACTTCGTATAGCTATGTCATACTGATGACAACACTATATTCTATCATAAAAAAAATCCAAAATATATTTAAAAACTTTTTCCACGCTTTTATTTAACTTACTGTATGTGTTGTATCCAAAATTCTTGTAACTCAATTTCAACCGTATTCCCAATGTCGTATCGACTGCAAACTTCGTATAGCTATGTCATACTGATGACAATACTATATTCTATGATTAAAAATTTAAAACATTTTTTGACAATCGTTTTAACGGCTCTAATTGTCCACGCTCAACTGACGTTGCCTGTAAATCACCACAGTCCCTTACGGCACGGAAAGCCTCGGGGAGCCACGCCCAGGGGCGGGGGGGGGGAAGGAGGGGAGGGGCGATGGGGGAATGGGGCAGGGGGAGGGGCAGCTCGGACAGTACATTTCATTAAATCATGTTTTTTTTAAAGTATTTTTAAATATTTTATTTAGAGAGTAAATTCTGTGCGGTGCTGCATTACAAGTTGAAATTACTAAAAATAAATTCCATCCCTTTCTGTACTCTTGTCCGCTAACAGCACGGGTGCAAGAATTGTGGACGTTCCTTCTGTGGCTCCTGCCTCTCCCGTACGGCAACGGTGGCCAAGTTTGATAAGCCACAAAAAGTTTGCAACAAGTGCTTCGACGTTCTTACCAAGTGCGTTATTAACCAACGTGTTCGTCTTTGCCATCTGCATGTTATTATTAAAATAAAATTATAGATATAGTGGTTGTGCTGTACAACTTGCTGTCTCGTGTTTTTGCGTTGTGTCGCACATTGTTTGTGTGACGTATGACATGTCGCTCCACTCGCTGCGAGCTTCTTCAGAAATGGAACTGAAGAAGCTCCGTGCACGCAGAGCGAAACGTCTGATATCGTGACGAACAACATGCGGTACAACCCGAAATCACACCAGAGATCTATTTCATCAGACTTGTAAAATTGACTTAATTCGAACTGGGATTCTTTACTGTAACCGGGTGAAGCATATTGGGCTGCTTGGTTCATCATGAGCAGATATATTTGTAATTGACAGATAAATTATAATTTGAGGTGGAGGGATGGCGCCTTAGTTACCGCACCAACCTGCACTGGCAAGCGTGGCGTTAAGAAGTATGGCCAAACGATCCCCGACACGGCTTGGAGAGGTCTTCATCTCGCAGTAGAATGACAAAAGCGCTTTAATTAATTATAATCATTTAAGAATGTGTATTCTGGTTATTTTGCTAATACGCAATAACCTTGTGAATTCTGGCACGCAGTCTTTAATACCTACACCTAGTTACTCGTTAGCGTTGCTCAGCATCATGTGCCTTGTCATTTAAGCTTTGGTAAAACTATATTTCTGTTTTCCTTATGTACATATTCATGAGTGATTTGTTCATACTGAGTGTATCTTTCTAATCAATGCAGGCAGGGTGGCGGTGGAATTCCAAGTCGGCCCACCCCTGAGCTCTCACCTCCCGCCAATTACAAGAAGTGCGTAAAATACGGACTGTTGCTTATCAGCATTCGTGCTAAAAAATATATATTTCGGTATTCCAACTTCATTCCCAACTTTGATGCATGCTCCGGTTCTGTTATCTGCTCCTCACTCATGACTCCATGCTTTCCCCCCTTTGCTCTGGATAATAGAGTTGTCTCTATGCACTGTATAAGTTCAAAATAGCATACTGCATGTATGTATGTATGTTGGACTTCTTTCGCACCGTATGTAGCCAACCATCCTTATCGGGGGTGCACTGGAATTTCCGTCCAGAGGTTGCAGGTTCGATTCGATCTGGAGCAAGTTTGAAACCTTCGGACAAGTTTATTAAATCCCCCAGCCTGTCCACCCAGTAGTATATTAAACTATTTTTATTTTACCAGGTAAGGCTCACTGCGCTATATAACTCCTTTTCAGAAGCTATTTGGCCACAAATGATAGTAGCTTATCATGTGGATATTTATAACAGCCAAATACTCTAAATGCGTGTTTCTAAATGTGGAGGGGAAAATCGGAAAATCCACAGTGAAAACATGCAAACTCCAAATATACAGGCATCAGGGTCGGGATGGAACCCACGACCTACTGTATACCAGGTGAGGTAGTTAACAACTTGCCATCTTTAGGCCCCAGTTTAAAAAAAAACCTCACATGTGGTGGGTTAAAGTGTGAGCACTCTCAACTCTTCCAAGACGTCTGGCCAGTGTGTAAGAGGAGACCACAATACCCTCTTAAGTGGAGGCTCTGTAGAGCGCCCTCAAGTGGAGGCTCTTCAGCAGTGGCATGAGCGAGCAATTGCAGGACTGCACCTTTTTCCAGCGATCACTGCTGATCATCGTCTGTGCCGTTACTCCCTCCAGACGAGTGGCGGCACTGCAGGCACGGGAGCAGGGACAGGTCGCCGGTCCAAGCACCAGCCGACCGGCATTCGACACGCGGGGGATGTCTGCAGAGGACATGGAGATCGCCGAGAGACTGGAGAAACTTAAGGCGGGAGTGCAGCCGAGTAAGAACCGCGAGCTGGAAGGGAGGGGGTCACTCCTTTTCGGTTGCTGCTCCCCTTGTCTTGTACTCATCACCGCTTGAAGATTCGCGCGGTTGATGCTTTGTCACTTTTCACATCTAGACTGAAGACCCGTACCTGTACGTGCGCGCTCAAGTGCTCGTAAAAATAGCACGCAAGCGAGTCTTGTTGTAAAGGGAAGAAGTGCTTTGCGTGATGATCAACGGCAGGTGCCGTGCTTCCACAGTCTCCTCGGTGCCGTCCCAGCGTGAAATCGAACAGCGTCTGGCCGTCCTGCGCGACGACGGCTCGCGGGATGTGCCGAGCGTGAGGGAGATGGAGGAGAGGCTGGCGCAGCTGCAGGGCCGACCGGCACCTCGCTCCGTTGGCCGACCCGTGAGTATACCGTGTTGCCGCATGCTGTTAGCACTTTTGAGTTATTGGCCCAAAAATGTCATATCGGTACCATCAAGGGTGTAAAATGCTCAAGAGTAATTTTCTTGAAGCATTTAATGTCTAGATCACATCTACTTATGATAGCAATGTGACCGTGGTAGCTCAAGCTGATGAAAATGTTGTTTCATAGCACGTTTGACAGAGAATATTGTTTTGGGGGATTGGGGGAGAAATATGATATGAAACACCCATGGAATATAAAACAGAAGTACCGAGCATAAACCACACAGTCACCCAACCCACAATGCACCGCACGTGACAGCTGCCTGCTGAGTTGAGCATACAGTACACATTGTTTTCCTACGTCTGACCGCATAACCGAAATTAAGTTAATTCAAACTGCATATAACGAATTCTGGGTAGAAATAGGTTAGCCACGTATACTGTTCGCGAAATCACACGACATGCTACAGGTTCTTGGCTGAATTTTCCCGACCCGGGGTAGCATCCTCAGGTTAAAGATAATATTGAATGGATGTGTTTGACCAGGAGCCCTGTGTTGAATGTTTGTAAATAAAGGTTCACCAGCCACCAGATAGCAGGACGCAGACGGAGCAGGCAAACAGCCTGCTGACCCAGATGTCAGAAGAGGTGGCCATTGATGGTAGATTCCACCCAGAATCGACCTCGTCAGATGGTGAGTAAAACGCATTGTACACGGAGAGACTTTAACTTGTCTGTGATGTTTGATTGAAAATATCAGCAGGTGGTAATGACGCTATATTGAAGGGTGTGATTTTATTTTGTAGTGAGTAAATGAGCCACTCCAGAATCTTCAGAGATATTATTAGCATTATTGTTATTGCTTTGCATGTACAGAACACACGTGCGGTCTGCTGCATAGATGCTCGTTGGATCATGCAGCAAATTCAGGCCTAGTTTACAAATTTTGGATGATCTGTAAATATTTGTTATTCTGTTGGATTGATGTAAAAGTATGACATTACTCAAATGATGCAACGCCCATACCTTTCATGTAAAAAATGTCACAGTATCAGGTGATTTCACCTTTGATTGCATGTTGAATTAATTCCGAATATAACTGATCTTAAAATATAAAAAAAATATCCAAAATTGTCTTTCAATAATTAAAAAAAAATTTGATTCTTTTTTTATGCGAAACTCACTGCTGACATGCAGTAAAGTACATGATAAAGTTTTTTTTGAAGAGTGGTGCATTTTTTTCAGCCTGGCATAGACGTTTTGTCCTGGTAATCGGATACTTCTCTCTCTTCTGAAAAGACAAAACGGCTATGAACGACCTCAACAAGGGCACCAATGACAGCTTCCCGCTGAACATTGCTGCCGACGAGGAGGGCGACTTGAGCAAAGCCCTGGAGCAGGAGACGAAGAACGTATTGGCTGCAGCCAAGCGAGAGTTGGAGTTTGAGGCACGTGGCCGAGACGACACATTGGCTGTGGCCCGCCGCTTGGCTGCCCTTAAAGGGGATGACCCTGATAAAGGTACCAACAAGCTGCCCCATTGCGTTGGGGCGGGGGGGGGGGGTGTGGGATTGAGCCCCCCCCCCCACTCCCTCATGAAGACTCAGCCACCCCTTAAAAATTCTTAGGTCAAAAAATGTTGGTAATCTTAACGCCAGTGGCGTTTTTTTTTTAGTTTGCCTATTTGGCAAACGCAGAGGGTGAGAACCAGAGCATAATTCACAATGGACATGAGATGATGGGATCGTAATTCATTCTGTTTTAACATTTGTTTCAAGTTTATTTGACATTGTGTCATGCTTCCTTTGAGTTTTTGTTTTGCACCCCTCTTTAAATAAGTTTGAACTATAGGGTGGCCAACAATCTGTCTCTCAATGTAAACCTTACCGAGTTGATGCTGCGGGTGTAATTAACCGTAAAAATACACGCTGTCTGCGTAACAGTGGCAATTACATATCCCGTCGGTTTATTCGATAAAGGAATAGGATGGGTGTGACGGCTTCACGATTCACATTTGCTACATTTGAAAACTGACCCGCTAAATTATTCAGTTGGGAAAATGCACGGCGGTATCACCCACTACTGAAAAACTTAAGCAGAGGACAATCGTCAAAAAAACATTTTGACATTCATCTAGGCTTTTCTGGATAATAAAATGTCATGCAATAACAAGACAAAAAGAGGCGATTCTTTAATTAAATCGTAATGTTGAATCGTGACAATTGATCTAATCACAGGTGTGTGGGTGGAGGGACAGATCGTTGCACGCCAATGAAGTTTAATATGCACATTCATCGCAAATATATTTTCCTCTTTGTGTACAGTGGTTGTACAGAACTTTGTGGATTCTGACAGCGAAGATGAGAACGAAGAGAAGACCGTGCGCAGAATACTGAAGCAGGTTTGTGATGGCAGTGGGCACGGTAGATCCCAGCCACTCCAAGACTATTCCTAACACGTTAGCATTTTGTACTTGAGGTACTCTGTAATGGAAAAGGTGCAGCCCTGCATTTGCCTACCCGTGTCATTGCCTGTGGAAGGACCTCCACTAGAGGGAGCTCTAATGTATGCATGTTGAACTTCTTTTGCACCGTACGTAGCCAACCGTGATAATCGGAGGTGCGGGGGAAGGACAACAAACTAAATACAAACAGCAGCTCTAGAGGGCATTTGATCTACCCTTCCACACTGGACAGACATCTTGAAAAATGCCGTAGTACCCACACTTTACCCTACCACACATGACCTGCCAATTGACTAACTGTGGCATACCTATTTATGCTGATAACTGGACAGAGGCTGGAGTGGTGAAAGGGGGGTTTAGAAACTTGTCCCATTGTATCAACTGCCATTTTAGGAGATGGAACTAGCTACCTCTGGGATTGCAAGCCAATTGTACAAACCATTCCACCACGGCAGCATTCCAAGTACTGTGTAGTCAGTGTTATTTCTGTCGGTATAGTTTGGAGAAGAGGCGGCAATGGACAAGGCGAGTGGTTTCTCTGAACGCAACAATGCTGCCACCGCGTTGGAGGGTCCAAAGTTCTCACAGCTTCCAAACTCAGCTGCCGGTGCAAACAAGGTGAGCGTCAGGTCTGAGTGGTGGTGCATTTGTATGATACATCTTTGTGTCATGGACAGCCCCTTTGTCAATCCCTATGCCGTGTCAGTCATGGGGACCGTTTGACCAAACCTCACCAACCTGGTCAATGCAGGTTGGCGAAGGGGGTAGGAACAACGACTGACTGGTCTACGTAGCACTCGCCGCTAACTTTAACCGCAACTGGGAATCAAACTCTTGGTTTCCCAGCTTCCGAACCAAGCACCCCCATTTTATCTTGCAGCAGAAGACCTCCCGTGGAGTGGCAGCAGCCGTCCTCAGGCCGTCGGGGAACGAGAGCGGGAGTGACGACGAGCTGCCCTGGTGCTGCATCTGTAATGAGGACGCCGTGCTGAGATGCCGAGGCTGCGATGGGGACCTATACTGCAAGCGGTGCTACCGGTGAGCGCAAAGTCGATCCGCAGTGTGGAGGCTTTTCTTACGCTGCCATGCCCCAAATAGTTAGCACACGGGACTTGCAATCTAGAGGTGACCAGTTAAATCCGATCTCCCGACTCCGGCAGTTTTAAACGACTTGGAGCACATTTCTTCAGTTCACCCCGGCCTCAATCCACCCAGCAGTATAAATGGCTACACACTACCGTCGATCAGAAAGTCACGTGTGGTGTTGTACAGTGTGGACACTGCCACCACTATGAAGGCGTCTGGCCAGCATGGAAGAGTAGGGCAAAATACCATCAATAGGGGCTCTATAACACCCTCAAATGAAGGCCCTTCAGCCAGCAATGGCATGAGCAAGCAATGGCATGAGCAAGCAATTGCAGGCTCACACGAAATTAATTTATCTAAGATGATGGTGCTTTGCAAGCCTACTGGCGATCGACAAAGATTTGTTCATGAAGCCATCCATATATACAGACACAGACACAATTTCAACCGAGAGGATGGTTATAAACTCAGCAATCATTGGAAAGATGTCATCCACCACTTTGGGTCATGACTTGATTTTTTTTTCTTGTCAACCTCCACCATCAGCAGTGTGGGTGTGTGGAGCGAGGTGCAATGATTGCCTGGCGGCCCTTTGATTGGTGGGGACCTACTGCCAGTGTCGTTGTTTTCTCCTACATTAACATTAGCTGCCCCGCCCATGCTGCTGACACACTTGGGCTACGCCCATCTCTAAACCTTTATAAACAGTGTGCCTTTAGAGGCTAACCCCCCTTTTCCTGATGACGACCGCTTGTGTTGTGATCGAAACGTCGTGTTTTTATTTTATTTCTGAAAGAACCAAGAATAAGTCTAAATTATAGACTGCCAGTACACTCACTACGATTAAGAACCAGGCTACAGTCTACATTAGTGTTTTTTTGTTTTTTCTTTTTCTTCACTTTATTTTGTAGAATGTTTCTATCTACGTGACTTTACCGAAAAAAAACAAAGAATATGAATTGCAGGGCTGCATCTTTATCCTTTATCTTTAAGGTCATTGTTCCACACACCCAGCAATTTTACAATAAATTTAATAAATGTATTATAACATATAGATCCAGTGAAGTCTTATTTGTAGTTTTGATCTGTAGAGATGTATTGCTCGCATTGCTTGTTCATAGCCCACAATGTTGTAATGGGGAGCGGTAGTTTAGTGGTTAGCGTGCTGCGCTACGAACCCGGCCACCCGAGTTCGATTCTCGCTCACGGCACCAGTGACGAATATCTGCACCGGTTCTGGGCCTCCCCTAGGTCGACTCAGCCTCAAATGGGTACCTGGTGCGGTGTGTAAACATCGCCACTGGGGAGACAAAGGCGGTCGGGCGTGGTACTGGCCACCCACTCCCTCATATTCTATGCCGGCCTGCTCGCTAACAACACTTGCCCCAACAGTCTGTTAAGGCTATACGGAGGATCTTTGTCTTAGTTTAAATGTAATTTAAAAGTGTAATCGCTTGACATTTGTAACTGGCATCTAAATTACGCACTTCAAACTAATTGGTAATTTGTATCCATCTTACAAGAGGCACAGTTAATTTATAATTTTGCATTACTCATGTAATGTGTGATGTGACTGTATTTTGCCTGCATCTGGAGCTCGTAATGTTCATATCAAGTAGCAAATAAATTATTTTATGGCAGTATTTGATTTTGTTCACACAGGGAAGGACATGACAAGCATGACAGGCCGGATCACCCTACTGAGACGTATAAGCCCACCAAAAAAAAATAATGTAACTAAATCGCATTTTTTGAACTTAGATTTTGTATTAAGGTGGTTTACCAAGACACTTTAGATGTATAGCGGAAGCCATAATCCTGAAAAATAAGTTTTATTCCAGCAGTTATTCAGAACAATACTAAAAGTTAGTGTGAATAAAAATGGGGTCAAATAGTAAATGAATTTGTAGTTTAAACAATTTGTTATACAAATGATGTGTGCAGTCCATTGTCAATACACTGCTGTGGATGACCTTAGTTGACCAGACCAGCGCAGGTTGGTGAAGGTCAAACTCAGGACTGGTTAGGACATCACTTGCCACTGATGTTAGCCATGACTATGAAATTAATTCAGGTCAACGAAATTCGTAGCACAGTTGCGCGAACCATTGTTATTGACTTGCTCAAACTTCAGATGTGGCTTAAAATACTTTATTGACATTTTAGCAAAGCTCCCCTGTTAAAGTACTGCATTAAATGTTGAATAGCTTGAAAATAGGGTTGTCTTGTTTCATTTGTGGAATGTTGGATAACACTAATACTGTTATGGTGGAAATATTAACCGCTTTATTTCAAACTATTGGGTTTTCTGGTTGCAAATAATAGTGTACACAGCCCATTTGAATGCATTGAGTGGAGTATAGGGTTTTAACAGCTGTCCTGTACATTTGACACGTGATGCTGCTGTGCTGTAATTTTTCGCACACTTGGACATCCAACCCAGAAGTCACCGGTTTAATCTCCCGGTGTGGCAGTTGATACAATGGAGCAAGTTTATTAAATTCGGCCCCGCCTCTCCACTCATCGGTATAAATAGTTACACCACAGTCTATCGGAAGGTTGCGTGTGGTGAGTTCTAGTGTGTAAGAGAAGGCTAAAAGACCTTTGTTCAAGTGTGCAAGAGTAGGCTAAAAGAGGCCCTTCTTGCCAGCAGTGGCATGAGCAAGTAATTGCAGGGCTGCAAATGATATTTTATCTTATGTAACGACATTACCCCTAATTGATGTACCTATATCTCCAGAAAATAAATTATTACTTTGTAGTCAGTGTGCTGAGCTGGCACCGCTGAGAATCCTGGGTTCGATCCAGGCAGCAGTCGAGCTGTGATTAAACCAGCTTCTCAAAAGTGTAGTGATTTGATGTTCGCAGCCCGTTTACCAGTGATTGCACAAAAACACATTCCGTTAAATTTGGTTCTGTGCTGAATAAGGCAAAAATTCCAGCTGTATGAATTATATATCGGTTTGACTGTTATGACAAATCTCACCCTCATATAGAGTCAGTGAGAAGTACTGCCCTCTTATGTGTGCGGCCACTTGAAGGGATTTCTGCTTCCGTTCTACAACACGAAGGGTTGCACTGCTCCACGCAGATATCGGAAAGGATACTTCAAATTACATAAAAGAGGGCCCTACAATGTGCCTGTTTTTTGTCGCTAATGACTAAAGAAACCCCATGTGGCATTCTGCCACAAGCCCTTGTATCTCCATGTCCCCGTGTCGCCATTTCCTGAATGCGAGTTTACGAATGATTTGAACTTGTAACACGCTGCACATTATTTGCTCACCCGAAGAGAAAATGACTCGGGCATGACGAACTACAGACAAGCGGGAAGACGACGGCCAAGTGGTGAAACGCCACGGACAATTTCCCCATGTTTTGTGGTTCTCTAATATGTTAAGATGTTTTCAGCAAATTGATGATTTATTTACACGTTGAAGCTGGAGGACCTGGACAAAACAGATGTGTACGAGGGAGCAACACTCAATCTCACACAGACGGGACAGATGGAAGTGAACATTTGCTGTACCGCTTTCTGGCAAGCCGGGGTATGGCAACTCGACGCCCATGGAAAGGAAATTCACATTTTTTGTGATTCACCAACCCTCGCCTTCACATTCTTAGATGATAGGCCACATGCAATGCCACCATTTCCCAGCAAAGTAATTTGGGTAGCCTCGAGTATTTTTGTGACAGACAAGACCAGGCCATGCACAAGAGTTGTCTCCTATGCATAGTATACATTGGGAGTGGAAGTACATAAATGCAATTGCGTGTTTCTTTGCAGTCTTTATATTTAGAAATAGCAACTAACTCGTGTGCTTCCAAAATCTGAGCTCTTAGTAATAAAAAACTGCTGGGTTTATATACATTTTAAAAAATAAACATTTGTAAATGATAACGGCCCCAATCCATAAAAAGGAATATAAGTCAACGTTTTGTGCAATTTGACCTTCATAGCAACAACCAATAAACTTAACACGTTCGTCAGTAACACTGGCACCTTAAAAGTAAAATCTAAACATGAATAGGTGACGTTTCGGGCCCTTCACAGCACATGGTCAATGATGCAGAAAAGATGATAAATTGGATTGTATACAGAAAGATGATCAATGAACAGAGACATATCAATGTCTTCATAATAAAGGTTATTTGGGTTAGATCACGTAAGTATAAATGTGTCGTAACCCTCCCACCACCCGTCGCAGCCAGTAAGGTTTATCACGTAAACAAAAAAACGTGTGTTGGAGAGTAAATTTGGCAAATCGCCTGATTCTGGCTGTAATTACCAGCGAAACGTCGTACTCAATTTGTAAATGTGGATTTACTGTCCAAACGCACTGGTGGGCTGAAATTCTAGATTAGAAGCTTTCGTGACTGCAAGGATTCATACTCTTTGTTTTTTTTGGTGATGTCACGTAGGTAAAAAATGTAATAAAATAAATTAAAACTAAATTAAATCACGTTTCGGGCGCAACACAAGCGTCCGTCATCAGGTGGGAAAGCATGGCCTGCTGCTGATGCAGACTGTTTTAAAGGTTTATGTCTAAGTGACAAACCTTACTGGCCGTGTGGAGCGATGGTTGGTCACGACACACATTTATATTTCTTGACTTAAAGCTTTCGTGACTGCAGGAATTAATATTATTTGGGTCTTTCGGTAAAGTCACGTAGATAAGTTCAAATATTTTTTATTAATAAAAAATAATCAAAAGTGACGTAGATAGGTTCAAATTATTTTTTTTCATTAAGAAAAAATAATAAGTTCAAATTATGTTTTATTAATTAAGAAAAAATAATCAAAAGTCACGTAGATAGGTTCAAATTATGTTTTATTCATTATTTTTTATTAATTAATAAAGAAATTAAACCTATTATTTATTCATTAATAAAAAAATAATAGGTTTAATTTCTTTATTAATTAATAAAAAATAATCAGTCACGTAGATAGATTCAAATTCTTTTTTTATTAATAAAAAATAATAGGTTCAAATTATTTTTTATTAATTAATACAAAATAATTTGAACCTATCTGCGTGACTTTACCGACAGACCCAAAGAATACACATTTATATGTAAGCAATCTAACCCTCCCCCCCCCCCCCAAAAAAAACCCCACACATTTACCATATTGTTCTTGAAAGGCAACTTTACGCGTGATATCGATGTCAGTGGGTCACGTCTCCACGTGCGTTTGGCGAGCGCCACCTCGTGGCAGGAGGCGACTTGGACCGTGGGGAATGCCGCAAATCGTTGCACGGTCGTCGGAACGTGGCAGAGTCAACGCTAAAGTTGAACACTGGGTATACCGCTGCTGTTGTTTATACATTTCACTCTGTCCAAGTCGATGTTATTATTATTGCATTCGCGGATGGTGGTTCAGGACCGATGAAGCGGCGTTTGTGATTCGTGCATCACGGGGTGGGGAGGTCACTTGACTTTGAACATCGGCTCTTGATTGTATTATGATGTTGGACGACTCTGCTTTGACCATTGCGGTGGGGTGGGGTGATGAACGCAATGATAATTGCAGCCATTACGTGAATCGTAGACGGCCACGCTTCTCCATTGCTGATTCCCACCAGGCCCTTCTCTGCTGCCCCCCCCCCCATCATCATCATCGGACTCCCCCCTTGCAAAATCCTTTATCCACCATCCCCATCGGAACTCGCTCGTCCATCCTCCTGACACCCCGAGCTCTCTCCCCGTGTCCACATCGCCACGCTCAGCCCCGCCGTTGTAAGATGTCCTCCTCCTCGTGTCACTCCTCGACACTTCCCCCCCCGCCCTCCCGTCCTCCCGCACCTTTCCCCCCTCCCCTCACCCCCCTCCCCTCACCCCCCTCCCCTCAACCCCCTCCCTTCACCCCCCTCCCCTCACCCCCCTCCCCTCACTCCCCTCCCCTCACTCCCCTCCCTTCACCCCCCTCCCTTCACCCCCTCACCCCTCCCCTCACTCCCCTCCCCTCACTCCCCTCCCTTCACCCCCCTCCCTTCACCCCCTCCCCTCCCTCCCCTCACCCCCCTCCCCTCCCTTCACCCCCCTCCCCTCCCTTCATCCCCCTCCCCTTCACCCCCCTCCCCTTCACCCCCCTCACTCCCCTCCCTTCACCCCCCTCCCTTCACCCCCTCCCCTCCCTCCCGTCCCCCCCTCCCCTCCCTCCCGTCCCCTCACCCCCCTCCCCTCCCCTCACCCCCTCCCTTCACCCCCCTCACCCCCTCCCTTCACCCCCTTCCCTTTTTTTTTTACGATCAGTAGAAACAAGAAGATGCTCGGTGTATTCGGCACTTTGTTTCGTTCATCATTTCGTAATTTTTTTTTTTTTTTTTTTTTTTTTTTTTTTTTTTAAATTTTTTAAAACGGGGCTTTATGTAGCCCTCGCTCGCTCGCTCGCTCGCTCGCTCGCTCGCTCTCTCGCTCACTCTCCCGCTTGCTCGCTCTCTCGCTCTCTCTCACTCGCTCTCTCTCTCGCTCATTCTCTCGCTCACTCTCTCGTTATTCACGCCGCCCCCCTCGCAGTCCTATGGCCTCCGACGGGTAGCTCATAACAGCATGCAGAGCTCCCCATCATCTGCCACGGAGCACACGGCCTCCTCCATCGCCCACTGCTCCTTGAAGGCCGGCACGGCGTGGGTCAGCCGCGCATGGCGGAACTCCAGCCACACCCTGGCTCCGACCAGAGCGCGGAAGATGCCCAGGCTGCTGGCCGGACGTTTCCCCTCCAGGGCCACCTTCCTCGCCCTGTAAATGGCGAGCTTGGCGTAGCCGACAAGCACGTTGACCAGCCCCTGAAGATGTTGGGATCCGTCGCCCTTTCACCCCCTCCCTTCACCCCCCTCCCCTCACCCCCCTCCCCTCACCCCCTCACCCCCTCCCCCCTCACCACTACCCCCCCCCCCTTATCTCCGCATTCCTCCCTCCCCCCGCCCTCCTTTCTACTCACCATCGCCCCCCTAAAGCTCACGCTCCCCCCCTTCATCCCCTCATTCTCCTTCTCTCACCAATAATTACGCCCATTACCCCCTCACCCCTCCCCTCACTACTATCCCCCCTCACCCCCTCCCCTCACTACTATCCCCCCTCACCCCCTCACCACTAACCCCCTCACCCCTCCCCTCACCACTACCCCCCTCACCCCCTCCCCTCACCACTACCCCCCCCTCACCCCCTCCCCTCACCACTAACCCCCTCACCCCCTCCCCTCACCACTATCCCCCCTCACCCCCTCCCCTCACCACTAACCCCCTCACCCCTCCCCTCACCACTATCCCCCCTCACCCCTCCCCTCACCACTATCCCCCCTCACCCCCTCCCCTCACCACTAACCCCCTCACCCCCCTCCCTCACCACTACCCCCCTCACCCCCTCCCCTCACTACTACCCCCCTCACCCCCCTCCCCTCACCACTACCCCCCTCACCCCCTCTCCTCACCACTACCCCCCTCACCCCCTCCTCTCACCACTAACCCCCCTCACCCCCTCCCCTCACTACTACCCCCCTCACCCCCCTCACCTCACCACTACCCCCCTCACCCCCTCTCCTCACTACTACCCCCCCCCTCACCCCCTCCCCTCACCACTAACCCCCCTCACCCCCTCTCCTCACCACTACCCCCCTCACCCCCTCCTCTCACCACTACCCCCCCTCACCCCCTCCCCTCACCACTACCCCCCTCACCCCCTCCCCTCACCACTACCCCCCTCACCCCCTCCCCTCACCACTAACCCCCCTCCCCCCCCTCCCCTCACCACTACCCCCCTCACCCCTCCCTCACCACTACCCCCTCACCACTACCCCCCTCAACCCCTCCCCTCACCACTAACCCCCTCACCCCCTCCCCTCACCCCTACCCCCCCTCACCCCCTCCCTCACACTACCCCCCTCACCCCCTCCCCTCACCACTAACCTCCCTCACCCCCCTCCCTCACCACTACCCCCCCTCACCCCCTCCCCTCACCACTACCCCCCTCACCCCCTCCCTCACCACTACCCCCCTCACCCCCTCCCCTCACCACTAACCCCCCTCACCCCCCCTCCCCTCACCACTACCCCCCTCACCCCCTCCCCTCACCACTACCCCCCTCACCCCATCCCCTCACCCACTACCCCCCCTCACCCCCTCCCCTCACCACTACCCCCCTCACCCCCCTCCCCTCATCACTATTGCCCCCTCTCCTCACAATCTACCCCCTCATCACCCCTCCCCTTAATCCTCTTTCTCACCACTGTCCGCCCCTATTCCCCCCTCCCCTCATCTCCCTCCCCTCACCCCCCCTTCTCCCTCCCCTCACCCCCCCCTTCCTTCCCCCCTCCCCTCACCCCCTTTCCTTCCCCCCTCCCCTCATCCCCCCCTTCCCCCTCCCCTCACCCTCCACCCCCGTCTCCACAATGCACCGCGCGGGGCAGAGCGCACGGGCGCGCGAACCCCGATTCAAAATGGCGGAGAGCGCTTAGCGGGCGGCGGCGGCGACCGAGAGAGAGAGAGAGACTCTCACTCCATCAACAACATCAACAACAACAACTATTAGACAACAACAACAAGGTCACGGCTCGCCAACACCCAGCGGGGAACACGCCGCACCGCAAGCCGAGCCAAAGAACAAACGACAACCACCGCCGCCTGTACCATCACTACCACCACCATCACTACCACCACCATCAGCGCCGCTGCCGACAGCAACAGCAGCAGCAGCCGCCCCGAGTAACCGCAGCAGCAGCAGTAGCAGCATCGGCCTCGACTCCTCCACAGTAGTGGAGCCTCGGCGTCCTTGTAGTCGGCCTCTCCTGCACTCCATCGGTCACGTCGTTCCGTAGCATCTCCGTACCATCATCACCACCACCACCATCATCACCATCGTCGTCGTCCTCACACTCATCTCCGCCTCCATTACCCCCCCCCCCACCCCGCCTATCAATCAGCATCAGCCTCGTGTGCGATCCGGCCGCACAAACCAGCCGTAGGTGTCAACGCAATCTGGCTCCTGTACAGCCGTGAATCGCCGGTCTCGTCCTCACATCTCCCGGCATTGTCTCGCGTTAGATTCCCTCGACATCAGCCGCAAGCTTCACATTCATCGTCGTCCCTCATCCTCGCCTTCATCTTCTTCCTCACCGCCCTTGGGGACTCACACCCCCCTCCCCGCCGCCGCCCGGCGGCTCCGTCCAATGGCCGAGCCGCGTAGGGCCACACTGTCCACGGTCTCGGGCCCCTTCGTGGCGGACAAGAAGGCCGAGGGGGACGCGGGTGCCAAGGCGGCCAAGGCGACGACGGCTCAGCGCTTCGTGCTCACGCTGGGCGAGTCGACGGACGAGGCGTGCCCCGAGTTCTATTACCCCGAGCTGCTGCTGAGAGCCGCCGCGGTGAGGACATGGCGAGGTGGTGGTGGTGACATGGGTGGTGGTGGCATGGGTGGTGGTGGTGCCGGGGACATGGGTTGTTGTGGTGGTGGTGGTGCCGGGGACATGGCGAGGTGGTGGTGGTGGTGACATGGGTTGTGGTGGTGGTGCCGGGGACATGGGTTGTTGTGGTGGTGGTGGTGGTGCCGGGGACATGGGTTGTTGTGGTGGTGCCGGGGACATGGGTTGTTGTGGTGGTGGTGGTGGTGGTGCCGGGGACATGGCGAGGTGGTGGTGGTGGTGACATGGGTTGTGGTGGTGGTGCCGGGGACATGGGTTGTTGTGGTGGTGGTGGTGCCGGGGACATGGCGAGGTGGTGGTGGTGGTGGTGACATGGGTTGTTGTGGTGGTGCCGGGGACATGGGTTGTTGTGGTGGTGCCGGGGACATGGCGAGGTGGTGGTGGTGGTGACATGGGTTGTTGTGGTGGTGCCGGGGACATGGGTTGTGGTGGTGGTAGTTTATTGGGGAGATGATACATCACGTTGTGGTCGTGGTGCATGGAGGAGTAACGAAAAGGGAAGAGGAGACGACATGGTTGTGGTGAATGGAGGTTAGAGTAGACGACTTGGGCCGTGGTGTTGCATGGAGCAGGTAGAGGAGACATGGTGGGGTGGGGGGGTATAGAGGAAACGGTGTGGGTCATGGTCGTGGTAGTCCACCCAAGAGACGCGAGGGGGTACAGGAGATGTGGGTCGTGGTGTGTAAAGAATGGAGAGGAGACGGCATGCGTGATGGTTTGTACATGAAGGGTGGTCATGTCTTGCGAGGGGAAACATCAGGGGCCTAGACAATGGGTCGTGGTGGTGCATGGAGGGTTGTCTCTCTTGGAGGTTGTGGGGGGGGGGTTCTTGCTCGGTTGTCTGGCTGACCGTACAGCATGTCTGGTCCTCTATCCTGTTGTCACTTATGTCTAACCCTCTGCCCGATCGCTCAATATATCTGTTCCACTGTCATCTGTCCGTCCCTCTTGACTGCCATTCTGGCTCTCGGGCCCTCTCTCTGCCTGACATTTTCCGTATGCTTGTCCAGCTGTTCCTGCAAGTGTGCCCCAATGTTTCCTGCCTCTGTCCCCACATCCCAACACCTGAGCTGTGTACCTGTACGAATGGCCTGTCTCGCTGCTACTACTCTGCTCCGTCCGTACGGTTGTTTTTGTTTCTGGTCTTCCATTTGTATATTTGCCTCCGTGTCAGCCTATCCCACCATGCCCAGTGCCCTGTTGGGGGTTAGGGGATGGTGACCATGATGGTAACGATGGAGGTATCTGGGTGCTGTTGGAAGCGGAGGCCAATTCGCGGCGCCGTAGGTTCTCCCCGAGTTCGATTACCAATGAAATCCCGCTGCCCCGTACACTGTACATGGAATCTCACTGTAATGTTTCGCTGCTGTTGTTGACAATGGCTTGGCAGCGAAGTCCGTGTGGACTTAGCTGTGCGTAATTAGCTGCCGTCTGGGAACGACGGGAACACAGTTGGGAGTGAGTGCCTCGTAATGGAGAATCCTGGGATGTTGTGTGCCCCCCTTGTTCTTTAAGGTCACGCACAAAAGTGGCGTGGCATTGGGCTACCTTGCGTGTTTTAAAAGACAACGAGCATTGCGGGCCTGCATTCGTGATGATGATGACAGCAGCCGCTGCTACTTGCTTGCCGTGTGTGTGGTGTTTGCCTACAAGAGAGTTTTAACATGCACATATCGGTGGTGCCGGCTGCCTTGTGTGTGTGGGCGGGGGGGGGGGGCTCCTTTAGTTGGCTTACGTGCCGCAGCGATGGGAGACCTGGCTTTCGTGCCATAGCGATGGGAGACCTGGCTTACGTGCCAAATGTCAGGGTGTGGAATGGCAGCACGCGACTAATTCACCGTGTAGGACTTGCGGAAGAGCGTCGAAATGTGTGTGGCTGCGGGGGGGGGGGGCGGTGTCCACTTAAAGTGAACTGAACGTGTCGCGCAATCGGATATGAGCGATCATTTCTCAAAAAAGCGTTGCATATTTACTCGTTCGCGTTCAAAGCAACGTCAAGGTTGCACTGATGTGTGGTAACAATGGGATTGCGATACATTGCTCCACGTCGTGCCCAGCCAGGGTGGCTTGCAGGCGGTTAAGCCATTATGCACCTCTTGCATTATATTACGATAGCCCGCCCAGCCGTGATGATGTGCAGTTAGTGGGTGGTGCTACTGCATTGTGGACCTGTGCACCCCCCTCCACACACACTCACCCACCCACTCGCATCACTCATCTACCCCACCCGACCACATCACTCGTACGTTCGCCGCTTTCCAAAGCCACCCAAACCGCATGCACCGCCGTGCTGCAGCACCAATGTCACTACCCTATTGACAATGATGCGGGGGGATGGCCGAGGGGCTTTGGCGAAGGGGTTTCTGCGAGGGAAGGTGTGTGTGTGTGTGGTCTTCTAGTTTTCGTACCCGGCGGAACGTAACGTGATGTAAGGCGAGGTGGGGTCGGCTCTGGGCCTGTCCCCGCCGAGGGAGGAGCGTGGTGGAGGGGAGGCCCTTTGGGAGGGGAACCGGTGCCAAACCCCAGAGCAGTCCCCTTGCTGCCGACATCTTGTCATGGATGTCCCCCCGGCTATGGCTCTTGGCTTGAGCCAAGAGTCGGGAGGGAGGGAGACAAACGTGTCTGGCGCAGGGTCTGTGACATAGAGGGGTAATATTGCACGTGTGCAAGTTACCGGCTCCCCTTGTTGGTAGAGGGGTTGGAGGGGAAGCAAATCCTAGTTCCTGATCGAGTTGTTTTGACATTGCACGAGGTTGTGGCGTATGCAGGTACACCTTAAATGAGCACAATTCATCGTTGCATTGCACTGGTTGGAGGGAAGGCGAATGGCAACGTCTTGTTGCAAGCGCACTGCTTCGGATATAATCACACCTGGCCTTGCGCCCCCCCCCCCCCCGCGAGTGTGCATATATGCAACTTATATTGTACCGTAACTGTTTGAGTTTTCACTGAATCGCTTATTGCTCAGCACGTTTTCGTACAGTATTTACATGACCTTTATGACCTTGTGACAGTCCGTTCAGATCTGGTACATGTTATATCACTCTGTCAATCCACTGCTGGATGACGGCCTCCGTGCCCATGTGCCTTCGTGTGGGTTGCTGAAGCCAGGGGCAAATAGACGTTAGAGCATGTAAGTGCAGTACAACAATGGATTCTTCTGCACAGGTCTCTGCTGGCGTTGAGTTAAGAATAGAGTAAACCAGCAATGCTTCAATTAGTCTTATGAGTTTTAAAGGAGTTTTTGTTGCAATGAGTTGCTTGGCCAATGCTTGGTGTAATGTTAAGGGGCCAGTGTCTATTTTGCAAAGGAGGCTTTGGAAGGATTTGCAGGTTGCTGACAATTTGATGTGTGCATATTCCATGACTTTTCTAAACATTTGAGAGGGCATGTTTATTTTAAAAGGGATAAACACACCTGGGGTGGGGGGGAGGCTTTTTTTACATAGCTGGCATTATGATCTGGCCATGTGTCACGTAATTCACTGGAAGGTGGACATTGAGTACCCTTGTCAACCTTAAGTGTACACAGCTGTCTTCCAAAGGCGAGCCAATGTGTTGTTGTAAATGGTAATGTCTGAAATTCAATTCCAAAATTGCATTATCCCTATTTGTTCTCTCCAGGTCTTCCGTTGCAATCAGACTCGTGTGTTTTAGTTATTGCCGTGAAATTGATGCATTGTCACACATTGGTTTATATGGAGCTATGCTGAACTTCTTTCGCACCAGTACGTAGCCGACTGTGCTAATCGGAGGTGCAATAGCGTCGTGTGAAGATATATTTACTTTGCCGTTTGCTAAGAGAGTAGAATTTAGATGGATGTATCCTGGCACGTTTTCGAGTGTTTGTTGCTTGAAACATGAAACGCAAAAGGAAAGTTGCTGCGTGTTGCCATGTTCGTATGGTCTGTCAACTTACAAGCGTTCATTGCGGTTTGGCTGAGTATTTTTCATTACCTGTCAATCCAAAACTTTTCTAGTCTTAACTTTTTAATGGGAATGCATATATTTTTTTAAAGACTAGATGACGTAAATCATGCAAGTGTTGTTACTAAGTATGTAAACTATGCACAGTTTTATGGACTAAAAGTGATTTTTGAGCTATGATATACATTGAATTGTGCGTTTAAGAATTGGATGATTTATGGTTAATGCGTACAATTAATATCCTAATGCTACGATTAGTATAGTGGAGCAATGTAGTAGTGTACAAATGACACAGGAAACTTTGAAACGGTTAAAATAAGACTACAAACGAGTCAACAAACAATTGTTAGAATCACAGCCCCACACAATGGAAATTAATTGAATCGCTCTTGGTGAGATTTCCAAATGGATTATTTGTCTCATGACATGATGCTGAGAGCAACATTGGAATGCAATTAGATGAAGGCCAAAACACGTTTCAAATTAAAATGTATAGGGTAATTTATTCTGCAAATTAATATAAATGAAAAGGGTTTTCATTATTACAATGCAATTTCAACAATGTGTCGTACAACCCAAGAACAATAATTTACAGTCAATTGTTACTCCACTGCTGGATGAAGACCTCCCCATGTCATGGGGTTTGTTTGACCATACTTCGCCAAGTTGGTCGGTTGTGCAGGTTGGTCAAGTGGAGCCAAGGGATAGTTCAGATAGTACTTGCTTCTGATGTTAGCCATTGCCTTGAATCGAACTTGGCTCACTAATTTCTTATCGCAATGCTCTAACCACTCCATCACTGTTGCCCCCCTCCCGCACCACAAAACTTATATAAAACTTTTCTGAAATAAAATTTTACATAATAAATGCTTGTTGTCATCCTCGGATCATTTTTACTATATATTGGCAATGATCAGTTCATTGTAAATTAACCACGTTTTGTTGTTTTTGTTTATCAGGGTAAAACACCAAAGAAAAATAACGACGACCCTTTTAATGAAGAGGAGAGAGAACGGAAGGAAGTTGAAGCCCTGGCCAAAAAGTTTGAAGAGAAATATGTACGTTTAGTATCAAGAGTCTGCCTGTGTATCTTCTGACAGCTTTGCACCTCAAGCCACGTGAATATTGGAACATTTTAGTGCAAATTTTATAAATGTTTATGAATCTATTTCACTCACTGCTGTATAAGTTTATCCGCTTTTTATATTTTGACCTACTGATATATATATTTTTAAGCCTGGCACAGAAACAATGATTTAAATGGGCTCCTGTATCACAACCACACGGAGCCTATGTATAGATAGCACTGACGAAACTGAATGACTTAACTGTGGCATTAACCATATGACATCGAATACAGTTTACAGATAAGTCCCCAGCGATGAAACTGGATCGTGTGCAGGTGTTAAGTGGATTGTTACATCACAGGGCCATGTGAGATGACGATATCTCTTTACACTTATGCAGCAAGTTTACTTGAAGCTTACAAAATGAACAAGACAGATAATGGAAATACTCCTCGGTACTTTTTGTAATATCTTTAAAATGAGATGCAAAAAATTCTCGAATCACGACTTCCAATCTTGAGTTTATGAAAGCGGTTCAGGGTGTATCATTGCATACGTTCAAATTATCACTGCTAAATATTAATAAAATTTCAAATTAATAAATATAAAAATTAAGGCAGAAGTAAAATATGATGACTATTATATCCGCATATCCACGGAACAAAGTTGTTGGAGACCGCACCACATTGGTTAGCAAAATCTCGTCCTTAAGTGTAGTTATGCGGGAAATGTATTGTTCAGGCTGCTTTTGGAAAAAAATGATTGCCACTTTAACTTTCTTCCCATGTATTCCTGTGCCGTGTGTGGTATTGATTACAGTCTACTTCAAAGCAAAAGCTTCGGAGAGATCGAGTTCAGGATCTGGTCGACATTGGCTATGGTTACGATGAAACGGATTCCTTTATTGACAACTCGGAGGCAGTAAGTAAACTTGTCCGGTGGTGTGTGCTGCTGACATTTCTCTGTTTGTGTGCTAAGTTTTTTGTTTTCTAACACTTTGTGAGCGAATTCTGAAACTATTTAATTTTCCCGGACTGATACAAAATCTGATAACAAGTTGTTGCAGCAATTTATCAGTTGCGTAATGTTTCAACAATTGCTACTGCGTTTGTTGTTTGGGTTTCAGGAGCATTCTTAATTTTCTTTGCACACTGGACCGTGCCACCTTGAGATGCCAATGTATTTAAACGGTATTTACAATTATTATTATGGTTAAGCTGAGTCTGATACATCAGGTGCCATTTAACATCACTTTATAGCGGGAATACTTTGCCAGTGCTCTGTGTACAACACTTGAGTCAGGAAAACCTGGTCAAATGGGTCCGTAAAGAAATAATTAACCTTATGGAAATGTGTCCCATTTGTTTTAGTGTGTGCGTGGAGGACAGTCGTCAATCTAACCAGTTGGAGCGCATATGTATAGAGTAGAATATGCATTGACGTTTGGAAAATTACCACTTCTGCCCACTGCTTTGGGTTTCTGATAAAAGCAGGAATGATTTTTGCCCTCAGAGGAGTCTTAAAGAACTGACTGCTGGGAGCATTAGAGCGCATTCACAATCCATAATGGGGTTTTATTTGAGGTTACTTTTTGTTTTTAATATCGCATGAAGCGTTCATGCATGCCACATCGGTTATTGTACCGCGTTTATGGAGACTAGTCACGACTTCAAGGTGGCCAATGTTGCATTGTACCCCCAACAATCAATTGTACTCACCCAAGTGTCAACATTGTATGGTAATTACTGATCCCATAACCTTTATCTGGAGTGCTATATATAGGCATGCTCATCTAGTAACTTGAGCATATTCAAAACGATCCGTTTCTCCTCTCCCACTTGGTGCCTCGGTGTGTAGAAGGTTGTTTTCCAATTGTGGCGAAGGTGGAGACATTTGCAGGGTGTGTGAGGGGAGTGTGGATGGGTTGCTGGGGTACCCAAATGCCCCTGTGGTTAGCAGCCTTTGCCAGCGGGGGTTAGCCAATTTGCGCAGTGCTGCTGGTTTTGAATCCCACATCCAGTCTGGTAAATTCTGCAGGGAATTGCAGGAGCTTGGTGTCTTCTATATCCATGTTTAAAAACGCGCCACCACTTACATTTATCAGTGTATCGTTGCCATTGCCCAAACCCAACTTTGCATATTATCCACAGCTCTCCATGCCAAATTTCACCCATCTATCCAATAATGCAGGCTCTCCCTTCGAGACAATTTTTGTGGGGTGCGAACGTTGGCGAACAAAGAGAGTGGAACAATATGGACATCCGGAACAAACACCTCATTTGAGACGCACACATCTCAACATCGCATCTCGTGGCTTTGACGTTCCTCCTCAAAGGCACTGGTGCACCATCAACCGAATCAGAACGCCAACAGGCCGATTCGCACATTTCCTTCATAAATGGAAAATGAAAGACAAGCCACAGTTGGATTAAGACCTAGCAACCCAAACTATAGACCATATGGTATGCGCTGCTTCAACCGAGGAATAGCAGAACAACACAAACTCTTTCCTGAATCCTGATTGTGGCTAGCAGACCTCAACATTGGAATTGAGCTGAACACATTATACCATATGTACCATATGCAAGAATAGTGGGTGCTTACCTTGTTAATTAAAAGTATATTGATCTGTTATCCTCTTATAGAACAGGTCTAATTGATCCAGGAACTAATGCGATAACTGAGAGAAGCTTGTGTGGGTATATACACATGCATGGACTCTGTCCAATGCTGATCTGTATTTATATGAAAATAAAACTTCTGCATGCATAGAAGAATAAATTGGAAGGCTTAATTTGGAGATAGAATGTGTTTATCCTCATGCATTATGTATTGCTAATTGAACAATATTAACTGTACAACATGACATTCGTCTACAGCTGTCAATTTGCACTTGATATATTGTCATTACTGTATTAATGACATCTGTGTTGATGTGTTTATCATTCCACATCCCCCTTTCAGTATTTCCCTACCATTGACTTTTGACTCTGGGTGTTTTAGGTATGTCTCTTGTGCTGTAGAGAAACAAATAGCATTGATCTCCTTTGCTTACTGCACTTCCCATTGTTATCAGAGATGTCATAATGTTGGTGACGCTCTGTCATTTTTAAAGTGCGCATTTTCAGCTGCAGTTATATGTATGCACCAGCACCTTGAATATTTCATCCTTGGCCACTGACTGAATTATGCTAGCTAAATGGGGCAGTGTTTTCGAGAGCCGAGGTGTTTGTCTATAGAGATGTCAACGTATGAAAAGTGGTGTTTGCATATCTTTTGAGGTAGTGCTGTGTGTAACAAGTAAATTTATTGTCCCGTGATGTCTTGCTCTGGTTTGGTGGCACTAACTTTTACAAGCGACACCACTAGCTTTTATCATCATCATCGCGATCCATAGTCAGATAGCCCGTAGGTTTCTACTTTACATATTGTCATTAGTTTATACTTGCCTCTGTCTTGGTCCAATATGCTCAAGTAGTGCACATATTTTTGGCACCAACCTCTTATGTTGTCAAACCATGATTTTTTTAAGTCTTTATCAATTTCCTTAAATTTTTCCAAACAACACACTTGTGATATTTCTGTTGTTGTCCATCCTACATATTTCCAAATAACGATTGTTTCATGCTCATCTCTGCCTGCATCATGTCGTCTTCTATGTGCAATATTTTTCTTACTTCTACGTTGGTCACCCTTTGGGTCCATTTTAGATTCAGTATCCTTCTCTAGCAATACATTTTGAATGCCAATATCTTACTCGCTATTATAGTTGTATCAAAGTTCGCTTGGTGGCTTTACATTACAGGTATTTTGAAATGTATTTTCGTCCATAAGTATTTAATAGTTTGTTTGTGGAAGATACAAAAACAGATTTAGCAGCTGGAGGGTCTCGTTAGCCTGTACTGCTTGCCGATGGTTGCGTGACTTTCCAAGCATGATTTGTGATGGAAGAGGCATTCAATCTAAAGGGTTATTTCAAAAGTGCAATGCAGCTATCTTGGGATTGTAGGGAGGGACAGGTCTATGTTTGGAATATGTTTCGGTCATCTCACCGTGCATTAAATATTGGGTATTTTGTCACGTAAAAAAATCGGCGTTTACTCGAAAATGGTGTTTGTGGACGCAGTCTTGGGAGGTTTTTTATATGCTGTTAGGAGTTAAATGAGTTCGGAGTAAAATTTACATGTTAGACTTATTAATCTCGGTTTAAGTTACATCTTGTTTTCCCTAGATAGGTAGTTTAATGCACCATTTTTTTCCTTCTCATCCTTCCCATGTTAGAAATAAGTGATAGAAATATCCAATAAAATTGTATTCAAATTGAAAACAATTATTTTAGCTGGTTTTGTGTTTGAGAACATATATTTAGCCATAATAGTTTTTTTTCCTGGAACTGCTTTATTTTGGCAGTGCAATGAAGTGGTAGTCAAATGGGCAATCAAATAATGCTTCTTAAAGGAGCAGCGTACACTGGCGGTTCCCACATCGTTTTATAATGGGGCTGTATAGATGCCCCTTCAGGAGCTTTTTCCTTGTATGTGTTTTTGTAGGTGATGTGTCACCTGGAGCGGGAGTTGAACGCATCTGAGAATGTCATTGGCTGACTAGGGAAAGCAGGTTTAAAGTGAGTAATTAACTTAGTTTCTGGCTTCTTGTTTGTATCAAGTCGAAGAACGTCACCTGGAAGCAGCGTTTTAATATTTAGTCTTGACAAACAAATACAGCAGTGATAAGATTGTTAAGAGTGTACAAGATTTCAATTGCTTTGATATACCACAGTTCTTACACTGTACACAGGACAACAATGCACGATTCAATTGTGCCTCAACAAATATTTTTGAGTCGAAACATCTTATCGGGGGGGTGGGGGGGGGACTTCAATTTTTATTTCCTGTACTTGCAGTAATCGTGGCAGTGTTAGAGCCAGTGTATCTACTTTACTCAGCTAGTCAAGAGATTTTCAGTTGAGAACCTGCAGAGGCTCGAATAGCATTTCCAATGAATTGCCATGCTCTAACAAAACGCCCCTTGCATGGTAGGTCACAGTTCTAATGCAGTGAGATGATGTTGGAAGGTCAGTATTGACCCTTTCCCGTTCTGTTGTATACATTATCAGTTCTACTCCCATTTCCGTTCCGATGATGTACGCGTACATGTACATCATTGGAACAGAACCGGAAGAAAAACTAAAATAATTTTATCGGTACCAAGGCTTCCACAAGGTCATGCGGGATGGCGTGTGGCACAGTTTGGCGTTAGCTATCATAGAGTGCGGTCATGTCGCTATGGTTCTCCATGGTGAGTACAATGTCTTTAAAAACTACGACTCTCTACCTCTCTAAATAAAATTAACACTGAACCGCTTGCGTGTTCCAAGATTTGGTGGTGAACGGGACCCACCCTGTAACTTGCAGTCTCGGAATGGGAAAGGGTGAACTGTGGCCAGGTGGTTTAGCGGTAGAGCGAACAACTTTCAACGCTTAATAATAATAATACTCAGCCCATCATCCGTCCGGTGTCAATAAGATAGGTTTCATTCTGTGGGGAAGTCAACCGGGGTTGTTCTATGCATAGACTCATCCTCCACCATACAAATTTGGAAATCCCACCTGACTCTGCCGCTGTAAACCGGAGATGAGCACCGCTGCGATGCTCATTCGATCAGGAAATCACTTTTGACTTTTCTGACTGTTGGCAACTGTTCACTGCTCAGTAGCTGGAATGAGTACATTGTTACCTGTACCTTGATATTCCTTTGTAGAGGCAGCTGAACATCAGCGAGATGAAACTATTGGAGGGTCTTTTTGTTGTCCTGATTATACCCGTGTTCTGTCTCCAAGCGTTTCCAAAAAGACGGCAGCAAGTGACCAAGCACCTGATATTGGTTTATTCTTTTGTATGCTAATGAGAAAGTACTTCTTAGAACAGTGCCTGCTTGTTTGCTGGGATTCAGAGTGCCTATCATCATCAAACAGATTGCAGTCTTTCAATGAACCTTTCCCTTACCGAGGGCCCAATAGGACTTTAAAATGCCTTTGGCGGGCAACCACATTAACACCCATTTCCGTCACTGTAAGAAGCCTATGCAGTGACAGCAGTGACTGAACGTGATAAAAAGTCCCCTCTAGTGTGCCGATTAATGCAGCTAAGATGATTGCAGTGACAGATAAAGGTTAATCTTCTTGGTAGAAGGGAAATAATAAAAAATAAAACATAAAATAAAATTCTCACGACGTTTTGGCCACAACGCAAGCAGGACGGCTGCTTGCGTTGTGGCCGAAACGTCGTGAGAATTTTATTTTATTATGTTTTATTATTTCCCTTCTACGTGACTTTACCGAAAGGACAAGAAGATGAATCCCTGCAGTCACGAAAGCTTTAAATCGTAACAGATAAAGATTGTTTTGCAGGCCGTTTCAAATAGTTAGGTTTCCTGTGGCCCCACAGTATGTCATGTGACCCACAGGCTGAATGAACAAAGTCAGCCTGTGGGCCGTAGGTTTCCCCCACAGGGTTTTTCAGAAAGAGAGAAATGGGAAGCACTTTCCCGTGTGTTTGATCATTAAGTTTTGTAAATTTACTTTATTTTTAAAAGAAATATCAAAATAACACTTCCAGTAAGTGTAAACTCTTTTAGGTTTCATAATTGTTTTATATCACACAATGGAATTGTAACTCGTAGGGATCGTATTCTTTTCTTCACTTGTGCTTACTTTAGACGAGCTGACGAATGTAACTGGAGCTATGCGTGTGCCGTGCCTTGTCACCCACTGAATGTTCACCAATGTGGGAGATCATGCATATGATGCATCGTGCAAGCTAACATCAATATGCTGTCAGCGCAAAGTAGCGTTACAAGACTAAACTTTCAACTCTTCCAATATGCCAACTTGCACATTTTTGTTTTATTTAACAGGAAGACTTATTACTGTACCTCTCTGGCATCTCTATATGCTGTGAAGAAGGGCCATTACCCAAAACGTCACCTGTTATATACTTTCTCTTATTTAAGGCCGTGTTATGGATGGATATGAGTTGGCTTATTATTGGGAAATGCCTGGGTCTGATGAAAGATGTTTGCTTCCTTGCCAAGCATCTTGTGGTAATGTTGTTGCCTTGAATTTATTTGTATTAGGCTTTGCTTTATTTTAACCGATACAAACGTGTTTGTCAGTGTCTTACGACAGTGATGACAAGAGAAAAAAACTTGTCGGCGATTACGGTTATAATTTTCTCTCAAGTCTAACTACACGAACGTTGAACGCTTAGAGCGGCGGTATCTCACTAGTTTTACTCTGCAGCACCGTCTGAGCGCGACCGCGATTGACATGATGGGACGGATCCTAACAGTTTTGTTGTTTCGTCAGTACGACGAGTTGGTGCCCGCCTCGCTTACGACCAAGTACGGCGGCTTTTACATCAACACGGGAACCCTGCAGTTTCGGCCGGCGTCGGATTCGGAGGACGACAATGCTTCTTCGAACCTGGACAAGCACAAGAAGCCACTAAAGGTTCCGATGATTTCCTCTCAAGATGCTCGTTATTTTTTTGGGTCCTGTGTAGGTTTTAGCTTTTTGGGTTGTTACCGCGTGTTGTTTGTGATGAGGTCGTGCCAAAAAGACACACAGTACAATCTGGAGAGGCATCAGAATTTGTTTTATTTTGATTAAATTTGTAACTTTTAATTCTCAATGTTAAGTGTATTGGTTTTCTCCAAGTGTTTTTTTGCTCATTGGCAAGTATAACGTCACTGTTGTTTCATCGATGATCTGTCTTTGATGTTTTGTATTTTTACTTCCCACAAGAAATTCAAGGAAGGAGAGGACAAGATGATGAAGAAGCGTAAAAGGAAAGAAGGACCCGAGAAAGAGAAAATGCCTAAAAAGCTGAAAGTGCTCAAGCAAATAGGGTAATGTTTATTCGAATGTCCACTTTCTCACATACAAAAAATTAACCCGTAGAAACAAAGTTTTCTCACTATAAATCCTTTATATGCGTGGCGGCTAGAGTCCTTTCGTCCTCTGGCTTGAGATGGCTGCCACCTATGGGTCAGATGAATGCCTGCCACCATTAAGCAATTGATAATTAAATATAATTTATTTTTTCCTAAAAAGTGTAAAATTTTGGAACTTTTTTTTTCACGAAAATACATTGTCACGCACAACGAGTCTGTGTGCAAAATGTCAGCTCGATTGGATCACGGGAAGTGGGTTAAAAAACGACCGAAAGATTTGCACGGTCGTAAGCAAGCAAGCAAGCAACTGAACTTAATATAAAGGATTTAAAAAGAGAGTACAGCCCTTGGTAGTCCATTGATGGATTATGGCTTCTTCACACTTGTGTTGGTTATGGGGTTGTTTAACCTTTCTTAACCATGCAGGTCGAGGAGAATTTAGTGCCCAAGAGCAGTTCTGGTATCACTTGCCACCGATGTTAGCCATAGCCAGGAATCAAAATCGGTTTGCCGGGTTTCAGAGGGCAGTACGCTAACCACTCCACTACCACTCCACCCCATCTCCTTTTTACGAATCTGCAAACCCACCCACTTTATACAGAAGAATATATTAACTTACTGTTGATCCCCCCCTCATCTGAGACTCGGAGCATATTCTTGCCAAAGAATGCCTGGTCCTTGTTCTTTTTAAAACATTTCAAGAACACCATTGTGTCGAAGAGACTTTTTAAGCATTAATATCCAGTTTGGGAGTTTGATTTTACTGAACTGTATCGTCTAAAGTCTGGGGCATTAGAACACACTTGCAAAAGGCATTATTTACTGCTTAAAGTTACTGCTTGATGAGAAATGGTCGTGGAAAAAAACAAGGCGTGTTTCTTTCGCAGAATAACACCTCTGAATTCTGACAAGTCCGAAAAGCAGAAGAAAAAGAAAAGCAAAGGATCCATTTCACTGCCGGAGATGATTGAGCGATTCCAGAAGGAGAAAGAGGAGGCGGCAATGAAGCAGGAAAAGGTGGCGCAGGCCTCACCGGCATCCGGAAACTCTGTAAATGCTACAAATGCCAGCGCTCCAGAGGAGCTCGTAAAAGCACCTGTAAGCAAGCCAGAGCCCCTGCCAATGCCAGACTGCTCTGCCGACCAGCTGCTGCCCAACCTGTTTGGGCCAGGCTGCGATCTGGACCTACTTCAGGTGGTGGCCAACGCAGCACACAACCTGACCAGCCTTGACCTGGACAGTCTCCTGGAGGACTCGCCAAACAGCAGCCTCTCCCAGGAGTCGGAGGCTCCTTGCCAGCAGGCCCAGCTCAGTCCCAAGCTGCCAGATGGGCTGCCTGCTCCACTTGACATGAAAATTAAGCAACTGGCAGAGGTAAAATATATTTAATGCATTCCAACTGAGGTTGCAAGTATTAATGCATGAGCTCTGTCTCATATGTCTGTCCATGTCTCTCTGACTTGGGGTCATGGTTACTATTGTAGAGATGATTCGGTTATAAATGTCCTCCTCTAACCCAGCTTAAATATACGCTGCCAAGCTTGGTGGTGTTCATTCGGACGCTGTCTTTCCGACAGCCCTGTTCTTCACCTGAGGACGGCTGCTTGCGTTGTGGCCGAAACGTCGTGAGAATTTTATTTTATTATGTTTTATTTTTATTATTTTATTATTTCCCTTCTACGTGACTTTACCGAAAGAACCAAGAAGATGAATCCCTGCAGTCACGAAAGCTTTAAATCGATATTTCAAATAAATTTCAAGTTTTGTTGGTACTAAGGACTTATCCTACATAAAAGCAAGCAAATTGTTAAGGCCGATGCCCAAAATCAGGATACCCAAACTATAGAATAAAAATGCAAATATGCCCTCACAGCTACGCTATCGGTTTCCATAATGCTAATTAAAGACTTTGGAAGACAAACGCGTGTTGGAAAGCATTACAGAATCCATACATATGCACGAATGTTTTTAAGTTGTTTAAAATGAATTTTCCTCTCGCTGTCGTGTTTATACAGAGTGCACCAAAAATCAGTTAACCGTACATACATCTGTACAGTAAATTATAGCAGATGCTCCAACTGTACCCCATTTGGACGTACACATCTCAGTCCTTTTTATCACTGGATGATGCCTGAACAATCCTCAACATGTCCACGTTGCTCTTAGCCTGCTTGTTCATATTTTAAATAAACAACTGTATATCCAGTGTGGTTCTGAAATCGCTAAGGTTCCTGACTTATTCCACACGCTATACCACAACCTCTGTGGAAGCTTAAATGTGAATGGCAGTCTGGAAGAGAAATATTGGTGGAATGTTGGTGTTTTTTTGCTCAAAATGTGGTGCTAATATTTTTTTCTTTTAAACTCAGGTTGCCAAAACGTGTGATAGCGAGGGCAAGCAGAAGCTCTTCAGCCAAGATGTCAGTCACATCCTCCTAGAGTGAGTACTAGCCACAGCGACATTATTGTTTCATCGTCAAAATAGTTAACTTGATACTTAAATATTAAGAAGGTACTATTACTTTTGACTCGTGAAATTGTGCAAAAATATGTTTAAATGTGTCACGGAATGGCATTCCAGAATCCTAATTGAGTCGTAAGTCGTGAATCTAAAATTAGTTTTCTTCCAAATTTGTCAAATATTGTTTGAGAATGCACATTTGCTTTTATAGCATCTGTACTCCATGATTACCTTGAATATTATGTCCTTCACAATATTCACACTTACTTTTAACATTTGTCAATCCATTGCTAGATGGTCGTGTGGTTTTGTACACCAAACTTTACCACGTAAATGTGGTTTGATGGTGTGGGGGGAACGTTAATTTTAATCCTTTCTTTTCAACCACTCGCTTTGTTCTTGACCCTCATGTAGCATCGAAGTTCAGACAAAGGAGCTGAACAGCCAGCTGCGTGGAGGCGTCTACGCTCACGTGGCGTCCCTCCTGGGTTGCAGCAAGGAATCTCTTTTAAGGCGCGCCAAGAAGCTCCATCAGCATGAGCAGGTGAGCAGCTGCTCAGTGGATGTGTAGGTGAGGACAAGTGGTTTGTGTTGTGGACCTCAGAGTGGACATGGAGATTGGCCCAGGACAGAGAATGGTGTGGATGAAGACGACACGAGTTGGGGGAATTGCAGCGAGAAGAAGACGAATCCCATTTGTGTGTCCACAAAAGCCTCACGGACTCCTGAAACTATTTTTCTGATGTTCTTTCATTGGAATGGTTGGTCAGTTCCATTTATGAGAGGTTGACTGGTAGGTGGGTGAACACAGGAGTACAGAGACAATACCGACATGCTCAAAGCTTGAAGTAATCCAGCCCAAGCCTACAACACCCTTTGCCTTCTTAACCAAGTATTCGTCAAGTTTAACACTGCTTAAGCTTCCGAGATGTGATGATTGATTGCGTGTGTAGTGGGTATAAACGGAGGGAGACTTCTCTGAAGGCAACACGTTTATTATACAATAACAGCTTAACACAAAGAGGTTACGGCCCCTTCCACCCGATATCCTAGGGAGGTATGTCCTCCACACTGGCGTGCCCTACACACTGAGGGAGTCGTTCACTAAGGGTCCTCCGGCTAGCGGGACCTAGGGAGGCTAATCTGACCCAACCCAGCCAAGGTCCTCAGCTCCGGCCCCGGCTCCAGGTCTTCAGGGTGGCTTCTTCGAGTCTTCGAGTGGACGACAACTGCCAGGCCCGTTCAGGGGTCCAGCTTTTATACAGAATCCCAGCTCACTCTGCCCCGAGCCACGCCTTCCTTCTGGAACCTTCCTGAGGGACCTGGAGTGTGACATCATCCCCCAGCCCCCTTCTTGGGGGTCTGGGGTTTACACCCCTGGTCACGATGCTCCCTGGGGATTGCCTCGGCCCAACGGCCCCACTTCATCTAACTCTCCGGCTCAGCGTCTCTTCCGCCCCCGGTTGACACGGGGCCGGTACTACCGGCTAAGAGTAGTGGTGATCGCGCATCGCGCCCAACAATGCCACTACACGTGCATTCCGGTTTATTTGGTGATAGGTTTTACAAATTTGAAATGCATTCTACTTTCATTTCCAAATTAAGTCGCGTAATTGCTTTTGTTTTTCAGTGGGAGACATGCTTTCTTGTTGCATGACTATTCTGCTCTGCTCAGAAACCAGATGGTATAGACCAGGGGTCGGCAACCAAAATAACAAGAAGAGCCATTTCTTTCCAATTCGGTACAAAATTCAGTATTTCAAGAGCCGCAATGCATCTGAGTACATACGTACTCCTCGTCAAGAAGCAGCCCGTAAAGAGCCGCATGCGGCTCCGGAGCCATAGGTTGCCGACCCCTGGTCTAGACATTGGTTCCAACCCTGGATCACAGGGTGGAGTCTGCAAGGCCGTGGAACTTTTTTTTTATCACTGCACAGTGGTCCGCAAAATGTGTTTGAGGGTTCGCAATGCCCTCCCCAGGTCCAGAAACATGCGAACCCAACCGATGTAGGAGATTCCTCCGATTTTCCCGCACCTCTAATTACCACAGTTGGCTACGTACGGTGCGAAAGAAGTTCAACATGCATCCATTTGATACCACGCCAACTGTGGCTTCATGAAGCGAGCGTGACCTGTCTCTGCAGGACGGACGTCTCAAGTCGCCGATGCACAAGCTGCGGGACGCTGTGGGCGCCGTCATGCCGGAGCAGACCGTGAAATACCAGGAGACTTACCAGGCCCACACTCAGGCCAAGTACGCCAAAGTCGACATCAAGGGGTGGTTGTTTTTAGTTATTTTTTTTTAAGCAAAAAAAATAAATGCTGCTTGTCAAATACCTAAACTTTACAGCATGCTGTAACTTACATGTCTGATTAATTATTACCCATATGCATTTCAGAATCACAATCTTTATTGAGACTGGAGGAATCCGATGAATCTATGTCGCTCTTTTTTGCAGATGTCCAGTATGGGCAGGTCAGCAGGTTACTTCAGCAAATGCTGATAGGGAAGAGCGGGTGACTCAAACAAGAGTTATGTATTGATTTAAAGCTTTCGTGACTGCAGGGATTCATATTCTTGGTTCTTTCGGTAAAGTCACGTAGAAGGGAAATAATAAAATAATATAAATATATTTCACAACTCACAAAACCCGGTGGTCTCTATATAAGAAAAAAAGCCGATTACATAACTTATAGTAAAGTAACGTAGAAGGGAAATAATAAAATAAAATAATATAAATATATTTATATTATTTTATTGTGAGTTGTGATTTTTACCCTTTAGTGGAAGCAAACAACAGCGGGGGAGGGGGGGGGGGCCTCCGAGCGAACGTGGACAAAAGTTGTAATGCTTCGCTGCATGAAGAATGCGTGTTCCATTTCAATCAAGACTTACGGAGAATGGCAGTTGCCTTAATTTACGGTGAAGCATGTTGTTAATCTAAGGTGAGGATTTTGTTATAACGCCAAAATTGTAATTCGTGTTTTTTCCTTTAGAATTATGAGTGAAGAACGAGAAAGAGAAGATAAAGATAAAAATGCCAGCGATGATGACGACGATGACGAGAAGCCTGGCAAACGTGTGTTTGGTCCAAGAAAGAAATTTCAGTGGAACACTGAGATAAGGTGATCACTTAACATCATTTAGCAATGTTTTCAATTGACTAGATATTTATAACTCAAGCAGAAATCAATCTTTGAAAACTGATCAAATATTTGTAGTTTTTACTAAACACCCTGTCTACATCTTCTTGGTTCTTTCGGTAAAGTCACGTAGAATGGAAATAATAAAATAATATTATAATTCTCACGACGTTTCGGCCACAACGCAAGCAGCTGTCCTCAGGTGAAGAACATGTCTGTCGATAAGACAGAGTCTGAATGACACGTCCTGGGCTTGGAGCGTCTATTTAAGCTGGGAGGGAGGAGGAAGAGCGCCTTGACAAAATAATTTGCATATCAAGAGGAATTTTAGCATATTTACGTAATATTACACTATGTATTATTCTACCCACCCTACTGCACACCACACTGCTGCATATTCACCATACAACTAAAATTCCTCTTGATATGCAAATTCTTTTGTCAAGGCACTCTTCCTCCTCCCAGCTTAAATAGACGCTCCAAGCCCAGGACGTGTCATTCAGACTCTGTCTTATCGACAGACCTGTTCTTCACCTGAGGACGGCTGCTTGCGTTGTGGCCGAAACGTCGTGAGAATTATTTTATTATGTTTTATTATTTTATTATTTCCATTCTACGTGACTTTACCGAAAGAACCAAGAAGATGAATCCCTGCAGTCACGAAATCTTTAAATCGAAACCCTGTCTGCAGCCGATTCAAAGTCCCAATAATTTGGTGTCGGTGCGCTTGCGTTCTTCTGGTGCGTTTGTGCCACCAGGGTTTTGTTTTAAAGAAGTGGCACTGACCACAATTAATATGTGAAAACAGAAACGAACATAATTTAGATTTGAAGTTTTCGTTTGACTGCAGGGATCCATACTCTTTGGTTCTTTCGGTAAAGTCGTCACGTAGGTAGAAAATAAAACCTAATGACGGACGCTTGTGTTGCGCCCGAAACATCGTGATTTAATTTATTTTATACCTACGTGACTTTACCGAAAGAACCAAAGAGTACGAACATAATTTGTTTAACATTTATATTTTGCGTTCACAGTAGTAATGTTTGATGAATTCAGTTTTGTGACAGGATTAGAGAAGAGTAACCCTGACCGTATAACGTGTTTTTTACACGATGTTATGTGCAAACCCTAACAAACGATTTGTACGTGGCATAATTCGTTACTTATTTTTACTCATCCTCCATTCCACACTCATCCATAACCATCAGTACAATCAACGTGTTGCCCCCCTTGCTACCTTGCTTTGTAAAGCGCAAAAAAATCACGTGCATTTCTAAAGACATGGGGGGGAGAGGTTGTTTTTCTTCTTCTCCAATAATTATAATAATGCACGCGTCGGCAAATACTTAACGTAGACTCGGCGTTGAGCTTTGCTCCGTGTGTGACACTTGACGCTCCATGAGATAATGGTGGTTGCAGGGATTTGCTGTGTAATGTGGTGAAAGTGAAGATGGCAGGATATGACGCGGAGCGGATTAAGTCACAGTCGGCCGAGGACTACCTGAAGGCCTTCCTAGAGGCCGAGGTGAAGCCGCTGTGGCCCAAGGGCTGGATGCAGTCCAGGTGAGGCCTTCTCAAACCGCGTCGCGACTGCCGCACCAATGCAGTCCTTCGCAGATTCCAATTCCCCTTGCAGTGTGTTCTTGCGTAAACATGTACGGCCCCGTTTGTCACTCCACTGTTAGACGAGGGCCCCCCCCCCCCCCGACACCGTATGGGTCGTGAGAGATTATTTGACCCAATACTTCACCATGCTGGTCAGTGCGGGTTGGTGAAGGTGGGGGATCACAGGCGTTGGAGCACAGTACAGTACTGCAGTGGGTTTTGATGCACTGCCCTCTGCTGACAACATAGTCCCGCAGCAGCCTTATAAACGTCACGTAGATAGAAAAAATATAATAAAAATTAAGTGAATAAAAATAAAATGAAAAAACAAAAACCACTAATGTAGACTGTAGCCTTGTTCTTAATTTGAGTGTACTGGCAGTCTATAATGTAGACTGGAGCCTGTTTTTAATCTTGGTGAGCGTACTGGCAGTCTATAATGTAGATTTATTCTTTGGTTCGTTCAGTAAAGTCACGTACATTAGACTGCCAGTACACTCACTCAGTTTAATAACCATTGCTACAGTCTATATTATAGACTGCCAATACGCTCATCAAGCTTAAAAACCAGGCTACAGTCTACATTATAGACTGACATTACACTCACCATGGTTAAGAACTAGGCTACAGTCTACATTATAGACTGCCAGTATGCACTCAGATTAAGGACCAGGCTACAGTCTACATTAGTGATTTTTGTTTTTTATAATTTTTATTCACTTTATTTTTATTTTATCTATCTACGTGATTTACTGAAAGAACCAAATAATCTGAATTCCTGCAGTCACGAAAGATTTAAGTCAAAATGTAAACGTGTTTTAATTGATGGTCGCCCATTCATGCATTATCCAGACTCAAACTTGCTTCGCTTACGAGATCAGATATTTTACCTGTAAAAAAAAACAATCCTAAAAAAGGAGCTCTTGCAGGTACACACCTAGGCTGTCCCCCGGCCATGCAAGCACCGTTAATGCAAAACAAATTTGATGGTGTCTCCTTTGATGATGGAACGAAATACCTTATTTTGACCGAGTTTAAATTTGTGCTTTTCCCCAGTTCAGAGGTTGTTACTTTGCTGGTGGGGGGGAAGGGGGTTTTTGTTGTTGGAATTATTTCATAAAACGCGGGTGCGTTCACTGGGCAGAGCACTCCAGAGCGCTTTTCTATTGAACGACCTGTTAACCCAGAGCGCATCTTAACAGGAGCTTACAGCCTGAGAAATTGCCTCGCTGAGCGTTCGGTGGAGTGTGTCGGATTGTTTCAATATTTTTATTGCTAGTGAATGTCCGCCACCCTAAAAAATCTCCTCCTGCGGCCGTCTGGAACGCTCTTCCTTCCGATATTAGGAAGGACGCTGGAGCTATCAATGGTTAAATCTAAATGTAATACTTATTTCTTTCGGAACTGCTTTTGGTGTTGAGTGTGTCCTCCCACACCTGATTCGCACGGCTTGCTACGTTACGGCTCGAAAGAAGTTCTACGCACATACAATCTGACACCCACCTCGCGGTCGTCAAGCTGTGCAGTTATTCTCCACCGTTTTTAAAAGCGTTCTCCTCACACAGTTCAATAAGAGCCAACTTCCACCTCGTAGTTCCATGGCAGAGTGCTCTGCCCAATGAATACATCCTTGTTAGCCAATTGTTTAAAATCGATCCCCAACACGTGCATACTTCAAAGTATTGAACTGCCAGGAGGAGTGGGGGGGGGGGGCAACTGCGTGACTGATTAAAGTGCCACTTTTGTTTTCACCATCCACCATTTAAACAATCATTATTTACCTTGTACATACAAATTATCGCGTCATAAGAGGTCATTGAATATATTTTTCTCCCATGAACATCATTCCATTTCGCTTGGCGTAGTCTTCTCAAACACAGCTGCACTTTATTAAAAGTAGTGCTGTACAGTAAAATATTCCGAGGATAAACATTGAATGTGGCATCTGAGATACTTTAATCTGCACAGTTTACACTCGTTACAATGGTACAGGATTGTGTAGCTTTCAGATATGGAGATAGTTTAGCGTACTTAAATGTCTGCACTTCAGCTTAATAGTGTCCGAAGTATAACACTGCTTAACAGTGTATTGTCCATACATGTGGATGCCAGGGACCCTCCTTTAAATTTTTTGAACGCAGCTGGGATTTGCTGGATAAATAAATTACATCAGATTGATCATTGCCACCCAGTACCGCATCTGTGCCCCATTTTCATGAACATGTGTTCTTCGGTGCTGGCATAATGCCCACAGTGCTTATTTCCATTCTACATGTTAAACGTTGAAGCCAAAGTTAATATTTTTCATAGCTGAACGTGTGCCTTCAGCCAACTCTTTGCGCAAAACGTTTTAATACAGAATTTAGCATTGGGATAACGAATACTATCGCAGCTAAAGCACTGATGTTATTGTATTTGAATGGTTGGTTTTAGTCTTTGGAACTTGCTGCATCGTTCTAGTTTAAGGATATTGCCTTAATGTGGATTCAATGAAGTTGTTTTGCCTTTAAATATATAAAATAATACCATAATGTCAAAGTTATGAGATGCTTTGGGAAGTAAAATACACCAACTTGTCAGCCAGAGAATACTGTAATTTTCCGAGCGTGCGAGAGTTCGTATGTGGGAGAACGTTTTCTAACTACACGATCTGTAACGCAGGTTATAAGACGCCGTGTGATTGATTTGTTGTTGTCATCAAGTGATTTTACTTCATGCGACTTGAACGCTTGACCCTGTGTTTTACAGAATGCTATTTAAGGAGAGTCGGGCAGTCCACGGCCACATTACAGCAGCACCGTAAGTGGCTGGGCACCAGACAGCGTTTTTTTTAATTGAAACAATAAACAATCACTTTTGAAATATTGACAGGTGTGCTCTGAGTGTGTCAAATGTATCTTTATAATGGGCCTGCAATGATTCCACTAAAAGTCTGTACTAAGGATGATACGCCCAAAAATGTGTTTCGTATTGCAAATTATTTACAAATAAATGTTGTAATGGCTCGCATAACAGAAGAACAACATGCGAGGCAGCAACTCAAATTAGGCAGGACCACAAAACTAAAGAGTTTGAATTAATTTAAATGTGGCAGTTCATCGAATTGCTGGCTATAGACTGGCGAGGGCAGTTGAGACATTCAAAGCCAAATAAAGTCGTTAAAAATGGCTAAATTTGGTACTAAGAGAATGTAACAAAATGTACTCTGACAAGATGATTTGTGGTTGCGAGGTTGGGTGGTTAATTGTAGGAGGCAATTCAAATCCCTCTCATTGTTCTTGGTCGATTAGCCAAGTGATCATGTGGCAAGTTATCCACAGTCTGGGTAGGCATTTGCTTACACACATTAGGTTTCTTTTCATTCATAAGATCCAGGGGGCTAAATGTGCATACACTTTTTGGAGTATAAAAAAGCAATCCATTGTTTGCACCGCAGGCTAATTATTCCACAAGCTTTCAATGCCACTGGCAGCAGAAACAATTGAGAATTTCATGAGACTATAAGTGGCTATCATTTGGGTGTCATCACTAAACATGAAAAGCATTAATTGCCAAGATAATGATCTGGTTTAATTTGCTGTAGAAGTGTGCTCCAGTGTGAATGCTAGTAAAAGTGTTATTCATCAAATGCAAGTTTGTTTAGCAAATGGGTTTTCAGATGCAGGCATTTGTTTATCAGAGGAATTCTTGGTTCGAGTATTCTGCCTGGAAGTAAGAAACGTTGATGAGTCTTAAGTCGCCCTCTTGACGTGATTAACATTTTCACCACGTGTATATATTTAAAATTCTCAGTTTCTATCAGAGATTAAAGCTGAGGCTGCTGTAGAGATAGCAGACCCCTCTCCAGAGAGACAAGCCAAAGGAAAACCCTTTCTAGAGAGAACAACCAATGGAGAGAGGGCAACCGAGGGAGATCTGTGTCCATAGAGAACCAATGCAGATAAGGGAACGTAGGAAGACCCCTGTCCAGAGAGAGGAACCAAGGGAGAAAGATTAATGGAGCAAGACTCCTGCAGGGCTGAGGGAGTGGCAGGGGAGACCACCATTACAATGTATGAAGGAAAGGAAAAGGTGAGAGCAGGGGTAGCAAGGCAAAAAGAGATCTTGATTTGAAGCTTTCGTGACTGCAGGAATCAATACTCTTTGGTTCTTTCGGTAAAGTCACGTAGGTAGAAAAAGAATAGATCACGACGTTTTGATCGCAACACAAGCAATCGTCATCAGGTGGGACAACCACAGCAAGAAATAAGACGGCCTACTTCAGCGTTTTTTTCTTGCTGTGGTTGTCCCACCTGATGGCGATTGCTTGTGTTGCGATCGAAACGTCGATCTATTATTTTTCTACCGACGTGACTTTACCGAAAGAACCAAAGAGTAAAAAATTAACCCGTAAAAACTAAGTTTTTCACTATAAATCCTTTACATGCGTGTTCAATGGGCCACAACCCAGCCCACATTGGTCTTTGAAACGGGCGGCTAGAGTCCTCTCGTCCTCTGGCTTGAGATGGCTGCCACCTATGGGTCAGATGATTGCCTGCCACCATTAAGCAATTGGTAATTAAATATAATTTCTTTTTTACCTAAAAAGTGTAAAATTTTGGAGAAAAAATTTTCACGAAAAGAAATTGTCACGCACAACGAGTCTGTGTGCAAAATGTCAGCTCGATTGGATCACGGCAAGTGGGTTAAAAAACGACCGAAAGATTTGCACGGTCGTAAGCGCGCAAGCAAGCAAGTGAACTTAATATAAAGGATTTAAAAAGGGAGATGCTCAATTCCCCTGCAGGACACGCCAAGGTAATGCAAAAGCATATCAATAAGTCCCCCCAGGAACATGGGTCGGTAGTCAGTTGTGCAGTAAACAGTCTCCATTGCCATCCACATTTGTTTCCACTGCTTGAGGTGTACAATGTGTAAATGTATTTTAAACGAATGTTATCAATGTGTATTCCAGCAAAACATAAAAGTTGTATATTTCAGACATGTGGGTTTCATTCATGCTGCAACGAATGGATGAAAAATCTGTCGTGCTAAAGACAATGAAAACCTTTATAGCACTCGAACAGAAAGAGCTGTGTGTGTGTGTTTTCTCGATCCTCACTTAGCCCACAGCACCTTTACTAAAAACATTTCCCTTGTTTTTATAACAGAATACAATATACGGCATTTAAAAAAGAAACTAGTACAAGTTGTTCATTACAAGAAAAGAAAAGACAGGAAGTTTGTTGTAAAACCAAGATTGAATCGGCAAATGTTAAAGATGCGGCAAAAGAAAGGTGAGGTTGGATTAAAACCAGGTTGATGTTAAAACAAAAAATAGAAATCCCCATTTTTGACGCGCTCCAATGTCAGTTTTATACCGTGTTGTTAAACTCCCAGGTGGTATCTGTTAAACAACAACAAAGTGAATTCCAGCTCAAATGAGCACTGAAGCTCGGTGCTCATTTTAGATATACAGCCTTGAGCCAGTGATGGAATAAAATCCACATTCCTATGGCAGGGGTGAGTATCCCATAGCACAACCACAGTTGACTTGCACTACTGTTGGTACCTATTTTAGCGACTCGAGGGAGGGATGATGAGCCAAAGCAACACCCACCCTGGCACAACCCCCACTCCCCACCAACTTGGATTTGAAATCCCAATGATAGATTTTGCAAGCTGCTTGCTCTTCCACCGAGCCACCTGGCCCCGCAGTGCTGTAATCGTTAAACGTGTCTTTGACATCAAGGCAGCAGATGTGGGAACTACAATCACCTTCGTGTTTACCTTTCGCGTGAGGTACAGTGCAGTTTATATTGTAGTTTTAAATCCTCATTGTTTAAGCATAAAATATAAAATTGCCTGTAAATAATTGTATGATTTTTGTCTTATGAGCAGTGTGATTTTTGTGCTTTTGCAGTACAAAGAAGAAATTCATTCCTCCTGCAAAACCAAAGCTCAAGGTAACGTCAGTGGACCGTAGAAGATGTATTGGTTTGTGTGGATGAGTGGAATCCATTTATAAGGTGGTCCTTTTTTAGGAGAATCCCGCAGTATGAACCGGAGGTTTGAACCATAATTCTGCAAACGTCCTCCTGCTCACTCACCATCACTCGCAAAACATTTTCTTGCTGTGGTTTTCACACCTGATGATGATTGCTTGTGTTGCAATCGAAACGTTAGAATTTTATTGTTTTATTTTTATTATTTTATTATTTCCCTTCTACGTGACTTTACCGAAAGAACCAAGAACATGAATCCCTGCAGTCACGAAAGCTTTAAATTGAAATTTTACTCGCAATAGACTTCACCCAAAGCTCCAATGGGTGCCACGGTAGCGAGATGTTAACTCCCTCGCCTCACATAAGCAGGAGGGAGAATAGAAGATGCAATTACTATTCTTACATCAATCTAATCATGTACAGCCCTTTGTTACCACACTCCTGGATGAGAACTTCACCATTCTGTTGTGGTCGTGGAGGTTATTTTTACTCAATTTCGTGCTGGTCCGTGGGGTTTAAAGGCGTGTTACATAAACGCAGGAGCATTCCAGTACAGTACCATAATGTAATTTTTTTGCACCGCTCTCTGCTGCCCATCAATTGCACTCGTGCCCTTTATCACGATGTTATACTTGGTAGTCCCCAATCCAAACTAAGTATCCAGGTTATACGTAATCACGTGGCACCATATAGTCATAGTCGAGACTAAGTTTCCTCCCACATGCATAAACACTCGTTGGCTGAAAATAAACCAATCAATCTTTATTAATAAAGGAGGCATCAGTGTGCATATTAAGAGCATCTTCATATCTGCCTCCACGTGTTGCGCAGTGTTGTATTTCAGCTATATTTTGCAAGTATACTTTACCGCCGGTCTGCCTTCAAGCATTGCCCAAAAAAAGTGTCCCGAAGTGCTCACCTTACTGCAGAACGAGCCAGGTGTTTGTGGCAAGTGTCTGATGTTGCCAAATTAACAACAACAACAATTTCGGTTTTTTCATCTCCATGAAATTGCAGCTCCAAAGACACACTGCAAAAATGAAAGCACATTCACATACCCGTCAACCCCTCAGTGTCCACTTTATTAGACAAATTCAGGCCTTATTGGTCACCCCATACCATTATAAATCAACGTTCATCCGACAAAGTCCCATCACAAGGGAGAAACACAAATGGACAAATGTTTTCTTTTACACGTATCGAAACGGCTGTATGCCGTATGCACCTGATAACTCACAATATCCTTGTACAGGAACGCGGGTAAACCGTATGGGTTAACAGGTATGCATTCACAATCACAGCACAGGTCTTACCAGAGATCACAAGCCTGGTCTTGCAGCGTCACTGGAGCTTGCTATTGATAAGTTACAGCTTTGTGCTTTTGCCCAAAACCTGCTCACTTAGACCCTGTTCTTTATCATTCCCATGAGGGACTGGCACCAGCTTCTTAGTATATTTACCAACATTTCTATAAACCAGTCACAATACTCAACACTGCTACAACAGCCAAGTAACTGATACTGTTCAATCTTTTGAAAAGCCTTTGTCCCTTTAAGCTCAAGGTTTATTTTTACAAAACCGTTGAGAAATCACAAACCCGCAATGGGTCTAATTTGCAACCGTGGCCGAGCTTGCTGTGCCGATTCTCGTGTAACTCAGATATTTTATTAAATAAACACATTAAGCCGTTGACCTTCCCTTTCTATGTTTCAACACGATACAAGAATTACACTTTGGTTCTTTCGGTATAGTCACGTAGAAAGAAAATAAATAATAGAATACGACGTTTCGATTGCAACACAAGCAACCGTCATCAGGTAGAACTAAATTTGAGAGAGAGAGACAAAACACAGACACGGAGACACACAAGCAGAGAGAAACACAACATAGACACACAGAGACCCAATGCCTCTGTGTCGAGGCCTTAAATAGAGAGGGGGTGGGGGTTGGGCAGAGAGAGATGGTGCACCCCTCCCCCTCTCTCTATTTAAGGCCTCGACACAGGCATTGGGTCTCTCTGTGTCTTTGTTGTGTGTCTTTCTCTGTGTCTGTGTTGTCTCGTTCTGCTTGTGTGTCTCCGTGTCTGTTTTGTCTCTCAAATTTAGTTAAACCTGATGACGGTTACTTGTGTTGCAATCGAAACGTCGTATTCTATTACTTAATTTATTGTCTTTCTACGTGACTTTACCGAAAGAACCAGAGTGATTCCTGCAGTCACGAAAGCTTCAATTCAAGTACGATACAAGAAGTTTATCCTTCTAGACATAGCAAAGCACCACCACATTGATCATTGCTCCCAACAACCATTGCTTCTCCCTCCCATGTTCATATGCCCTGATTTATTTGTGGGTGTGGTTGCCAGACTGCGTGTTGCCGATTTATTGTTTGAGAACATGCACGACTGGTTTGACCCATCCAGAAATTAAATTAGTCGCAGCTGCCAGCCTCTAAATACACCCAAGGCAACTCGGTGGGTGGTTGCAATCCACATTTGAACTAACGAGCAGTTTCAGGTTTTTCCACAATTTTACTCCATGAACATGTTCTTTGCAAGCGTGTATTTATCCTGAGGATAGAGTGGTTTAGCCTCAGCTGGGTTTAATCATTTCGCTTTTGTTATATGGACTTGGAACTTGAAAATACATTTTGACTCCTAAATTGCAGACTGCAATATTGAAAGTTAATATCTAAAAATGTTAAATCAATCCCATTGTGATTATGCAGGTCTGTCTTGCAAATTTTTTTTAAAGAAAGTTTTTTTAATGTTTAGGAAAGAAGGAAGGAATTAAGGCAGTGTTTACAAAAACACATTTACTATAGTCTCTGGATTATAAAATGCAGTTTTGTTTTCCTGTATTTAAAAGAAGTTGGAGGTACATCTTATATGTGGTATACGTGTGTGTGTGTGATCAGAGTTGTATAACTTTATTGACACGGACAGAATTTTGGGGTGTGTCTTCCTTTCTGAATCTCTGAAGCTCAATCAGACAGGCCAGTAATGATTACAGAGTTGACCTTGTAACAGCATGTGAATAGCAAGCAGGTTTCAATTTTAGGCAGGTCTGAACCCATCACACCTCAACAGTATACCTTTTGCTATGGCTACATGAGTGAAATAATACGTTTTATAAACAATTTAACTGGATGCTGCCATGGCGTAATGGTTAGCCCACTGGTCAATGAAATGTTTTATCTCCCAGTTACCTGCTAGTCCATTCAACATCTTGATGGGAGTTCCTATCCCAATCCAGAGGTCACCAGTTCAGGGGAGGATTTTAAATAATTGCACCACTGCTGAAGCAGTGGTGCAATTATTTAAAATCCTCCCCCCCCCCCCCCCCCCCCCCGTCTCTGTCCACCAAGCAGTTTTAATGAGTGCCACAGTGGCCAGTGTTAGAAGAATATGGCAACAAAAAAACCCTTTTTAGTTTCCCTCTCGAGCTTCCACTAGTCGAGGCACTTCTGCCAGCGGTGGTGTGAGCTAGCAATTTGCAGGGCTGCCCCTTTGCCTAACAAGTAAATCACTTGTACCTTCTCCAGCAGGATACGGGGCTGAAGCCTGAGCGCAAGCCTTTAATTGCGACGACGGGCCTGGTCTCTGTGCGGCCGGGCACACCCAACGTGCTGCCTGCAAACGCACCTCTGACAGCGTCACCCGTGCCCACCAACACCATGGCGAACCAGCCCGCGCAGCCAAAACCGATGGTGCCGCAAGCCGCGGCGGTGGTGGCGCTCGGGCAGTCGGCGCTGGCCCAGCCCGCGGCAATCCACTCCAGGCCCTCGAGTTCATCGCCATCGTCGGGTCCGTCCGGTGTCGTTCAGACGACTGTGGGAACGAGGACGGTCATCGCGTCGCCATCGTCCTCGTCGCCCAACTCCTCCGTGCTCGTCTCCGCTTTGCCCATGCAGAGCAGGGGTCAGCACGTGGCTCCGCCCGTGTACAACATCGACAACTCTCTGGACGACGAGTTGATCTTGAACCCGGGAGTTCTTGGCAGCGTGACGGAAACCCTGGCTGCGCTCAACAACGCCGCGTTGATAGACAAGCTCTGTCTGCCCGGGTTGTTGCTCGGATCGTCGGACTCGATTCCAAAATCCGTCACCAGACAACCCACGTCCGGCCTGGAGAAGAAACCTGTGCAGCAAAACCCTCCTCCCTCGGCTACGGCAAGGTCGAGTCCCGTTCCTGCGGGCCACTACCCTCTCAGCCTATTGGCTGACCAGGCGGCCAATAGGAAGCAGCTTCCGCAGCAGGGTAAATCGGCAAGTGGCCACCCGCAAGTGGTCATTCAGGCTCACAGAAATGTCATCTCGGGCGTGACGCAACTGCAGAAGCAGAAAGCAGCGGGGGCCACCGTCGTTTCTCATGCGCATCAAAAACCCGCCCTGCAGCAGAGCTCGCACCGGCAGTACCAGCAGAACTCGAACCCTTCGGCCAAAGTGGCCAATCAGCAATACGTAATAAAAACTTCGGTCGCGTCCCACAGCAAAGATTCATCGCAAAAGCAGCACCAGCCCCACATACAGCAGCCCCACATACAGCAGCACCACAACATCAAAGTCTCGGACAGGTTGCCATACAAGCAGTCGGACATAATTAAAATACCCATACAGAGCCACAGTTTGCCTCAGGCCAGCACGTTCCCATCAAACTCGTTGGGGAATAACACCATGGGTAATATAATAGCTGGAGTCATTGGGCATTCCGGTGTGTCCGCAAACTCGGCGTCTTCTGGACAAAAATTCAAGATGCCCTACTCTCCCTCAACTAAGGCTGCGTCCACAGGTGCGATGGCCTCATCCCACCCGTCGAACAGTCCCGTGCTCGGCTGCAGCCCAAAGAGGCTGGCAGCGGGCGCTCCGAAGCTCGGGCCGAATAGCGGTTCGCCCGGCTCTGCAGGTGCAGCTCACGGCCTCGCCAGCACGGGAAAAGTGGCAGCCGCCTCCTCTCACAAGTCTCCATCCCACCCGCCGCCTCCATCCTCTTCCCCTGCTTCCTCCACGTCGCCCAACCAGGCAAGTCGTGCCGACGCGCTCACGTCGACGGCTGAGTTTTCGTGTCCTTTGTGTGCGTATATGTATGTTGAGCTTCTTTCGCGCCGTTCGTAGCCAGCCGTGCTAATTGGAGGTGTGAAATAGGAGGTCCTTTGCATCAAGTGTGGTGGTCATTGTTTCAGTTGATCTGGCCCCCGAATGGCCCGCCTAGAGATATGCCTCGCCGAGACACAAAGAGATAAAGATTGGTGAGATGAAAGAGCGTTAATCAAGAAATAGAGATGAGAGAGATGTCGACAAGAAGTACAGATTAATGATCGCATTCGACGGACATTACGGCATCATGATCCCATGTAACTTAACATATAACGTCACATGGCTCCCCAACACGTCATTTCTTTGTGTGGCCTGCTTACGAACCCTGCTGCTACATCAAAGTATGCACAGCATTAATTACATAAGCCATCGTGCCACGATTGCGTAGTTTTGCTTAAAGTTAAACCGTATTGTACGCCGCGAGAGTTCAGCGTTGGCAGGTGCGTGCCGCAAAGATTGTGTAATGGGATTCGTCTCGAATGGGCCGGAATAAAGGACTTGCGTGCGCTTCGCCCCAGATCGTCTCGGGAAGCTCGCTGCTGGCCACGGGCACGGCGGCGGCATTGCTGCCTACGACCTCTGTGTTGTTGGGTCCGAAAGCCACCGCTTCGTCAGCCCACAAGCCCACCTCCGCGTTGTCCCACAAACCGCCGCAGCCCGCCGGCGCCGTGGCGGCGGCGGCAGCCCAGCCAGCTCGGCCCGCGCTCCATGCGCCCATTCGCAACATCCTCATACCCGTCAACTTCACGGACTTCGACAGCGACGCGGCCATGAGCGGGAGGGACGCCATCATAACGGGGCCTGCGCCAGGCACGTTCCACCACGGCCTCCCGCACAGTGAGTCCTCCCGTCGGGAGCTCGCAGACAGCGGGGAGATGGTGGCGACGTGGACGAGCGGAGGCACTTTCGCCGCTCGTTGCAGAGGTTCGCTGTTTGAGATCCACAGGCCGCCTCGGTGAACCGTTTTCCCATTCCGACGATGCACGTGTACGTCATTGGTTTTTCTCCTGATTCCATTCCGATGACGTACGTGTTCAGCATCGTCATCTGCCTACCAAGACTATATAACACTTTCCCTGTAGACCTTGGTACTTCCTTGATAAATCTGATCAGCCAATCCTTTTCAGTAACAGTTTCACAGCAATTCCTGCCTTCATGTTTCATTAACGTGGTATTTTATGTTCACTGAAGCAGCAACTTGACAACCTTGTTTGTCTTTTCTGTTTAACGAGTGACATGAGCTTGAGACCTTCCCCTCCTCCCTGCCTTTTACTCTGCTTAACTGTCTGCTGCATTTCTGGGTATTTTGTGTTGCATCGTCTCTTCATGGGCAAAATCACCTGGAATGCACTCAATCTCTTCAGTTCCCAAGCAAAGCAAAGTTGAGCCTGGATAGTGCTTTTATGGATAACCGCCATGCACGGCTGTGAGGCTGTGTGATAGGCAGCAGCAGTGCAGTGCATCAAAGTCAATTGTACGGCTCTGCATCTGTGCTGCCTGCCTTCGCCAACCCACACTTATATCAGCGTAGTGAAGTATGGTCATTTAACCCCCTGCGCACCGCGTGGTGTGGAGAGGCTGTCATCCAGCAGTGGATAGTCTCTTCAGCCCCTACTTTTTTGGTAGTGATTAGCTGTGGAAACCGAATCGACTTCAGGCCTGTGCTGCATGGGTGTACGAGCTGAGGATTTTTTTTTTACCGCTTTTACGCAAAACCGTACTGGGGCCATGCGGAACCAACCTGGCACTGCTCAGAAGACACCAGGTTGTTTGTCCTGGTGTCGTGCTGCTGATGCCACACGAGTCAAATTTCCCTGCCCCTGGCCCGTGTTGCCACCCACCCCCACCCCCGAGCCAGATTCGGATGTCTTGTAGAAGAGGCCCCATTGTACCGTGATTTGGTTACGGCTCGGGAAATAACCGAGTGAAGACTCCTCCAAACCTTGAGAGTCCCTCGCTGACCCAGTCCGGATATGACTGTGGAAAACAGGGTATTTTGTGTGCTTTTGCTGGCTCTGACCCGTGTCCCCTCCACCTCAGGTCTCTATACAGGCTTGCACTCTAGTCCTCAGCCGCAAGGGCCGCAGCCCCACTCTGCTTTGCCTGCCCGCTTTCCACAGTCTTTCCCAGGTAACCTTTGCACTTGACCTTATCTGCATTCTCACTCTTGTGGTTCTTGCACCGACCATGTTGCTCTGGAACGCTCTTTACCGTCTGTCTTACATAGGAAGAAAATTAAGTTGGGAAAATTGTGCGTGCTCAGGAATTCGGTAAACGCTTTCCATCGTTGCGGTTGTCCTCAAGTATTTCATTCGAGCCGCACGATGAGATGCTGTTAGACGGCACGTGATACGTGACGTCATGGTGAGGGTACACTCATTGGCGTGTGACGCTATCGCCTTGGCTGAATATGCATAACTATCCCGTTTTTATTGACATGTTTTGGACAACCCTTCGATCAATTTGGCCAATTTTCTTTTGGGCGAGTCCCTAAGAGCAACAGATTCTTTGTACTAAAGTTGTACTGATTTTTTTTGTATAATCTTTAAGCAAGTGTTATCGTAAACCCCATTTAGCAGGGAGACAAAGTGGACGGATGTACAGAACAAATGCATTAGCTCTTTTAACCTGAGTTGGACAACTTTGAAAGAGAAAATTACAGCCTATTGCATGCAATATTGCCATTTCAGTTTATTTTTATTTGTTACATTCATGATCCCATTTATCCAGTTACTCGCTTGTTTTACAAGGGAGATCCATGGGACGTGAGCACAGCAACAGCAAAAGACAAACACATCAATATCGCAGAGAACGAGTACATGGTCTCGATTTAAAGCTTTCGTGACTGCAGGGATTCATCTTCTTGGTTCTTTCGGTAAAGTCACGTAGAAGGGAAGTAATAAAATAATAAAAATAAAATTGTGAGAATTGTTTTATTATGTTTTATTTTTATTATTTTATTACTTCCCTTCTACGTGACTTTACCGAAAGAACCAAGAAGAGTACATGGTCCTTAAGGAATATTGCACAACTAATAAATTAGATATCTGACGGTCGTTAACGAAACACGGCAATGGGCGCCAGCACAAGTTAGGTACAAGTGCAAGTAAGTTCTCCGTTTTGGTCTAATAAGGAAATCAAGATGGGAAGAGAATGGAGGGAACCAAGCCGTAGATGAGCGGCAAGGGGATTCCAGAAACGTGCAGCCGCAACGCGGAAAGACTTTTTAGCAAACAACATTTTAGTAAATGTAATTTATCGTCGTAATGAGGAGGGAACTTCTGAGGCTACGGGAGTGAGTTTGAGGAACTCGGTGGTCCTGATGACGGACGCTTGTGTTGCGCCCGAAACGTCGTGATTTATTTTATTTTCTACCTACGTGACTTTACCGAAAGAACCACAGAGTATGGATTCCTGCAGTCACGAAAGCTTCAAATCAAGATTGAACTCAGTGGTCCTGTAGGTAATTGGCGGATTTGTTTAAGAAGACCTTGAGGATGAAGACGGCCATGTTGGTCTTGGGGGATGTTTAACCATACTTCACCACACTGGTCCAGTGGGCTTTGGTAATGGTGGGTGCGAACCGTGACCCGATTCAGATATCGCATGCTGATGGTGGTCTTGGCCTTGAATTGAACCCAAGTTGCTGGGTTTATAGCGCTGAATGCTGTACAGCATGAAATTAACTGCAAACACTACACTTGACATAGTCTTTAACATGTAATAAACACATGTAGTGTCGGATGCTTTCATTAAGTAGAAAATGCAGCTGCGTATTGTGGTTTTCACTTGTGCAGTAATACCAGATACCAGTGCGTCAGTGAAAGTGATTTGTTGCACAGCTGTGGAACAGATAACGTGATTTGTTAAGTGCTGGCAATGTCATAATTTGCAACGTTCTCCCCGCACACTCAGCCATTGAATGAGTTGCTACAATTCTGTTCAAGGATCTTCCTTTTCGTTCTATTACACGTCTCGTTAGCTTCCGCATTTGTTACGTCTATTTGGCTCCCATTAACCTAGGTGTAATATTTGCACATATCCCATATAATTTGCATAAGTCTTCATTATCATCCCATAACTTTTCAGAGTTCTCACTCTTGGCACCTCATGTAATCTTATCCATCGGCACATGTAACAGAATGTTATACTGGTAGGAACCTCCTGGTTACACCAGCCCACAGGGGATTATTGTGTCCGTCTGTCGTGCAGGGAGGGGCTGGGGAGGGAGGGGAGGGGCTGGGTGGGGAGGGGCTGGGTGGGGAGGGGCTGGGTGGGGAGGGGCTGGTCACCCCGTGGTGCCCTTATAAAACTCAACGTTTAACCTACTCACGCCGGCTTGTGCCCGCCCTCACAGTCGGGCATATTTGCAGAATACACCACGCTGCCGTTGACCCTGGCCATTGACCGAGCAACCCAACGTTCCTACCAGCTCCCTCCGCAGGAATGTGTTATACATTCTTAGTTCATCATATGTTAATTATGTTTACACGTGCGTGTGTGTTGTTAATGCTTACGCTAAAAGTGAAAATTGCTTCCTTCTATTCGCAGATGCAAGTTCGTTACAGAAAGACGCCTCCAACCTTCCGAGAAAAACTCAATGACATTTGTGCGAGAGCAAAGCGAAAATCGGTGTGAATTCATACAAGTTTCATTTTGGGCTGCTGTATTAAATGTGTAACCCCTTCAGACTGTTGCTCTCCCTCCCCCAACCATCCCCACCCCCCATCTTTGGGCAAATGAAAAACTGGATGGAATTTTTCACGTGCTATTGACGGCTACAAATAATGTTTAAATGATCGTCATTATTTGGTGCTGATAAAAAATTGCATTTTTTGGCTTAAAATCAATTAAACTAAATCTTGGGTCACATCACATTCTCTCTTTCACAAGCAGTTAAAAGTGGATTGTGGTTCCGCCTGAAGTGAAACCGTTACCATCATGAACAATGTTTGAGTAAAAATGTAAGGAAAAGAGTACAAACATTATTTACAAACCTTAACTTCTAATGCAATCAGGGGCAAAACATCTGCGTGGGTCATTGACAAAAACAACCAAGCAAAAGTATAATAAAACATGAATGTATGTCAGCAGTGAAGATGTGTTTTCTAGGAACTTTGCATTACAACATCTTTGTGAGCAGTGTCCTTGGGTGTAGACAATTTACTTTGACCAAGTTAGGCCTGATAATTGAAGCTGCCAGCAACGGAGACTTTCTGCGTCTTTTGAAAAAGGCTGCGTACTTTTACAGATCTTAAGGGGATGTTGCCATGTGGGTGTAATTGCTTGCACACCGGACTTGCGGAGGTCGCCACTTTGTCTCTTGGCGCGGCAGCTCAAGGGCAAGTTTATTCAATCTCCCCCCCCCACCTCTGTCCACCCAGAAATATAAAATGGGTAAGTCGACCGGCAGGTTGCGTGTGGCGAGGAAAGGTTGGTGTACTCCTACCTCTTCCAAGGTGTATGGTCAATGTGGAAGAGTAGGCCAAATAATACCCTCTCGAGGATTATCTTTAGAGCCTCTCTGCAGTGGAGGCCCTTCTGCCAATGGTGGCGTGAGCAAGCAATTGCAGGGCTGCACCCTTACCTTTTTACACATCTTAAGAGATATATTGCCGTGTATGGCTATGGGAGAACAGCCTCAGTATTGTCTTTCATGCACCTGGGCCGATCTGCACGACTCCATCTGCTGCTCACATTGACTAGTTGTAATGTGGGTGATGGTCAAGAGACAACCAGTGCCTTTCATTAAAAAAATAATAATGGTAAACGCTTGTCCAAAACTTTAAAAGGGGAAACATCGATTTTTTTTTCTCATCTGCTCTGAACGTTTATAGTAAGGTGTCAGATTCCCTTACGATAATATTTAATTGTAACTACAGGCTTTTGGGTCAGCCTTCCATTGTTGAAATTCCTACCTTTACTGGATGTTTGCGTTTAATGAATGAACATGATGTAAAGTAGGGAAGATTCAAAAAGGTTAAACCAAGCTCAGGACATCTCTCATTTTGTGCATTTTTCTCATGTTCGTTTTCTTATTTCTTGCACCCTTGCTGTAAACTGCTTTCCGCTTTTTTGATTATAGAAATTGTACAAAAACTGAAATAAATGTGAGATAATGGTAAAGTGGTGAGAGCATTTCCGGTGTTGTATACCACTGCATTCCCGTTACATATTTCACAATGCAGAACGTGAGCACGTGCCATTGTCCATATATAATATACCTACTGAGATAATTACGTGTTTTAAAAATGCACTTTGGGTTGGGTAAATTCCTATATGCAAGCTTTTACTAACACATATGCTAATTGATGTATAAAATTATCAACATTTTGCTTGCTTTTCAAGTTCCTGGTTTGCTGAAAAACCAAATCAATCAGAATATTTGCCCAAGTAACATTTCATTGGCTGTCAGGGGGAGGGTAACATTCATATACCGACATAATCTCACCCAAAAGAAACAAATAATTTCGGGTTGCGATTTTTTTAAATCGCAGATATACTCGTACACAACATGCCACAACAGTACATATATTCTTCATGTCAAACCACAATTGACAAATGTTTTTAGAACCTGTCTCGCAGAAAGACACAAGGGTGTCAAAAGATAGTATTCACAACTTGGTCGGTTTATTTCAGATAAGGCCCATTGATCTAAGAAGTTATTTTTCAATGGCAATCTGGCCAAAACGTCACGATCACGGCATACGCCCATCGCACAAATCAGTCGTTTTAAAATATTGTATTTTTCTTGACAATTACAAAAAATATCAGATTGTGTTTAAGACGCTTTTAAAAGCTGAGGTGCAAGTTTGTGGGAGTCACTGAAGAGTTTGAGTGTGTGGTGTGTTTTGGACGTGTGCTGCGATCTGCAAAAGCCTCTTTCATTCCTCTGATCTTAGCCCTGCAGCTGTGATAGAAGTCATGAATGTGGCCATTTAGTGCCTGTGTGCATATGCATGTCAAGTTCCATCACAGATGGTGGCATGTGTGCGTGTGGGTTATGTTTTACGCTTCCAATATTAAGACTATAAATACAGGGTGTTTTAAAAAGATGGACCCAATTTCAAAACAGTATATTTCACGATGGCAACATGTTACAATTACACAGTTACAAACGGTTTAATGAGTTATCAAGTTTTACTAACCATTTTATACATGCTCTGTGCCCTCCACCTGTTGTACGGACAACATCGAGACGAGAGTTGAATTCGTCACAAACGCCTCTCAAAGTGTCTTCTTCCACTTAAGTCACCGCTGCCGTGATTCTGTTTTTGAGGTCATCCAGATTAGTCGCTAATGGTGGCACAAAAACACCACGGTCTTTGATGTATCCCCACAAGAAAAAGTTGCAGGGTGTGATGTCTGGGGATCTTGGGGGCCAAGAGTGTAGCGCCAAGTTTTGGGGTCCCGTGCGACCTATCCAACGTTGAGGCAGTGTGTCATTTAGAAAACGTCGAACCTGCAGGTGCCAATGTGGCGGTACTCCGTCTTGCTGAAAAATGAAGTCATCGGAAGTTCAAGTGTTAAGAGTTTAATTCATGGGCGGTTCGTGGTTGCAGAGATACAGTATAGCGATTTCAAATGGTATCCATCTTTTTGAAACGCCCTGTATATTAACATTTTTTACAGTATAGCGTGTGGTATGTACGTACCTACATTGTATTAAATTAGTGTAAAATGTATAATTATAGTGTTAAGATCCTGAAGCATGTACAAAATAAAATGCATTTCGAGACGATACAGTGGCTGTCAAGGACAAGACGGCTTCACATAAAACTTTAAATACAACAGATTTCTGGACCATAATCTCAACGGGAAGCCAGTTTATTGCAGTGTCACCCCACAATTTGTGACTGATTTATGCTCCCATAGGTGTTTTTACAATTACAGCTAAAATTTACAAAAACCTGGAGTGCAGTATAAGGTACAGCGGCTTTACATGTGGATGGGTGGCGCTGTTTTCCACCCAGCGCTTCACTTAAAATAGGAAACTCGGGAGTTCTTGTTGTTGGCCTCGGCTGCAGCTCCAGGCGTAGCAGCAGCTGCAGCACTGGTCACTTCACCAGCTTATAACCCCCCCCCCCCCCCCCACGGCTCATCCTGGCTCCCCCCCCCCTCCCCTTAACCAGTATATAAGGTCGCGTCTCTTTGAGCTCTCTTCACTTCATACAGTAATTTTGCTGTGACGGTTCCACCTGAAGACGGAAGCTTGTGTTGCCTCCGAAACGTCGTGATTCAATTTATTTGTTTTCTTTTTTTAACCTACGTGACTTTACCGAAAAAAACAAAGAGTATGGATCCTTGCAGTCACGAAAGCTTCAAATATAGAAGTTCTTTTTGTGTTTGGGGTCAACTGATGATGTCGCCGTCTGTTTAGAGTCGATAAAAATGACGACCGGTTGGTGAAGTTAAAGCCATTTATCGAACTGTCCCAGGCTCGTGAGCCAAGAGATGTTACAAAAGTATTTCCAGATTCTTTCTCCGGATTATAAGACGCTCCATAAAGTAGACTCATTTCCAAATGTGCCCAGTTACCAATAGAGTTTATACAAATTTGGCCATGTCTGATAATAAGATGCACCCCCAACCCTCAAAATACAGGCCAAACTGCATCTCGATGCAGAGAATATGGTAATATATGCAGAGGGTGATTCATACGCGGCAAAAGGTGTGATCGTGACCATTGGATTTGGTCCTCTATTCACACCTTGCATATCACGTGACCTTGCAGCACCGCATGTATAATGAATGCTCAGATTTTACTTGACAATTCGGCTCAAAAATTGACGCGGTGATTGGGATGTATCTCAAAAGTAGAACGCAAAATCTTGACTCGTGGCTTAAAAATGTGCTTCGGTTTAGATGGGCAACCGATTGTCTTTGGCCCATTTCTTCAAGATGCGGAGGAAGTATTCGACTTGTGGATTTCCAGTGTTCCTCAGCAACTGAATCACATCCCGCAGTGTCTCCCTGTGAACAAGTGGAAACCACTTCATTCAACGGCCTCAATCATGTTACAAATAACCAACATGCCAAAACTACGGCAAAATGCACACCACAAATGTTCGATTCGCTGGTACGGCAGTTAAAACAAATTTCTTTAATTGTTACCCCCCCACCGTCTCTGTCCTAACCCAGCAGTATGAGTATTGTACAATGCAGTCAGTAAATCGGCAGGTCGCATGTAACGGGGTTATTCTTTCGTACGGCTGATGTCGATACAGAGCAACAACAAGCCAGACAACCGCGTCAGGGGCAGCTGAGTCTATCGCTGTGATGTCTGCTTCGTATTTGTGGATTGGGCAGTGCATCGTTATACATTGTTACAGTCTGTTCTGGATGACCACAGTTGCACACTGGAGGTTTTATTTTTACATTTTCCATGTAATGGGGTAAACAGTGGCCACTCCCACCTCTTCCAAGGCATCTGGCTGGCACAGAGGAATTGGCCAGGTTACCTTGCAGAGCTGCCTCAAGTAGAAACCCTTCCACTCGAAGTGGTGTCAGTGAGTGGCTGCACCTTTACTTTCGTGTATTATAAATTTAGATTTCAGTGTTGTACCCGATGTGCTTGAACTTGCCGTTCTAATCCTGTAACTACAGCAACTATTCATTATTCATCAAGAGCGATTTCTCCACTACAACGTTTGGTTAGTTTGATGAGGGTTTGCAAAGATTGTTTTTGTGGTGAATATCCACACGTACTTGGGTTCGTGTCCAGCGATGATCATCTGAAAGATTCCAACGCAGGCACCTCGCTTGCCCTCCCAGTATTCCGGGTTTGGATCCAGACGCTCCAGCACGTCAAATGCTTTGGCTGCATAGAAGAACTGGCCCATCTGTAAAACAAGCACACACACCAGTGTATGGAGCTTAGTGTAACAAGCCGCCACCACACGCACCAGTTGGCTTCTGACACTTTCCCCGAGTGTTCACAGCATTCCTGCACGTTTGGCTACGTATGGTGCGAAAGAAGTTCAACGTACAATAGGTGAGTATACACGTGGGGTTTTTTTATGCTGTATAAAATAACAAATAGAAAGGTGCGGTCCTGCTAATTCTTTCACACTCCAATGCTGGCTGTATGGCCTCAACTCGAGGCAGCTCTGGACAGTCCTTTTAAAGGCTATTTTGTCATTCACGTCCACTGGCCAGACGTCTTGTAAGAGGTGGGAGCACCAACATTTTACCCCACCACACGTGACCTGCTATTAAATTAATTGGCGAACCTATTTTATACTGCTGTGTCGACAGGTGGAGTGAAGATTTGAACAAACCTACTCATTGTTTGGGAGATCGAATCGAACCTGCGACCTCTGGATTTCCAAATCTTGTGTACTAACCATTGCACTGCAGCAGCATCCCAGATGAATAGCTAAGTATGCATTTCTTTGATGCTTTTGAATGCAAGTGCGAGTGCCGATGAGAAGTGTGTAACACTTACTTTGTAGCAGTCGTTGGCTATGAGCTGCAGGAGGCTAAATGACTCTCCTGATGTATCCATTTTCAGGTACAGCTCCCATGCCAACCGTGCCTTTCTGTTCATTATATCTGCAAGTGAAAAAACTATTTAAGTACACGCTGATTCTCAAACAATGTAGAGATGATTCATGAAAGCTATCGAGATTGCAATGTTATGAATAATAATAGTACTGTAATGGCAATTTCTATAGTGCCGTAACATTGCAAGCTATTACAAAGGTCCTTGTTGGTCATTATTGACCACAATCTTGACTTAAAGCTTCCGTGACTGCAGGAATTCATATTCTTTGGGTCTTTCGGTAAAGCCACAGATTTAAAAATATATATATATCACGATGTTTCGATCGCAACACAAGCAATCGTCATCAGGTGAGAAATATTGTGGGAGAGCTGCTGAGAATATAGGCTTTACCGAAAGACCCAAAGAATATTAACCACAATGTTGAATTGATCCATACAAATCCATTTAAATATGATGGGTCACACTGGGTTATTCTTAAACGGAATGCAGAATTTATGGAGTGATAACTTACAGCAGCGAGCCAACCAGCTAGCGTACACAAAATCATTCTTCAGCTTCTCACTTTGAATGAGGAGGAAAATCTGTTCAAAGAAAAATGAAGATTAGGTGGCCAACAGTTGTCATTCCACGGACTAATCGCACGACCTGGCACAGACGAATTTTGGGGAGATATCTTTGACATGTAAATTCCATAACAGGTTTTTTTAGGGTTAGATTGCGTAAATATATAAACATGTCGTTAAACCCGCCACCATCCGACATAGCCAATTAGTAAGGTTTGTCACGTAAACAGAACGTGACAATTCGTCACTAGTACAGCACACCGGTAGTGTGTTGGAAGGCTTGGTTCTCCAACACACCGGAGTGTGCTGTACTAGTGACGAATTGGCCACGTTCTGTTTACGTGACAACCCTTACTAATTGGCTTGTCGGGTGGTGGTGGGTTTAACGACGTATATTTACGTGATCTAACTACAAAAACCTGTTATGGATATTGGTCGCGAAAGCCTGTGTGTTAAATATGTAAATTTCGTAGCTTATTTTCTCACAGCGATGTACTTTTGAGATTATTTGCCTTGTACAGCATTAAAATGGCAGGGACAGCTTGGACAATGTAAAATCGTTCACTAAATGGTAACAAATATATTCAGTTGTGAAAAACAGACTAATATTCCACTTGAATTTCACGCATACACAGTACAAACACAGTTACATCCACAGCACTCTTCATCATGTAGGCTCATAGAGAGCAGGTTGCAAGAAAAACAGATGTTGCATTACCTCCTCTGCTTCCTTGTAATTCCCAATTGCAGCCTTCGTCTGTGCGTAGTTAAAATTAAAACCGTCATCATTGTAGAAGTAGCTCTGTAACACACAAAGCAAAACACTCAGGACCCCAATTTGAAAATAAGCATTGAGGGACTGGTAATCCACTGCTGGATGAGGCCCTCCACCCCCCATGTAATGCGGGCTGTGGAGGTTATTGGCCATACGTCACCCTACTGGCCAGGGTAGTTTTGTGAAAACGGGGAGCGAACGACTGAGTGTAGTACGGTACAACAATGGATGTTACGGCACGGCCTTCTGCTGATAACGCAGCCTATACCACCTGTGTTATGCATTGGGATCGCCCATCCCAGCACTGTCCAAAATTCAACTCATTATTCTGTGGCACTGCATTGTCAATGGTGTGTAAGCACGAATAACCAGGCTCAAGCCCACTTAGCTTCCGAAATCTGACAAGATCGGGCGCATGACATTCCAGGTCATCGACTCATAGGCTGGTGGTAATGCGTGTGACAAATTGCGGTTACGGAAAACACGCGTTACCTTGATCGAATTCAGATAGATGAGGACGTCCTCAAACTGCTTTAGGAGGAAGAAACAGGAGGCCATGCACTGCCGGCCGGGAATGGTGTCTGCAACGCATGTGCGCACACACACAACGCGAGATGCAATCACACGCGCCAGGGTGTGCGTCGTCGAGATTCGCGATCGTGCTTTGACTGGGGATTCGAGTCCGTGTTTATCGCTGCAGTGACCGTTGCCGCCTACAGCAGCTGCAGGGGGGTTAATGAGCCGCCTCATTCAATACAAGATATATACACATTGACAAAATCCCAGATCTTACACACGCCATCGGGTGCCTGTATTGTACGCTTAAGCGATATTAAACGATGCATTTAACACAGAGGCTTTCACAACCAATATGTAATAAAGGAAATGTATTACTCACACGGTCTGAATATACCTAATCAGATTTTGACTTAAAACTTTCGTGACTGCAGGAATTAATATTCTATGGTTCTTTCGGTAAAGTCACGTAGATTGAAAAAAAAAATAACAATGAAATAATAAAAATAAAGTGAATAAAAAAATTATAAAAATATCACGACGTTTCGATCGCAACACAAGCGGTTGTCATCTGGAACAGGGAGGTTAGCCTCTGAGGGCAAGCTGTTTATAAAGGTTTAGAGATGGGAGGGGCAGCTAATGTACAGTTCAATTGGGCTATGTTTGTAGAGAATGCTCTAACACACGCATTACTATTATACACATAAGGATATGCCTCTTCTGCTGAAATGTATTCTCGTTTACTTGTTAAAAAACAATCTAGCGTAATTCAAAGCAACGATATGATATACAAAATATATGTAAAAGACCTTAAACTTACCGCATTCACTTGCCGAGCCTCCTACAAGCTGGAAGTATTGCTGAGCGATCTTCACGTGCTCTACCTGCAACGCATGCATTTACTTATAAATTTTTATTTTAAAATCTTGATGATCTTGCACACTTTCTCTCTCTCCAAGGTCAATTATAAAAGGATGCATTTTTTAACCCCAAATAGACTTAGAAATACAGTTAAGGCCAAGTCTGGTAAACAATTATACAAGAAACATAATTGTTATTCGTATGATCGATTCAACTTTCAAATAACAGGTAAAAACCTCCAAGTTATGCTGGGGCTGAGAATTTATAGCCAGGGAAATGGCAGCGTTTGCATGGGCCCTGGTGCGAGGAATTAAACGGGGCCCCTATCCCATTTTCCTTCACCTCATAGCCCAGTGGCTGGGCTCCCTATGGCCTGTGGACACACTGGTGCAGATGCTGCCTTCACATTTGATAGCTACGCCAGTGCCCGTAACGTAACCACTGTGTCTGCGCAGGTTTTCGTGGTGACGCTGTGTAGCTCTCAGATGTTTTGTGGGATCGTACCGCGTGTAGATCGGCATCATGTCTGACATTTGACTCCACATGCTGGAGGCTTCTTCAGGATAGTTCATGAAGACGCTCCAAGCACGTGCACCAAAACGTCAAACAATATGCCGAACCACACGCAATACGACCCACGACCACATTCGAGAGGTGTGCCCACTGTTGTTGAGTGTACGTTGCCAACGATGCTAATCAGAGGTGCGGCGGGTAAATGAGAATGTGCATTAGCCACGCTCACACCGCGATATGTGAGATTCCACCCTTTCCGGCAAGAATACAGGAGGTGTTAAGATGTTCACACACCAAATAGATGCCTCTTACAAGGCATCGAATCTGCATTAACCACACATACTTGCAGTAAAACATGCACACAAGCATGCTTTGATAGGGTATGTCCTTACTGACTGGCCTACACCAGAGGCCGCCGCCTCCTTCGTGGCATTGTCTCACCAGTGTGAGAGCAAAGAATACCTAAAAGCAAAGAGCCTATTCTGTTTTCATCATCTTGATAGTGGCAAAAAAGGGTCCAAAAGGCGAGGTTCCTTTTACTCACAGATCCTTGATCCTGGCCAAGAGCTGCATTCACGACTCCCTTCAGTATGTACTCCTGAATTCCCAAAACAACAAACACAATTGCAATATCACAGCAATATTGTATTATTATTATTCACGATAGTTCCTCAGTCCTGTGAAGTGTTGTTTGATAAAAAAAAATACAATTCCGTAGAACAACTGAAAAACCTATCAGCTTTGATACCAGTGCATAACTTTATATAATAAGTAATATTTTAATGATCGATATTTTGCTCAGAAGGACTGCATTTGCCTCGATGATGCTGATACATTTGGGTCTCACCTGTGGAGTCGTCGGCTCCAGATCCTTTATGAGGTTGTAAGCCTCCTGCACGTCATCTGAAAAGTAACCACAAACAACAATTCCTCAACACAGTACCGTGTAAGTGTATTAGGCAGGGTGATGCATTTATAAATACCCTACTCACATATGGGGGAAATTCTCGTGAAAAAACTAAATGTTTACACCATTGGAACCTCCTTTGCCAGTAGAAAAATATGAAAATAGTTTTTTTTTACCCTTTTATCTAGCAACAAAACTGACACCTTTTTTTACAAGGAGTCATGTTTGCATTGACCACAATAACTGCAGGTCGGAATGCATTCCTTGTAAAAAAAGGTGTCAGTTTTCTTGCCAGATAAAAGGGTAAAAAAAAACAATGATCAAACTAAATGTTATTTCACAGTATCTACACGTCTCCCACCATATGTAGCCATCACTTTCACGGGAGTCAATCACCTGGTTGAGTATAAAGTAAGAGGTGCCATGAGACATCTGTGGGGGGGGGGGGGGCACGGTATCTATCGAATGAACACGCCGCGCATTTTTCATCTCCTGGAGTCGCATGCGTGAGGTTATAATTGGAGCAGAATTTGAGATGCCGTTCGCAGGTACATGCCGCGAGTCCCTGAGCCAACAGCTACGACTGTCAGCGAGTGTGCACACCTTGTCGCAGGTAGTAGATAACCAAATTGAGTCTGGCTTCTGGAATTACGTCGATGAGTTGGGGAAGCACCTGCAAGGCGCCATCTCCAGCTCTGAAAACCACCTGCGTTGGGACGTGCAAACAACGATCAACCGAGGGTGATGAAGCAATTATTGTCCTTTTACATTGGCAGTTCTCAAAATATAGTTCACTCGTATACCACCAGTCAAAATATATATAAATATGATTTACCACCTGTAAAGTAAAAAAAACCTTTATGGTAATTGTATTGAATGACATGAAGCAAATGTAGCGTTCATAAAGCCAATGGTTACAATATCTCTTACAATATCTTCAACATAAATTGTATTATACATGTAAATTTAGCAGAAACAGATGTGTACATCCTGCCTGCCTGAATACAAATGGGTGCATAACATACAATACATATAAGGCTACACATTAACAGATTCATGTATATACACCGACATACCAATTGATGCATTGTGCATGTAAAACATACATGCATAAGCACTGACTTTGGTGCGTCACTTGCAGACTGCTCACGCACCGCCGGTGGTAAACGTAATTACACTTCGGAAACTGACGCTTTAGATTGTGAATTTTTTGGAACGAATGACACTCACCAAGTTGTGCTTGACCAGTTCTTTGGCGAACTCAAAGGAAGGAGAAGCCATTTCCTGCAGGTTCTTCAGTTCCATCTTTAAAGACAAATGGAAGATGTATGCACACACAAGAATGTTACAAAGTCGGCATTATTTTACACGACGCGTAACAACCTTGCACCGTCCTCAGTAGCGTAGCTATGAAGTTTGCAGGCAGTGTAATTGTAATGGGGTCCCACAGTCTCGAGGTGACACAAGGGGGGCGGCCAGATTTGGCCCGTCCTGTATTGACCGGTTTGCGATTGGCTTCTGCATGCAAGTTGATATTCTGTCTCGTTGCAATTCATTGATTTCGTGACAACTGTGTGTTCTGGCTTTTACTGACCTCGGCAGCTTTCCCATTGTAGAGCCGAAAGTGGTTGCAGGCTTTCAGGTTTATAGCGGTGGCACTATCCGTAAAGTGCTGCAGGTACACAGCCAGGACCTCTTGCGACACATCGTAATAGTCCAGCTTGTAGTAGCACAATGCGACGTACACGTTCAGCGCCAGGTAATCCCTGATGGCGGAAACAAACAAACCGCAGTGTGTAAGGCTCGTCACAAGTGCGTGACTTGTAACAAAGTCACTGGCTATGTCGTCATTATCAAGGGTGTAATGATCCATCGATGTACCTATATTCTTAAGGTCACGATGTACGAATTGAGTCGTGTGTACGAATCAATGTTTATAATTTCTTGTGTTTTTTTATTGTAAATGGTGTTCACGTGACTGCTCCAGCCAACAGAGGGTGCTACATTGACCACAATGAAATTTGTTTTATTAATTATTATTGAACTGACCCACGAACCTGAATTGCAACATTCACTAAATCGCAAAAGGGGCACATTGTTTCACCCCTACTGATCATTATCAAACAGTACTTGCTGTTTAGGGATAAGCTGAGGATTTAGAAAAGTGTCAGATGTTGGATATACCGATTCTTAAGGATAACTTAAGATTCTTTCTTTCGGATTTTAGGATCATTTACAGTAAGTAAACATGTCACGTGTCTACTACATGTTTTCAAATAAAATTCCACGTGACACCACTTTTGGTGGGAGAGGCACATAAATGAGGCAATTTCATTGACATAATTGCATGCGACTTCATACTTTGAGATCATCCAAAAATTTATCACGGCCCAATTTGCAGAGATTTCAGATTAATAAAAAAAGAATTGGGAACACATGCCAAGCACCTACACCAGGGGTCGGCAACCTACGGCTCCGGAGCCGCATGCGGCTCTTTACGGGCTGCTTCTTGACGATATGTACGTATGTACAGTATGTACTCAGATGCATTGCGGCTCTTGAAATACTGAATTTTGTACCGAATTGGAAAGAAATGGCTCTTCTTGTTATTTTGGTTGCCGACCCCTGACCTACACCATTCAATCAGGACGGAGGCAAGGAAGTATTACAACCGCTTAAACATGTACCGGTTATCTAGGAGTATCCTTTTGTAGATATCGATGGCTTCCTGGTAGTGGGAGCGCATGTAGTGAATTGAGGCGAGGCTCAGTTGATCTTCAACAATGTCCTGTAGGTTTTGGTGGTAGCCCATCAGACGCTTTTCATCACTGAACTGGTTTCACAAAAGATCAACAAGTTTTCCACGTTAGTGTACAGAACAAGTGTCCATAATCGCATGGCCAAAGCGCATAAAGAGAGGCGGTATATTTTTGTACGTATTCAAATGTGATCAATGCCAGCTGCGTCACACAAATTAGAGGTGCGCCGCTTTGCCAACTTGGAACTCACCTTGTGGGACAGGTGAAACAGGAGTCTGTTCTGCAGGCGGCTTTTTGGTGCTGAAAAGAAAAATACATGCCTGTAATGTACGTACTTTACAATGGGTTAAAGAAACATAATCGCACGTGTATTTTTCACATGCAAAGCATAAAACAATGGGCAGCGCTTAACTGGATGTGCAAAACCCACAGTAAATGCAGATTCTTCATTCCACAAGTGGAAGATGAAAGACAATATAACGTGTGCGCGACTGCAGCTAGAAACACCAAACCATTGAGCAGAGACCTTCGCACGACCCCAAATATGTTTTCTACAATTTACCAACTTGTGAAGCAAATGGCTAAATAAATTGGAACGGACTTTCTAATCTATTATTCATTGGCCACACAAAATAATCATCATCAATGCATGCAATGAGATTTACTTTAACAATCTTATTTCATATGGGATTTTGCAGAGATAAACAACTGGTTTTTGAAACACCAACAATTGTTATAAATTGACACCGAGGTTATTTAACCATTCACCAGCGATTGGTTATACGTTTATGAATTGGCACTGGTGCTGCTGTTCAGTGGTTTTAATAGGCAGCAGTTGCATGTGTGCTCCAATGTTTGTTTCGCTTCACAATCGACAGCAATCGTACCTTTTAGCGCTGCCACATCTGCCTCGCTGTACATGCCCAGGAAGAAGTAGACACAAGCCAGATTAACCCACACGTCAGGGTTACAGCCATCTCGCTTCGTCATCGCCTCATATTCCTGTAGACACAGTCCGGTCATCATCAGCCATGATCAATCCACTGTTGGCTGAAGGCCACCCCTTTGCCAACCTGGCCTGACCAATGTGGTTGTGTATGTTCAAACAACCCCCCGAGACTGACACGGTGTGGTTAGGCCTTCATTCATAACTGTACTGATTGCCACTTTGTTGGTAAAAATCTCACCTAGAAAAGAGACTTGCACCTCTTTTCCATTGTACAACCGAGCCGTGTGTGTCGGGGCTGCGCTCAGCCAACCTGACTCAGCTCTGGCGATGCCAGGTTTTTTTAAATCCTTTATATTAAGTTCGCTTGCTTGCGTGCTTGCGTGCTTGCTTGCTTGCTTACGACCGTGCAAATCTTTCGGTCGTTTTTTAACCCACTTCCCGTGATCCAATCGAGCTGACATTTTCCACACAGACTCGTTGTGCCAGACAATTAATGTTCGTGAAAAAAAATCCCAAAATTTTACACTTTTTAGGCAAAATTTTTTTATTTTACATATATTCAAATAGAACTCATTCTTGGCTTTGGTTGAACGTCACAGTATAAGAGCCCAGAGCGTAACCCCTCCACAGGCCGTGGCGGAGTAGCGCAGTTGGTAGCGCCCTCGCTTCCCATGCCAAAGGTCGCGGGATCGATCCCCGCGTCCTCCACAGGTGAATATATTTTTAAATCCTTTATATTAAGTTCGCTGCCATGCATATAAAGGATTTATAGTGAAAAACTTTGTTTTTACGGGTTATACTTATTTCCACTGCAAAACCTCAACCGTGCCGCTGACATCCCGCGTGATGACGCCATCGTCACACTGGCCCCACTTGGCCCCAAATCGGGCCAGAGTTTTGGTGGTTTAGTTTTAGCTCGGCCCAGCAAACAGCCAGCGGAAAACCACCTGAAACCAGAGGACCCCACTCTGGCGTAGGTCGAATGTGCCATTTTAAAAGGCGTGGCAGAAGTCTCAGTGGGTGTTCACCTGGTAAAATAAAACCCCTCAATCTATCAGCGTGAAATGTACTTTACCTCCATGGCACGTTTGTAATCTCCAAGGTGGAAAGCACAGTATGCCATCCAAAGATCTGTCTCTTCATTCCCTTCCCCTGCATGACGCTGAAACTGAGCAAAATAAAAACACCCAGCGTTATAAACACTAACTACAATGTACAATTTGGATTTATATATAATTTAATCTCAAAGGCACTGTGTAACAACAGTGTAACATGCGTATCATGTAGTCAGACAGAAGAATCAGTCGGTTGGTTTCAGGCAAGGCCAATTGAGAACGGAAGCTCCTTTCAAATCGTATCCCGGCCTAAATGGCCGATACGGTAGCAAGTGCACCTCCGATTAGCACAGCTGGCTTCGTACGGTGCGAAAGGAGTTCAACATATATACATAGAAGGGATGGACAGGGGTTGCGTAGAATAAAAGCAGGACATTTTACAAACATGACAACTAAACAACCAGAACTTTGTACATTGGAGACAGGTGTAGACAAGAGAGATTACGTTTTTGATCCTGGAAATGAAAAGGGGCTGGGATTATACATCACGGATCACTGGAATTTCAATATTGCTGGGGCAGCAGAGGAGAAGAGAGGAATCTGATAATGAGCGGAGGACGACTAAAGCATATTAAGAGCCTCTTGCAACACAGCAAAGGAGATGTATTACCTCGAGATATGTGATGGCTCCTGTGTAATCCCTGTTGCTTAACAGGTCTTCCAGTTTAGGAATTATTTTGCCCTTTTTCTTTTTCTCCACTGTCGGCTGTGCCCCTGCTCCCACAGCCGGCTTTGCCCGTGACAGCATCTACGAAAAACGAGAATAATAAAATAATAAAAATATAAAACAATAAAATTCTCACGACGTTTCGACTGCAACACAAGCAATCATCATCAGGTGTGAAATCCACAGCAAGAAAAATGTCTTGCTGTGGATTTCACGAAAGCTTTACATCAAAATTTACCACGCTCTTTGTTTCTGTCGGTAAAGTCATGTAGGTAGAAATAAATAAGGAAAAAGAAATAATAATAAAAATAGAAATAATATTATTTTATTTGAAAAATAAATATGAAAAATAATAGAAATACTAATATTATTTGATTTCTATTATCACTGGTCAACACACTTTTTCTGGCATAAGGTATTCCAATGGTTTGAAGGTAATTTTGGGGTGCTGATTCCAAATCTGGCATCAGTTTTTGTCTATCACATCAGATTTTTGAGATATCAAATATTGCATTTTCAATAAAAACTGCAGAATAAAAATATTAAATAAATGTGGATATCTACATAAAATGATATTATAAACACACTATCCTAAAAATACAGCACCATATTTTAACACTATAGCAGTCACTGACTCGCAACAACTTGCAATCAAGTTGTTGGGTAAAATCAATGAAAATGGGGGTATGCCGATAGCATAAAAATGAGATGTGATAGAGCAAATCTGAGATCAGATTTGGAATCAGCACCCTGAAATTAGTCTAAAACAGCTGCAAAAGTCCAGTCCAGAAAAAAAAACATTTTTTGTTGACCAGTGTTATTTTTATTATTTCTTTTATTTGTTTATATATTCCTACGTGACTTTACCGAAAAAACCTAAGAGTATAAAAGTCACGTAGGTAGAAATAAAACAAATCACAAGCCCCAGACACCACCCCACGGCCCAAGTGGAAGAGGGCCTCTTACCATGGCGAGAAGCCGCAGTTGCCGGCCGCGTGAAGGCCGCAGCGGAGCCCAATGAAGTCTCGAGAAGAGACGAAATCTGCGGTCGTTTAAACACCAACGAACAACAACAACATCAACAATAGAAGCGCGTCCCGGTTAGGTGGTGAAAGTGTGGAGAGATGAGAATGTTTCAGAGCTGCGTGAGGGGTGCTGGTGCTGGTGGTGAAGGCCGAGCGGGCCTCGTTGAGGGGACGCGGTTGCTAGGGGGCGGTGGAGGGGGGGGGCGTGGTGACGGAGAAGGGGGCGTGGTGACGGAGAAGGGGGCGTGGTGACGGAGGAAGGGGGCGTGGTTACGGAGAAGGGGGCGTGGTTACGGAGAAGGGGGCGTGGTTACGGAGAAGGGGGCGTGGTGACGGAGGAAGGGGGCGTGGAGACGGAGGAAGGGGGCGTGGTTACGGAGAAGGGGGCGTGGTTACGGAGAAGAGGGCGTGGTGACGGATGAAGGGGGCGTGGTTACGGAGAAGAGGGAGTGGTGACGGAGAAGGGGGCGGTGGAGGGGGGGCGTGGTTACGGAGAAGGGGGCGTGGTTACATAGAAGAGGGCGTGGTTACGGAGAAGGGGGCGTGGTCACGGGAGAGGGGGCGTGGTTACGGAGAAGGGGGCGTGGTGACGGAGAAGGGGGCGTGGTGATGGTTACACTAACACCGCTGTGGTTAAGGTTGATTCTGGCCAAGTGACTCCCGTGGGGAACCGTCACGGCGTGACGAGGCCTCGCCGGAAGAGGCGGGGAGCCCGAGCCGGACGTGACGTCATGCAGCAAGTGGCGGGGAGCACGAGCCGGAAAGGTCGGGGGGCCCGAGCCGGACGTGACGTCATGCAGCAAGTAGCGGGGAGCCGGAGCCGGAAAAGGCGGGGGGCCCGAGCCGGACGTGACGTCATGCAGCAAGTAGCGGGGAGCACGAGCCGGAAAGGGCGGGGGGCCCGAGCCGGACGTGACGTCATGCAGCAAGTGGCGGGGAGCACGAGCCGGAAAGGGCGGGGGGCCCGAGCCGGACGTGACGTCACGCAGCAAGTGGCGGGAAGTGCGTACATTGCGGCGTAAGTCCCGGCGCGTTATAACATCGTATAATGTGTCTATTTACATCGTCTAATGTGGCTATAACATCGCCTAACGTGGCGATTTACATCGTCTAACGTCACTGTTACATCTAATGTGACTTACGACGTCTAACGTGGCTATTAACATCGTCTAATGTGACTATTTACAACGTCTAACGCGACTGTTTCGACATCTAACGCGACTTGTAACGTTTTACGCGACTAGTTACCAGCGTCCCACCTTGCCTTGCAACATCATTGAACCGAACGTGTGACTGTTTGCGTCACTATACACTTTATGTACAAGCGTTCAACTTGACCGCTGTGTCACAACGTAGGTTATACAATAACTCGCCTTTTGCCCTTTCAAGGACGGGTGTATTGCAGCAAATGTGAAACTTGCAAGCAGAAAGCAGAACGCGACGTGATATATATTCACTGCATCAATGCGTGTGCAGTTTGTAAGGGCGCGGTGACACGGACTTATTTAATTTAAAGGTTATAATCTCTCCTTGTTCATCATGACGTCCTTTTCAAATCCTTTATATTAAGTTCGCTTGCTTGCTTACGACCGTGCAAATATTTCGGTCGTTTTTTAACCTACTTCCCGTGATCCAATCGAGCTGACATTTTGCACACACGCTCGTTGTGCGTGACAATTAATTTTCGTGAAAACAAATGTGCAAAATTTTACACTTTTTAGGATTTTTTAAAAAATATTTAATTACCAATTGCTTAATGCTGCCATGCAATCATCTGACCCATAGGTGGCAGCCATCTCAAGCCAGAGGACGAGAGGACTCTAGCCGCCACGCATATAAAGGATTTATAGTGAAAAACTTTGTTTTTACGGGTTAATTTTTTACTTCGATGTCTCAAACAGTGTTACGTAGAGCACGTGACGTGAGGGTTCTGCCTGTGTACTGTGTAGTGAGGGTTGAGAGTTGACGCCGAGGAGAGGGAGCCCCCATGTGGAAGACGTCACCCGCTAATTCATATTAATCACTGGGGGGTGTCCATTTGTGGAGGACGTCACCTGTTCATGATTATTAATTAGGGGGGCTGGTCGACGTGGAGTGACGTCACCTGTTCATGATTATTAATGATGGGGGCTGGTCGACGTGGAGTGACGTCATGAGCGTGGCACACAGACATTCTTGGCTCATTATAGTAGGTAATAAGAATGGAGGGGTGTCCATTTGTGGAGGACGTCACTTGCTCATGATTATTAATGAGGGGGGCTTTTCGATGTGGAGTGATGTCACTTGCTAATGATTATTAATGAGGGGGGCTGGTCGACGCGGAGTGACGCCACGTGCGTTACACACTGACATTCTTGGGTAAATGTCATAAATTGTGCGGCTCTGTTGTCGATCCACTGCTGGACAATGACGCTACAACCGTGTGTCGGGCGTGACGTTGAAGGTTATCCATAATGTGTTAGATCATCACGTAAATATAAATGTGTCGTTAAGCCCGCCACCACCCGACGCAGCCAATTAGTAAGCCAATTACTGGTACAGCACGGTAACGAATTGGGATGTTCTGTTTACGTGACAAACCTTAAAAATTGGCTGTGGCGGGTTTAACGATACATTTATGTTTACGCGATCTAACCCAAAAAAAACCTCTTATGGATAATATTCGTCGGGAAAGTATACGTGTTAAACTGACGTTGAATTTTATTTGCGGGGAGCGGTGGTGTAGCGGTTAGTGCTGCTGTGGCCACACTGAATTCGATTCCCACTCACGGCCAATTTCAGTGGTACCAGGCTCTGGGCCTCAAATGAGTTCCTAGTGCGGTGTGTGGTAAGCTTAACCACTTAGGGAGACAAAGGCGGCCGGGTGTGGCGTTGGCCACCCACACGTGTGCCGTGCCGGCCTTTTATAGGTGCTCGCTAACAACGTTTGCCCCAACAGTCTGTTAAGGGCCAAACCACCGCACCGGCTCCGTTCAAATACTGTGCGAAATAAATAGCCATTTCCGCACCGCGTGCGTCTGATGTTTGGTAAACACGAATGGAGAAAATTCATTCAAGTTCAACATTCTCGGGTGATACTACAGCTGCGTTCGGCACAAGAACACGTACAAACACAACACGTGTGAATAACAACAGGAGCCTTTCAAGGAAAACATTAAATAAAGAGTTCCTTAAAAGTTTGCCGATTGTATTATTTTTCTTTTTTCGGCAGTGTTATGACAAATGGCAAAACGTTAACTACCTTGCTTTGGTATATAACATATTGGGTTCGATCCCGACCCTGACGCCTGCTGTTTATTTGGAGTTTTCATGTTCTCTTTCCCTGTGCTATACATTTCCAAATGATGAGCTGCTTTTTTGAGCTTAAGCATTTGTGGCCAGGTCATTTTTGAAAAGAGCTATATAGCTAAGTGGGCCTTACCTGGTTAAATAAAAAAATATCTTAGTTTTTAGTTATTTTGTTATTTGTGCTTGTGCACCACTGCCAACGCAGCAGCATCACCAAATATATTGTTTAATTATTTTCTCTTGTGACAGCACATTCCTGTCATTCACACGCGTGGATAAAATTACGTTTCGTACGTGTGCAGGGGCGTGAATCTCACCATGTCAAAGATAACAACCGTGGAGATCATCGATTCGAGTCAAAGCTCTGTGGATGATGAAGATAGCGGACCCAGTGGAAGACTCAATGGAAAACAGGTGCGTTGCAAACTGCGGCGTTCAACGTTCTGGAGAAGATATGTACTGGGATGCTGCTGCTGTGGTGTAATGGTCAGCACACTGGACTGGATATCCAGAGGGTCGTGGTTCGATTCAATCTCCGGATGCGGCAGTTAAAACAAAGAGCAAGTTTCTTTAACCTCACCTCTGCCCCGGCCCGCCTTTGTCCTCCCACCGTTTTAACGGAGCACACCACAGTCGATTGGTAAGTCATATGTGGTGGGGTAAAGTGTGGGTACTCCCACATTTTCCAAGACACGTGATTTGCATGGAAGAGTAGGCTAAACATCCTCTTATGGGGCTTTCAGGAGCTCCTTCCAGTGGAGTGAGCAAGACATTTCACAGTTGCACATTTAAAATTTTACCATTTGTACACAGAATTATCATTCCTCACTCCAATTCCATAATGTCTCGTTTATGGATGATACACAGGATTCAGTGGAGAGAGTCTTGAGCGAGGATACATCTATGAGAGATGTCATAGTAATTATGCGCTGATTATAAAGTTCTTCTTTTAGATCCCTTTGCTTTCAAGATTAGAAATGTATTTTGGTACACAGCCCTCTGCTACCCAGAACGTAGCGCTGCAAGACGCTATCACCTTTTATGCATGGCGGTCACTCATCCAAGCACTACCCAGGCTCAACCCTTTTCATCTTCCCGGGTCCGACGCGATCGGACACATTCTAGGCAATTTATTCATCTGCATAAATGATAAATACCATGTTAAAAATATTTTATTAAGAGCACGTGACACTTGATTAACAGTTGTGTTGGGTTTTTTTGGTTTCCTCCCACCCCAACGAAGCGAGAGGCGGTGAATCGTCCTGGCGCTCGCACTGCACAAACGAGGGGCACACGTGAAGAAAGAGCCCAGCAGAGAGACTTCTTTAAATGTGTGACTGGTATGCCAAAAAACACGTGTTAAACACTAAAGTAATTTGACCAAGCCGACTTGGGTGACAGGACGTTTTATTTTCCCTGCTGGATTATATTGTATTGTCACTTTTGTCCTCATTTCAGTCTCCCGGATAATTTGGTCCCCCTTGCAAATGAGACATTTTGCGGTCTCGTGAATTCTCGCCTGCTTAAACTAAAACAGGACCCTGCGGGGTGGGCTGGTAGGAATAATACTTAGTACCGGTACAGAGATATCGACCAGGTATAGAGGAGTTAAAGAAAAAATTACTGTATTCTAGTGTAACGTTAATTAAAAGTGTTTGTTTTGACAAGAAACACTGTGAGATTTAAAGACTCGTAGTCTTTCATTTCCAACACCACCCTCAACACCACCCCTCCCACGGACGGACGGACGGACGGACGGACACATTAATCTATTGGTGGTCTGGTCCACTTCGTTCCTACCAGTATAAAGTCAACTTAACTGTAGATGTACCACATTCATGTTGTGCGGCCTTTTGTCAATCCACGCTGGATGAAGGCCTCCCCCACGCCATATAATTGGTCAGGCGGGTTTGTTAGTCCATACTTCACTCTGGTCAGTACATTTTGGTAGTGACTGGGGGGGGACAGCTGTGGGTGGGTGAGGGGGGCATTATCAGCACCACTTAAGATATCACTCGCCACTCACTGATGTTAGCTGCGGCATGCAAATAAAGCTAAACTATTTTCTATTTTACCAGGTAAGGCCCACTGAGCTATTTAGCTCTATTTCAGAAGCGACCTGGCTATCACAAATGATAGCTCAACGAAGTGGCTTATCACGTGGAAATGTATAGCAGTTAAATGCTTCAAATCAAATTCAGGTTGCCGGATTCAGAGCACAGGGTGCTTAACACTGCACGCATGCCCACTCCCCACCTCTAACATTACCCACGTGCCGACTTTGTGTTTTTATGCATCTCGTTTTTGTGATGCGATTGTTTCAGACATGAGTGAAGATGAGCAAGTGATGCTTGCAATGAAGATGAGTTGTGAGGAGAAGGAGAAACAGCAGACTCAAGAGAAATCCAGGGTATTGCAAAGGATTCCCAAGGATTGCTTACTCAAGTTACACATTATTATAGTACTTATTTAACCAGGAAAACCTTCAGAATCTCTTCCAGGAGGGTCCCACCAAATGTTCGCAGTCGGGAGCGATTATTGCTTCTTATATTTAAATTAATTAATTTCCGGTAAGTTTTTCACATTTGGACCAGGACACACAATGACCTCTGCTTGTACATGGCATTACAGGTCTGTAACATCCACTCACTGTGAAGCAAAAGGCACGTATAATTTACAGTTAATACACCTGCAGTATTAATCAGAGCGGCTGTGGGATTTGAACCGTGAACTTCTCCGAGAAACGGAAAATATGCTACCGCTAGGCCAGTTTCGCTTATTGTAATAGCCCAATAATGTTTGCGTGCCAGTGAATGAAAACCAGAGCCAAGTAATCATCGTCCATTGCCATCCTCACTGGTAAATGTAGGCCAACTTCGTACCGTATTCTCTGGATTATAAGATGCAAACGCATCCAAAACTTGTGCATGTTTTCATTAAACGGATACAAATTTCTTCACACACCTTTATTGGATTATAAGACACCCCTACCCCTCCAAATTTTGCTTTAATATAAAGGGAAAAAAATTCATACCCAGAGAATATGGCTGTTATTTTAGCAAATAGGTTTTTGCAGTTGTTTGATAATCCAAAGTGTCATATTCTGGGTTGGGCTGTGTGTTGAACATTATTACTCTTTTGCCAAGCACTGCTGTGGTATCTTCAGGAAATGAGATGAAGAATCTCACCCGGGTCAGTGAACACATAAGGGTGGAGGACGCCATGTGGGGATTCCTCACTTCAACTCCTAAATATGTCCACAGTCGTCAAAGCTTGAGAGAACTAATGGCTAATTCGCGGCCGAAGCCGGAAGAGGGCACTTGGATTAATAGTCATTAGTTAATGAGTCTGAAGACATTTTCAGGCGGGTCTTCTTATATCCTTTGGGAGAATATTTTAAATGGGTGGTAGCATGAATACCTTCGGATAACTCACTTGTCTAAAGAGAAGTCCCTCAAACGCAACACAGACTTGTCAGCAAGAAACTACCATTGCTACTTCCCTACAGACACCGTGATGTGGTCTGCGACGATTGCTGATTGTGCGCTTGTGAACGGTTGCAGGATTTGGAGACGCCTGAGGTGTCTTCGAGCGATGGGTCGCCTCCGTGTATTCTTGGATCTGTTTCGCCTCGGTCCACCATAGGCAGAGCCCAGATGTATACAACCAGGCAGCACAAGTCACCTACTTCTGACACTGTCACGGCAACTGACATCGGAGGATCGTATGATTCAAAACTAAACACAGATGCGTCTCAGCCATCCTCCGATTCACACGGGGCTGATGATGAAGATTCCATTAAAAGTGATTGTGTGCGTAAACCACATACGCATATTTCAGTGAAGCGAAAACATACACAGTCCTCATCGGTAATTAATAAGAAGGCCAAGGTGTTATCTACATTGGGAGAAGAGCACCCCATTGAATTTACAACGCAAAACAAAGACGGGGATGGCGACGTTGATTTCGACGAGGAACCCTGCAAAAGAAGCATCAATAATTGTCCCATCGTTTTAAACGCGAATGACTTGCAACAAGACATCGGCACTGAGGAAAACGGTCCAAGCCAGGTGGAGTGCAACAATCCCCTGATTTCAGGCGGTGCAAAAACGACCGAGGGTGCACTCCCCTGTGGCTCCATTGGGCAGACACTGAGTCGGGACGACGTGGTAAACTACTACTGGGGAGTGCCATTTTGCCCCGCCGGTTTAAACCCGGACGAATACACGAGCGTCATCCTCTGTCAGCTGCAGACCTACGCGGCCGTGGTGAAGCAACAGCAGCGGCGGCTGCTGCGGAAAGCGAACATGTGCGAGGTGTTGCCAGAGCCCGCGAAGGACCGGCGGTGGCGTGGACGACCCGAAGCGCGAGCGGACGACGAGAAGGGCCAGCCATTTGCCGCGGGCGAAGAGAGCGGAGTGGCGGGTGAGGAGAAGCAGGGTGTTGGCGTGCAGGGAGGGCAGAGCACATCTCGTGAGAGGTGGGAAGAAAATGAGGAAAGCAACAACGTAAATGAGGATGAGGGCTTGAGCGAGGATGAGGAGGAAAATGAAGATTCTGAATCGTCTGTTGAGAAAGTGTGTGAAAAAAATACGAATTCTTTACGTGCCTCAACGATGTCGCCCCCTGATGAAAAGGGGAACCCCCTACCGAAATGTAAATTGCAAAGACGTAAGGGATTGCACTTGCATAAGGATGATAAATATTCAGACACTCCTAAGCTTGGGGAAATGGAGTATGGTAAAAAATGCGATGATGATGATTTTATATCATTTCCAACGCTTAAACGTGTATCTGGCACCCCTCAACAAAGAGCCGACGAGGTTGTATTTCTTGAAAACAATTGTACAGCAAGTGAGAGAAGACGGACAGCACGCAGGGACAGCAGTGCTTTTTCTACAGGCAGTCCATATCTATCAAGAAACACACGAAGCGATAACTGTAGCAAGAATGAAATGATGCTGTCAAGGGGAAGTGTACATCCCCGTAATCTAACCTTGGCCAGCTTTAGCGCCATGGATGGAAAAATACCAACTCCAACACGTGTCGGGAAAGAAAGCGATGGAAAAATAATGGAACAAATTGGTCAAAAAGTCAATGTAACACACAGAACTAAGAATTCTAAAGTCATGAGCTCTAAATTTAATCAGTATGAATTTGATTTGATTCTTGATGATGATGATAATAATGATGATGATAAGCAGACAAATAAATATGATTGCACAAGAAAAATGGCAATTAGAGAGTGCAAAGAGTACAAAAATCAATCGGGAGACTCGAAGAACGTTGTAAAGGTTCGTGATATTGAAAGAAAACTGACCACGTCTCCGTTGGCAAACGATGGAAAAATCGTCACAAACAAAGCGAAACTGAAAGTCACGGAATGTGAAGAGGAAGAGGTAATGGAGAACTATGAAGAAATATCTGAGCTGTCTCTGCAGTCGTCTGATAAGAGTGAGAGAAAACAAGTTTTGTCTTTACAGAAGCACAGGCTAAAGAAAATAAACATAAAGGTACTCCCATTTTTGCTTGCACCACCATCACCATTTTGTTGCTTTTCAAACAACGACCACGTGCGCCGCATATTTTGGACATTTCTAATTCGCATCACATGAGTGTCGACTAAGGCAGTATGAGATAAAAGCAAGTTAGGAAAAACACCTTAATATATCGAGGACCGCAGAGCTTAGGGGTGGGGGGCTTTTTCCCACTTGTCTGGTTCCTCACGCCTCTTTGAGTTGTTTCCCGCCTCTTGGAGAGTGAGCGAATACTGTGTATGCAGCAACATTGCAAGTGAAAACGAAAAAGCCGATCTGTCGCTGTTGCCAAACCCCATTTGCATATTTACAAATACAGTCATGTTTTTAGCTCGAGTTTTGTATATGCTCGTTTTCGGCAGCCCTTTGATCAATTCGGCTGTCCGCGCGCAGTTTATCAGATTTGGGGATTAATCGCGCACCAAAGATTGTGACATAAATTAATAACTCATGGATTTTCCCTGAAGCCCAAATTAATAAACTAAAAACAGTTATCCATTGTTATTCTTGTCACGTACTTAAACTGAGCAAATCTGTGCTCCGGTTAATCCGAAATCCACATGATCGCCTCTACAGTACAGTAGTTGCATATCTTTACAAGAGTGGGTGGAGTGATTGATTTTGATTGGCGTGGCTTTGTTATCCACTTTGTGGCTGGAGTCTTCTGTGTGGGAACAGGAAAGTGTTATCACTGAGCACGCGCATTGATCAATACATTCTTTCCGAGAAATGTTGTTTTGTTCATTAACAAACTAAATTGTCTTAACTTTCACATAATTTATACCTAATATGAGTGGTTTTTTAGCATAGACATCCGCAGAAAATGGGTATTTTTGGATCGTCCGAGATTTTGAATTTTCCGTGGCCGTCCTCTCCGTCAGCGCGAATAATCGAGTCTATGGTATTTCAATCGGGCAAGTCCTACATTGCAACAACTTTATTTTCAAGGTTCATAATGGATCATCTTTATGAGAGTGATAGAGTTATAACCCCCCCCCCCCCCCGCCCCCATTATGTATGGAGCATGAATGCTTTCAACATGGTTTGGAAAGGGTTAGAAAAAAACTGCGTGTGTGTGTGTTTTTTACCGCCTCACAGAAGGAAAGGCTTGAGCGGATGGTGCCCTGCCCCTTGTGTTTGGTGGAGTTCTTGGCTTCTGACATTGAGCAGCACGCATCTGAATGCTGCATCTCTGACGATGTGGACGATGTGGACGATGCAGGTATTGGAGGTTTTCAATTTGAATGCTGTTGGCCATTTTCACATGAACAAGTGCAGAAAACTTGAGCACACGCAATGATTGCGCCAGTGCTTTGCCTTTGGAAGTATTTAATTAGCAGTATAGTAGCTGTCACAGCAAAATATATTTCCATATTGCTGACAGCTGCCATCGTAAAATTATTTTGTATATATGCAGATTGGATTTTTTGCTCTGTATTTAGTAAAACTTTGGTCAATTTGACCAGTTTTCAATTAGGGCAAGTCTCTAATCTGAAAGTTTATATATAGGTGCTATAATTACCTTATCTGTTTCATGTTTTTATTTTCCATTTCTCATGTGATACAGTTTTGTACTGATTTATTTTAGTTTCAATGTGTTTTATTTACATTGACCGAGGTTACTCTTGCAAATTAGATTAAGCTGGTCTCTAGAATTCTCACCTGGTTAAATAAAATAAACTGCGAGACACAACTTTATGTTAAGATTATTTTATATTTTTATCATCTTTTTGAGAGGGTGACATCACTTCCTGTGACTTTGTCCTCGCGTTTCCTGCCAAAGGCGTTGTCACGCAAAGTCACATTTACTTAAGTTTAATCTAAAATATGATCATGTTCAAATTATTGTTTTACTTTTGGAACATGATGTTAAAATGTAAAAATCGGTGATTAATATTTAAAATCATTACATTGAGGTATTATCATTTATTAACTTTAAAAAATAAATAAAACCGGAAAAGTTGGGCCTGAAATTGCGCATAAAATTTGTAGCTGTAACTCATAGTACACATCATTTCCAGTAGCCAGTGGAGTACATTCACAATTTATATTGTTGCAGTCAGTATACAGTATAATGAACATGTGTTTAACGTGTGCGTTTCACAGAAAATTACGTCCCAAGCAACTCTAAAATGGAGGTGCCTTCATGCTCCAGGTGAATTAATAACAAGTTGAACTTGTAACACGCTGCGTAGAATTCATTCCGTCTAGAAGAAAGATAACGTTACATTATATATTGCGATTGTTCACTCTGGAAAGCCTCGCTGAATCTCTATTATTTTTCTGGAGGGTCCTGTGGTGGCATGTTTGGCTGATACCAATGAGTGTTTGACCTTTGTAGGCGAACTTGGGTACCTGGGGAAACCCATGCTTACAAGAATATAACACTCAAAGCTCTAGACGTAAAAAGATGCAATCCACAGAGAGACCCAATAAATAGTGGTTTTCACGCTTGCAGCAACTTTTGGCTCGCCATCGAACAAAGACGGTCACTGCACCACGCACTTTCAGATGTGCTTTTGCGGCCGTCTAGAACGTTTATAATATTGTTTTTTTGTGTGTTAGATTGCGTAAATATAAATGTGTCGTTAAACCCGCCACCACCCGACATAAGCAATTAGTAAGGTTTGTCACGTAAACAGAACGTGCCAATTTGTTACCAGTACAGCACTAACCGGTAGTGTGTTGTTAAGCAAATCCACAACATTTACAATCTGAGTACGGCGTTTCACCAGTAATCACGACTAGCATCATCAGGCGGACAGCCAGATTTGTAGAGAAATCCTGTTTCGTTCCTTAAATAGAGGGGTAGATGTGATGACGTCACTCGTGTGCCCTTCACATTATGAATTCACATTATGCATGCCCATTGTTCTTGTACCTCCTATCGTTGTGTGCACATTTATATTTACGCGATCTAACCCAAAAAACTGTGTTATGGATATTGGTCCGATTAGCCTACGTGTCTGGAACGTTCTTCCGATATCAGGAAGCCATTCTCTTTGGTTCTTTCGGTAAAGTCACATAGGTATAAAATCAGGCTTTCACACCTGATGATGGACGCTTGTGTTGCGCCCAAAACGTCGTGATTTATTTCATTTTCTACCTACGTGACTTTACCGAAAGAACCAAAGAGTATGGATTCCTGCAGTCACGAAAGCTTCAAATCAAGCTTAGGAAGCCACTTGAGCAATGCACTTTTAAACCTAATTTGAAAACTTAATTTCTTTAGAACTGCTTTTTGTGTTTCGGTTGTTGTACTTCCCCTGCACCTCCGATTAGCACGGTTGGCTACGGACGGTGCGAAATAAGTTCAACGTACATACATATCAGTCTGCATGTGGACTGAGTGCATTGTTGTACTGCCATCCCCTGGTCACCTCGTAGCTCCACAGCATTAGGCTTACAACACCTGTGATGCACTTACCTGGTTCTGCCCTCTTGCAGAGGCAAGCCACTGAGAATCATTGGCTTTTATTGTCGTCATTAAATGACTACAGTGCTGCGACGGTGTTGATTTGTTGGCAATCTGCTTGAGTCTTAAGATGTTTCTCTTTTTGACAGGGAAGGGAGCACTCGTGCCTCCCATAAAACATTCATCCCAGAGTCTAATAGCAACAGCAGCACAAGTTTATTGAGTGAGAGGGAGGGTGCAGGAGGTTCGGACGACATTCTGGACGGCATTGTCATCAGCAACTCGCCCATCAAGTCTTTCAGATCTATTTCCCAATCCCCAGACTGTCTCATTGACTTCAAAAACCAGTTCAACAAACCAGGTAGACCGAGAACAGGATTCAGAAAGCAAAAGACTCGCAGGAGAAGATAAACGCGTCGTAAATCGTGTACAAATGTGTTTTTTTTTAATTGTTCAAATATTGTAATCGTCAGCCATGGTCAGTCAAATGATGAATGAAGGCCCCCCCCCCCTGGTTGCTGCCATTTCTCACGATATTGCGTCGTAATAATAATTCACTAAGCACCAGCACACGAGGTTATTTCATCGCTCCATACAGTTAAATTAATTCCTCCTTTCCCTTCGAGATTCCCCAACATCCACATTCGCTTACTCATCTCTGACCTTTCAAGCGCTCTTCCACTTGAATCGCCGCATGCTACACAGGGACGGCTACCACTGGGGGTTCTCTTCCAGTGCTTGAGATGGGATGTTATGCAAGGCGCTTTGAGTTGCCGTTGCTTTGAAGTGCCCATTAAATGCAATTCCTGTTTTTTTTTAAACAAACTCTGAAGGTGCAGTAGAAGTGGTGACTCGCCGGATACGCCGTGGGCGATGTCGCGCTCCACAGCGCTCGAGTCGCTGTACAGGTCATAGTCTGGAATGTGCATCACTTGGAGCATGTGGTGGTTCACTTAGCCCCGTGAAAATAATTGTCCGCAACTAGCAAGTTTAATCGTCAACAGCCATGGTTAATCCCGCTGCTGGATGAAGGCCTTCCCTAGCCGCCGCCACCTCACAATCCTGCGATGGTTAATTAACATTCCACCCCAGCACATTCACTGATTTAGTCGTCCGACTGGGTGGACATCGTCTTGGGTTTGTTTCATTCCTTGGCTGCCACTCCGTTATTCTTCTTGATCGTAATCCGTCATCGCTTTTCGCGACGTGTCCTGCCCAAGCCCACAGTTTGATGTCATTAACGTGCATGTGTGTTGCCTCTGTCGGTGTAGTTTCAAGCTTGCATCTCTCTGTGCTCAGTTTCTTTTTTCAGCTTGATTTGTTCATTAACGTTGTCTTGGAAGATATTTCACGTTTGGGGGCGGGTTTTTTGTTTGTTGCGAAATGTTGGTTACAGTGCTGCTAATTTACGTGAACATTGCAAAAACAAGTATCCAACTTCATCACTGAAGCCTTTACAATACATCTCGAGTGTTCTTTTCTACCATTGTGCAAAATTTATTTGAATCCAACACCAAATGATGAGAAAACCCATCGCAACAATGAAATGCCCGCCAGCTGGAAGCAAAAACCAATCGAAGCAGAGGTATTCGTCGTACGCTTTTTTTCCCAGGAAAGCCTCAGTCTCACGACTTTTTGCAGTAGGGGGAAGCGATGATTGGTATTCATATTGAAAGGAATTTGCGGGTACTTTATTTTCTCTTAATTTGACCAAGGCACCGGCACACAACGTCCCGGTCTTGCGAACGACGTCACGGGCTCCTGAGCGTCCGCTGTCGTAGCAGGCGGCGCGTTCGTAACTTTTTAAGGTTTATACACCCGCAGTATTTATCGGGGCGGCCGATGGATTCGAGTCCGCGAAGCTCTCCTCGCAGGCGGCGAACTGGCCACCCGCAATGCCCAAATCCTTGCTCTCAATTCCGAAATGTGCAACGGGGACGCTGGCCTAGACTTAATAATGTTTGTATTGTTTGTTAATTCAATAAAAATCGTCGTTGATATAACTTTGGTAATGTTTCATGTGCGTATCTCCTTCTATTTGCATATTCATTTTAATACTGTACCTCAATGTGTTCTGTTTTAGCCAATGTTCCCATGTGAGTTACATTCTTTTATCACTTGATAGCTTTCGAATTAGCAATTTTGAAAACTTAGATGATTGCCGAGGGCACTGTGTACTTGTGCAAAAGCCTAAAAGACGTTAATATTTCGATTTAAAGCTTTCGTGACTGCAGGGATTCATCTTCTTGGTTCTTTCGGTAAAGTCACGTAGTAGGGAAGTAATAAAATAATAAAAATAAAACAATAATTTCCCATAAATATGCTTAATTCCTCTTCATATGCAAATTCTTTTGTCAAGGCGCTCTTCCTCTTCCCTCCCAGCTTACAATAGACCAGAGGTGTGGACTCGAGTCATGTGACTTGGACTCGAGTCAGACTCGAGTCATGAATTTGATGACTTCAGACTCGACTTGGACTTGCATAACAATGACTTTGTCCCACCTCTGCAATAGACGCTCCAAGCCTAGGACGTGTCATTCAGACTCTGTCTTTTCGACAGACATGTTCTTCACCTGAGGACGGCTGCTTGCGTTGTGGCCGAAACCTCGTGAGAATAGTTTTATGTTTTATTTTTATTATTTTATTATTTCCCTACTACGTGACTTTACCGAAAGAACCAAGAAGACGTTAATATTGATATCAATATACTGGGGGGGGAGGGGGATGAAGCAGTGGTGCGGTGATTAGGGCACTGAACTTGGCTACTGGAGTTAACTATTAACTCGTTTCTATTTTACAAGGTAAGGCCCACTAACCTATATAGCTCTTTTATTTTACAAATGGCTTTGAAAATTTTAAGCAGCCAAATAATCTTAAACGCATGATTCTTAATGTGGAGGGAAAAGCCGGAGGACCCGGAGAGAAATCCACGCGACTACGGGGAGAATTACGCAAACTCCAAATATAGGGGCATCGTCAGGGTCTGGATTGACCTGTATACCAGGCGAGGTAGTTAACATCTCCCCACCGCGACGCCCGAATTCCCGGCCGCAGCTACTATGAGTAGCGAGTTCAATACAAACCCGTCCTGCAGCCCCTTCCCCTGCCTATTTCCAGTGCGGTGAAGTATGGTCGAAAACCCCCAGTGGCAGATACGGCACGGTGAGGCCATTCAATAGTGTGGTTACAAATTGTAAAAAAAAAAACGAATATATTTACTCAAACGGATTACATTTTATTTTGCAAACATGCACGTGCATTATTGCAGTGTAAATTTGTAATTTTTGTGATTGCATTGATGAACGTACACTTTGAACACGCTACGAGAGACGCGTGCATGCTGTGTTTATGTGTTTCGAACTTATTTCGCACCGTACGTTGCCAACCGTGCTAATTGGAGGAAAAACACCGAGAGATGGAAAGAGGAACGCATGGATTCGAGATCGTACCCCCACGTGATTGCCATCATTACCGACTATAATCACCCAGAAATGTCTGTCCGTCCCGCGCGTGACGTCACTCCGCATGAGGCCCACCCCCCCCCCCCTCATTAATATTCATGAGTGAGTGGGTTTTTGCACTCACGCAGAGGAAGGTCGAGCTGAATTAAACCATTTATTACGCAAAGCCGCTTCAAATATGACGTTTATTTACAGAAAGTGACGGTAAGAAATAAATCTACGCAGCACAGTGCTACATCCATGCGTGACGTCACTGTTAAAGAGCCCCCCCCCCCTTCATTAATATTCATGTCCGCGTGGAAACGTACACGAACGCACAAAGTCGCGCACTCCACATGCCGCACCCCTCCCCTCATTAATAATCATGAGCGGGTGACGTCACTACACATGCTGCACCCCTCCACAATAACAATGAGGGGGTGACGTCACTCCACATGCCGCAGCCCTCCCCAATAACCATTAGCGGGTGACGTCACTCCACATGGGGCAACCCCTCCCCCCTAACTAATAATTATGAGCTGAACAATTTTTCTATTGAATGTTTCAGATTTACTGCAATAAAGGGGCCGTCCATAAATGACGTCACGCACCTAGGGGGGGGGGGGAGGGTCAGACATTTGTGACGATGTGTGACGAGGGGGGGGGGTGAGAAATGTGACGTCACATCAAAATGCGCAACTTTAAATAATATAGACAACACGTTCTACTTAATTAAATAGACTTTTGATAATTTTTTTCTCCTACAACATCAGAGTTCAGCGCCACATTAAATACGCACTACAATGACAATAGTTTAAAGCGATTTTAAGCATGTTTTATTTTTTGTGGGAGGGGGGGGGGGGCAGAGCTTTGTGACGTCATATTTCAGAGGGGGGGGGGTGTCTGCTTTTTACGTGACGCCGTGTGACGAAGGGGAGGAGGGGCGGTCAAAATCATCTAAAATCGCGTGACGTCATTTATGGACGGCCCCTTATGGTCCATTTGTGGCCATCGCCCTATTGTGTGCAATGCCTCTTCGGCGAATGCCCGGACGTGAATGGTGTGTGGCCTGACCACGGCTGATTGATGATGCATTTGAATTTGCCCGGGCACGCATCATTGCGTGACCGGCACGACGGGTCTGACCGCTGTGTCAGCCGCGTCGCCTGTTGCTAAACCCCCCGGGGGGACGCCGTCGTTCGTGTATTCGCATCCATTGCGGATTTTGAAATATTTAGGGTGGGTTTATTTTTTTTGTCATCGAATTCGAACAAAAAATACATGCCTCTTATTCGGTTTAACAGATTGTAAATGTTGTGGATTGGCTCTCCAACACACCGGTGTGTTGCTGTACTCGTAACGAATTCGCACGTTCTGTTTACGTGACGAAACTTAACTATATTACACGTAGGCTTTGGCGACCAATATTATTCATAATATAGGTTTTTTTGGGTCAGATCGCGTTATTTATAAATGTGTCGTAACCCTCCACCACCCGACACGGCCAAACAGTAAAACATGTGTCACGTTTTTCAAAGGGCTAAAGTTGAAAAACGTGACACATTTTTTACTGTTTGGCCGTGTCGGGTGGTGGAAGGTTACGACACATTTATAAATAACGCGATCTGACCCAAAAAAACCTATATTATGAACCTTAACTAATTGGCTGTGTCGGGTGGTGGCGGATTTAACGACACATTTATATTTCCGCAATCTAACCCCCCCCCCCCCCAACATTATGGATGGCTCTGATTGTTTATTTTCGTTGCCGAACCCTGACCCCTCCCGGCTTAAACCCATCACCACGAGCGTGCCATTTATTGCTTTAACAACAAAAAACCCATCCTACGAGTGGCATTTATTGCACGCCGCCTGACGTCACGCACGCCAGGTCGCACCGCGGCGCAGGTGATGAGAGCGTGAGAGTAGGCTGAGCACACGCGCCGTTCGCACGGTGGGTGGGTGGGTTGGTGGCCGCTTTCGTATGGCTCCCAAATGAAGACCAGCAGCATCAGCACCGCCACCACCACCACCACCGCCGCGGCCGTGATTGTCCTGGTGCTGTTGGGCAGCGCGTCCTGTTTGGAAGTTCAAGGTAAGCGCTGGGTTTTTTTTTGCCTTCGCGACCCGACTGTCAAACGGTGCGTGGCGTTGGAAAGTGAAACCAGCGGTTGTCGGCTGAAGGTTGCGTGCTCCAGGAAGCTGTCCAGCCACGAGAGCTTTGTCCCAATAGACATGGAACTTTGGTGCAAAGGTTCCAACAACGTTTGCTCAACTTTGGCATGTTTACATGGTTCTTGCGGTTATACACCTGGGGACAACACGGTTTACAAAGTCGGTGGGCAGGCCGCGTGGGGCTGGGGTAAAGCGTGGGTGACACCTCCCGCCTCTTCCAAGATGCACGGCCTTCGTGGAAGAGTAGGCCAAAAACATCTGTTGAGAAAACAGAAGGGGCGTGCGGAGGGTGAATGGGTAAAACTCGAAGAGACTTTTTTTTGTGTCGAGTGGGAGGGAATTTAGTTGTGGAATTCTCTGACGTGGAGAAGTATAATCGACTAATGAGTGAAATTCCATAATTATTCCACGAGCACAGTCAACCTGTGCACACGAGGATATCAAGGCGGCTCTGTCCACTAATTCGTCAGTCACATTGTGTGGCCTTCAAAGGACTAAATATATAATCGGCGACGCTTCGGGCAATAATGAACCTTCATAGCACATCAATGATAATGTCCCTTTGACCAAAGCCACACTCGACAAAAGTGCTCGTCGTTGTCTGTGGTTCGTTCTCCACACGCCTCTGAGTCGTTTCCTCGCTCTCTCAGAGAGCGAGAGAACACTTCGCAGCGGCAGATGACGCCAAAAGGTGCCTTTTGGCGTCATCTGGTCCAACACCATGTGAGACTAGGCTCTAAGGAAAGCTGTCTCGGGTGTGGACCAATCAACTTCAAGGACAGTGCACATTATCAGAGTTATGTTTTTTGTTTGCATTATGACTGCAGGTATTGTGTTCTATGTAAACATGACTCCTTGTAAAAAAGGTGTCAGTTTTGTTGCCAGATAGAAGGGTAAAAAGAAACAATTATCACGTCAGTTGTGTTAATGGGGGAGATTAGGGAGAGAGAGAGATTAGCATGAAATAATCTTCCGTTGCCGCTGTATACTCTTTGTTGTACCTATACTAAGCTATTTGGTGTATCACAAACAAGCATGATAAATTTGATATATATATTTTGGGGATAGATATTTTTAGCTTTAATCGATAGCAACTTTAATCATCGTGGAGCGATGTGCACCGACTGGACAAGTCGCATAGCTGTTGTGATGACGTTCGCAGGAGTGACAAGCCGCGTGTGAGTGCCAACTGCCCCAGGCCATGCAACTGTAGGGGTGATTGTCACTAGATTTGAAGTTTTCGTGACTGCAAGGATTCATACTCTTTGGTAAAAAATTATAATAAATTAAATCACGACGTTTCGGGCGCAACACAAGCGTCCTTCTTCAGGTGGGGACAACTTAGCGAAAGCTTTCGATTAAAGCAAATAAACGTAATCACGACGTTTCGGGCGCAACACAAGCGTCCTTCTTCAGGTGGGGACAACTTAGCGAAAGCTTTCGATTAAAGCAAAAGCTTTCGCGAAATTGTCCCCACCTGAAGAAGGACGTGACAAAAAAAAGTAGTTACGCTTGATTTCGGCGTTAAATATTATATCGGGTACATTATACACTACATACAACTTATTATATACAAACTACATCAGCTGCTCACCCCGAGCTCTCATTACTTTGATAGTGCATTGTTTTTGGGCTGTACGTCTTTTGGCGTCCTCTGGTCTAACACCGTTTTGAGACGAGACTCAAGAGAAAGCTGTCTCTGGTGTGGACTAATCAGTTTCAAAGACAATGCATATATTATCAGAGTATGTTTTTTGTTTGCATTCTGACCACAAATATTGTGGTTAATGCAGACATGATTCCTTGTAAAAGGTGTCAGTTTGGTGTTTTAACATCTTAACACAGCTGTTTTGTTGCCAGAAAAAAGGGGAAAACCTATTCTCATATTTTGGTACTGGCAAAGGAGGTCCCATGATGATGGAATGTTTGTTTCTTTTTCTGACTGTTGGCCAGGTCTGCTGGCGCCACGCAACTTTCGCGTGACCTCTGTGGATCTCAACTGCTTTGCCGAGTGGTCACTTGACCCCAACGCGACCCACGATGTGACCTACAGACTGCAGTATAAAAGGTAATTAACCACGTGTTGACCAACCTTCCCAGCCTGCTTTTGTTTTCTCTTTTACGGTTTTCTGAGCACACGTCCAAAAAGGCCAATAAATGGCAAGCGGCCAGCAACTTACAGCACCATTCAAGTTGTAATCGTCAAGAGTGTCGCAAACGCATTGCTTGAATCGAGCGAGCTTATAAGAACTTGAGATAGAGAGACGATGGGAACAGACAATTCCAAAGTGGAGCAGTGTGAGGAAAGAGTCAGAGAAATGGTCGTGACCCGCAGTGTGATGAGCGAGTGGGTGAGTGTGCTCCCCACTGTGCCAACAAAGTTGCTGCATCTCTGCCAGTCATCTGAGTCAACCCATGGCACCTGGGTCTGTTCCGTGACCTCCTGCCTGCCAGTGGGGTCCTTCGACACTTCACGTGGCCTCAAAGTGCCCCGACCTATGGCACAAGCGCCGTGGTGATGTCACCACGATTTAGTGGTGAACGGCGGCTGTTGTTGTGTTATGTGAAGCTGCTGTGTTGGTGGTGGTTGTTGAAAACAGTGTGGATGAGACGAAACAGTCAGTGTCTGGTAGACCTTGACACGGGTCGAGGAATCGCTGAGTGAAGTGGACAGAAGCAGTAACCATGGTAGTGGTGATAGAAGAGTGATAAGCAGGTGGTTGACTGCCGGCGACCAAGTGGCTGGGCTGAATAATAATAATAAAATAATACATTGTGTCACGTGACTTTTTTTCAGGAGAGTGCTGCTGCATTTCATTGGCCAATCCGTGCTTTTTTGCTTGGCGAGCGTTGTGCGCGAGCTCAATTCGTCAACCCCATCGCCGCGGCTCGCTGCGTACTCACACTTGTGACTCTGTCTCGTCCGACAGCTACTGGATTAAGGACAACGACCAGTGGAAGAACATCTCTTGCCCAGACGCGCGTCGCAGCGAGTGCGATTTCACAGCGAGCTGCCATCCGTCGTCCAACCACACGCTCCGCGTGCGCGCTGAAGCGCCGGGTGCCGCGTCTGAGTGGGCATACGCGTGTTGCTTCCAGCCGCTCTTGTCCAGTAAGCGTCACGTGGGGCAGCAGCAGGGTGGCCACGCAGTGGTAAATCTGAACAGTGTTCTTCTTTTGCAAGGCCCGAGGGCTACTGGCGGCCCCTGGTGGCCTTTAGTGCGGCCCCCGACAATGCACAAATGTAAAAACATCCCTTGCAGGCGGTCTAGTGGCCCTCACGCTGACATCTTATCGGCGAAAGTAGCACCCCCCACTCTGAAAATGAAGGACACTGAATTAAACTATTTTATTTTACCAGGTAAAGCCGACTGAGCGATGAGATCTCCTTCAGAGGTGACTTGGCCACGCATTAGAGCTCATTGAAGTGGCTGATATTATCATCATCATCGCACTTGGGCATTTGTAGTAGCAGCCAAATAATATAAACTCATGTTTCTAAACGTTGAGGACAAAACTGGAGGAGCACGGAGAAAAATACACGCGACCATCAAGGGGAGAGAGAACACGCAAACTCCAAGCATACAACAATCATAGTCAGGGTCGGGATTGAACCCACGACCTCCTGCGTACCAGGCGAGGTAGATAGCATCTCAAAAACACAGCAAGAAGCCCCTGGGTAGCGATTCTGATCTGAGGTGCTGTTTTGTGAGGAGTCTGTATGTTATCCCCCTGTCCTGCCTGGGTTTTTTTCGGGATCTCCGGTTTCCTCCCGTCGCCAATAGAAAGCATACAATGTAACTGGTGTTTGCCAAACATCTGAATGGTGAAAAAACTGGACCTGCAAATTACTCAATTGGAATTACACCTCGACTGCGAAAACTTTGCAGCGCCCTCCTGAAAAAGAGTCATGAGACTCAGTGAGGATTTCCCTGGAAAAAAAGTATAATAACAATAATTATATTATTTTCGCATTTTTTGTGTGGGTGGATGCTGCTGGCGTTCAATACAGGGCAACCCAATATTCTCAGAGATATAATTCAGTCAAATGAGGTGCAAAACCAAATATATGACCTTTTTTTGTGCAGTGATTAGTGTCCAGGCTGAAACCATCAACTCAATACACTTGAGAACCTGTTTATAATCACAGAAGGTTGAACCCCAGATTTGAACCCGGGGTTTTGGTGGTGCTAGCTGTGCGTCTCTGACCACTGAACCCTCCAACTCAGACACCTCACATCATTGATTAATTGTAACCGTAAATGTATTATTCATTCTCGAAATTCAACACGTATAAGAAAAAATTGCCACGATTAAACGCGAGAAATATTTTTTGCGTTTCTTGTTCCCAGCAAGGCTGACGGCGCCGTCCACCTCTGTCATCGTGTCTGGACTGAAGTTTTACGTTAAAGTGGAAAATCTGAAAGTGAGAAATGGGAACGATTTTCTCGAGAACGTTTACAGCAACCGGCAGTGGTTTCTGAATTACACCGAAGAAGCGAACGTGAGTTTTTCTTGCCGTGGACTTGTATTCATCCATCCCCTCTCGGTCAAACTGAAAGGGACAACACAGTGCATAGAACAGTGATTACTACCAACCAGAGGTGTGGACTCGAGTCATGTGACTTGGACTTGAGTCAGACTCGAGTCATGAATTTGATGACTTCAGACTCGACTTGGACTTGCATAACAATGACTTTGTCCCACCTCTGAGGTGTGGACTCGAGTCATGTGACTTGGACTCGAGTCAGACTCGAGTCATGAATTTGATGACTTCAGACTCGACTTGGACTTGCATAACAATGACTTTGTCCCACCTCTGAGGTGTGGACTCGAGTCATGTGACTTGGACTCGAGTCAGACTCGAGTCATGAATTTGATGACTTCAGACTCGACTTGGACTTGCATAACAATGACTTTGTCCCACCTCTGAGGTGTGGACTCGAGTCATGTGACTTGGACTCGAGTCAGACTCGAGTCATGAATTTGATGACTTCAGACTCGACTTGGACTTGCATAACAATGACTTTGTCCCACCTCTGAGGTGTGGACTCGAGTCATGTGACTTGGACTCGAGTCAGACTCGAGTCATGAATTTGATGACTTCAGACTCGACTTGGACTTGCATAACAATGACTTTGTCCCACCTCTGAGGTGTGGACTCGAGTCATGTGACTTGGACTCGAGTCAGACTCGAGTCATGAATTTGATGACTTCAGACTCGACTTGGACTTGCATAACAATGACTTTGTCCCACCTCTGAGGTGTGGACTCGAGTCATGTGACTTGGACTCGAGTCAGACTCGAGTCATGAATTTGATGACTTCAGACTCGACTTGGACTTGCATAACAATGACTTTGTCCCACCTCTGGTTGCAGGCGGGTAAATTGGCTCGTGTGCAAACGCGAGGTGGATTATTTACGGGACTTATTTTTGCTAGAATTAAGATGACTAAAAAAAGGCTTTACTGTTACATGGTGCAGAGATGTGAGCACTGAGTAAGTGAGACAAGGAGTTTTAAAGGACAGAGAGGAGAATGCACAGATGGATGTCGGGAATATCTCTGAGGGAAAGGAAAACGAATGAAAGAAGTTCGAGCCATAGCAGGGGGTTACTAACGTTCTGGAGAAGGCCAAGGAGGCGAGACGTCCACACTCTGACCACGTGTTGAGTCGAGACACAGAGAAGATGCAGTGGGAAGGGCTATGGGGATGCCACCGGCACAGTGCAAAAAGGAGTGGATGGAGACCGAGATGGGAGGATACAGTGGAGCAAGATATGAAGACAGTGTATGTGACTAGAGAATATATGTCCTCTATTAAGTCTATGGGTCTATATGCAAGTACATGGGTCTTGGGGTGAGCAAGCACTTGCAGGGCTGCTCCTTTATCCTTAATATAGCCGTATTGTTATGAATGTGATGATCAGTATTGTGCCGAGTGGATTTGATTTTTGTTGTTGTTACCGTACTGATGTTGCCAGCCGTGGGTTTGCGCGCTTCTTGATGTGCATAGGGCCACGTGCAACAACACATCCTGGTCACACAGAACCACCACATATTCACCGTGCCGCACGCGGGCAACTACTGCCTGCACTCTCAGTTCTACATTCCGGACTTCAACCTCTATGGAGACCAGAGCGCCGTGGCATGCTACATCACCCACGACATACCACTGGGTAATGCCTTCCAATTCGTTCATAATTTGTTTTGTTTATTATTGTATACACATTTATTTTGGCGCTGCTGCTGCTGCGTGAACGAACGTGTTGATTGTTTGGTCACGTGAAACTTGGCAATTAGCATTATCACTAATACGAATCCGTATTCCTCGCGTTTTTTTTTTCTTTCCCCCACAGACTTTCTGAACCTGCCTGTGGTTGTCACCATCACCCTGCTGAGCATTGTGATCGTCGGCCCCTTGGTAGCCATGGGCTGGTTCTATCGGCAGAAGCTCAAGAGCCTCATATCTCCCATAGATCCTCCTCCACCCGCCATCTTGCAGGTGAGCGGCCATGGTTGTGTAGGAGTGTTGCTCTCCCCCCCTCCCCTCTCCCATATTAAGGTTCCCCCCAGCCCAGAACACATAGGTTCTGTGTTGTGGTTGTGATGATCTGTACCCACAATCAACCTTTGCTCTGCGTGAATTGCCCCGCATGCCCCAGTTACGGATGAAGCAGTTGGTGCAGTGGTTTAGCGGCAGTGCACTGCGCTATGAAGCCGTCCACCTGAGTTTGATTCCCAGCCACGGCTAATGCCGGTGGAAAGTGATATTATAACTGGTCTCGGACCTCAGCTAGATAATATCAGCCTTAAATACCTGCCACAGCATGTCAACCTGTGGGGAAACAAAGGTGGCAGGTGTGGTGCTGGCCATACCAGCCCCCCCTGTGTGCTATGCTGGCCTTAATAGGTGCTTGCTAACAGCACTTTCCCAAACAGTTTATAAAGGTATTCTTGGTTCTTTCTGTAAAGTCACTTGGAAGGGAAATAATAAAATAATATAAATATAAAACAATAAAAATTATCACGACGTTTCGACTGCAACACAAGCAATCGTCGTCAGGTGTGAAATCCACAGCAAGAATATTTAAAAAGTTTATAAAGGGTGAAGATGTTTGTCATTGTGTTTTTTTATGTCGACATTTCAGAGCCTGGAGAAAGAGTCAAAAGCACAACACGAGTGCAATAAACGGTGGCTATCGAAGAGCCCTGCCTGGGAGGGCAGCAGCTCTTACTGCATCGTCGAAGACGAAGACGATGCATCCAATGACGACAATTGCATGCAGCCACGTCCGTTGGGCAATTCGGGCCTCCAGGCCGGTAGCGAGTGTCGCAAGTCGGTGCAGCCCGCACTCGACGGTTCAAACGGCAGCCCCCTTTCCAGCTACGATGTTCAAGTCGATCCCAGATTGCAGAGGGCTACTTTCACACCTGTGCGCCGCTCCACGTCTGACCGCTCAGACTGTAATCCAGCAGAAAGCCTCATGGCAGATGTCTGGCCGGATAACGGCCAGAGTGCCGATGTACCGTTTTACATGCCGCATCAAGTGCACAACTTGCCGTGCACAGAAGGTTTAAAACCGATGGTCAGCACGGCCAGCTCGGGGTTAGACTTCCCATATTCGTGCGTTGATCTGAGCACTGTCACCGGTGATATCAGGCAAAATTCTAAATCGGACGACGTTCTGTCCGTTGATTTGGAGTCAAGATTCGCCGGGGTTGATTTAGCCCGGCGAAACTCGAAACCGGATTGTTCAATGTATAGTTCACAGATTGTTGTTTTAATGGAGCCAGCCAGTCAACGTGGCACAGGATACAGGAAAACGTGGATTGTACCCAAGATGTCGATGAATGGGGGTAATTTAACATAGCTGTATTTCAGGGTTTTGTTATTTGGAGGCCTTGGAAGTATTAGCAGGGAAAGTGCTGCATTAATTATACCCTCGTGAGATGTTCGTTTTGTGTTCCACGTTTTATTTGTTTTTATATGACAGAGTTGCAGGTCAGCTTTTGAAAATTATGAAAACAATGTAGCATTTGTCGTGAGATACATATTGTAGCAGTGGGCATACATACATTTTAATTTATCTTTGTACAGTTGAGAACACTTCTATGAATTAACAAATATTGCTGGGCATTGCCCAGTAAATGTCTTTCGCATCGTATGTAGCCAATCGTCATAATCGGAGGTGCAGGAACATTGGGTCAACATCGCGGCCAAGGTTGGTCCAACAGTTATAAACAGCATGCCAACGTTGACTTAAAGCTTTCGTGACTGCAGGAATTCATATTCTTTGGGTCTTTCGGTAAAGTCACGGAGATAGGTTCCTGATGATGACCGCTTGTGTTGCGATCGAAACGTCGTAGTTTTTTGTTATTTTCTTTTAACCTATCTACGTGACTTTACCAGAAGACCCAAAGAGTATGCCAATGTTGGCCCAACGTTATTTATGTTTATTTGAATTGAATCTCATCACGTGATCAGGCCCCCGGCATCAACGTAATCGGTGGCCGCCTGGGCCACCAAACTCTATCGCTTGCCAAGAAAGTGATCCTCTCGTTTGGTTGTTCAGTGAGACAGAGAATCCATTTGGAAATCTTGCAGAGCAGTGTGATCCCCCCATCCCACCCGCCACCCCCAGCATAAACCATCATGCAAACTCCAGTCATCCTCGCAGTGGCAGCTTTTGGCTAACCATCACACACAAAGACGGTCACCGCATTGCGCACTCTCAGATGCACTTCTGTGGTCGTCTGGAACGCTCTTCCGATATTAGGAAGCCACTGGAGCTATGCACTTTTAAATAATTTGGATTCAAAACCCATTTCATGAGAACTGCTTTTTGTATTTAGTTTGTTGTCTTTTCTCCTGCACCTCCGATTAGCACGGTTGGCTACATACGATGCAAAAGAAGTTCTACATACATACACATCCGTGCGTTGTCAGAGAACAGCTGCGCAAGAGATTTTTCGCCGTACATCTTGGAAGTGGCTGTGAACACCTTTGGGTTCACACTTTTACCGTACACTAATATTTTGTCGCGTGACCGTTACACGAATGTTTTCAATTCTCAGAGCTGGAGTTTATCCGACTTAGGAGGTACAGAACAACATTTTACATGATGGGTTCTTTCTTTGTGCAATAATAACTGGTGACCGGGCTGAGACCATCAACTCACCACACTTGAGAACTCCGGGTAACTGAAGCTCAAGACTGAGTACTTTATTATATCAGCGCTTAAGGCCCATTGAACAAAACAGATTATGACCAAGGATGAGCAGCCAACCGGGATTGTAACCTAACCTCTCGACCCGGTCACCTCTTGTCAATTATCGTTCGTGACTCCTGCGTGTATTACCTGTCATCGTGTATACGCATGCTCGATGAATCATTTGTAAAACTGGGTGAAGAGAAATGCGTATACAAAATGTTGTTCCAATTTTTCTCGTTGCCGTCACAGCTTGGCGTCCTGGGTCGCCTTCCCCCAAGTCCGCACCTGCGGGTTACATTGTAAAAGAATATTGCTCCACGCATGTGCGGCGACGTTTTTTGCGGGTTAAACGGCGAACGCAGCGTCACAGTAAATGACCCCACTTACCTTTTTTTTTACCATTACTGTATTCCGAAACGATCTTTATGATCGTCCGACAATTCGTATCTGCGGGTGGCCAGATCTTTTTTGGGATCTTTGAGATTACAGTGTTTTCCGAAAGTCGAAAGGACATCAGCTCTAAATTTCGATGTAAAGCTTTCGTGACTGCAGGTATTCATCTTCTTGGTTCTTTCGGTAAAGTCACGTAGAATGGAAATAATAAAATAATATTAATAAAACATAATAAAAGAATTATCACGACGTTTCGGCCACAACGCAAGCAGCCGTCCTCAGGTGGAGAACAGGTCTGTCGAGTAGACAGAGTCTGAATGACAAGCCCCTCCATCCCAGCTTAAATAGTCGCTCCAAGCCTGGGGCTTGTCATTCAGACTCTGTCTCCTCGACAGACCTGTTCTCCACCTGAGGACGGCTGCTTGCGTTGTGGCCGAAACGTCGTGAGAATTATTTATGTTTTATTTTTATTATTTTATTATTTCCATTCTATGTGACTTTACCGAAAGAACCAAGACATCAGCTCTGTTGGCTGGACCTGAATAAGATTTTGCAGCAAGTCACATCCGTTGTATACCTCAACACATGCTGGTTTTGTGTGCAGTTAATAAAGCTTGGTGCCCAGCTACCATGTACAGCCTCTGGGTCATAATAGTTTGACCTTTGATTGCAACACCCCTCCCTACCTCCCACCCCTTCTGGGTAGGGGCATCTTCATCAACCCGCACCGATCGGCATGGTGAAATATGGTCACACAACACCCTCCAATGGACGATGAGCATGTGCAGGCGCCAGCTTCGCCAAACATGGCTTTTCTTGAGTTGAAGCTTTCGTGACTGCAGGAATCCATACTCTTTGGTTCTTTCGGTAAAGTCACGTAGGTAGAAAATTAATTAAATCACGTTTCGGGCGCAACACAAGCGTCCGTCATTAGGTGGAAAAGCATGGTAGATTTGAAGCTTTCGTGACTGCAAGGATTGGTTGTTTCGGTAAAGTCACGTAGGTAAAAAATAAAAATTAATAAAAGTAAAATAAAAATCACGACGTATCGGAAGCAACACAAGCTTCCGTCTTCGGGTGGAACAGTCACAGCACGATACAGCTATCGTGCTGTGACTGTTCCACCTGAAGATTCATATTAAGTTTTTTCGGTAAAGTCACGTAGGTAAAAAATTAATAAAAGTAAAATAAAAATTAAATAAAAATCACGTTTCGGAAGCAACACAAGCTTCCGTCTTCAGGTGGAACAGTCACACGAAAGCTGTATCGTGCTGTGACTGTTCCACCTGAAGACGGAAGCTTGTGTTGCTTCCGAAACGTCGTGATTTTTATTTTATTTTTAATTTACTTTCATTAATTTTATTTTTTTACTTTCGTGACTTTACCGAAAAAACCTAAGAATATGGAAAAGCATGGTCTGCTGGTCTGCTGCGTCGTGATTTATTTTATTTGTAGCTCAATTTTAACCCACTTCCCAATGTGGTATCGACTGCAAACTTGGTATACTTATGTCATACTGATGACAATACTATATTCTATAATAAAATATATAAAATCTTTTTTTTTACATTTTTTTTATGTTATGTTTCGGCTTGTGTCTAATTGTCCACGGTCCCTTACGTTATGGCAAGCTTCGGGGCCACTTGCTGGAGTCGTGGAGTTCTGCCATTACTAGTACATTTAATAAAAGCGTGCTTTTTAGAACGTTTTTTTTAAATATTACTTATTTTAGTTTGTGCCACAGTATCAAAGTATGGAAAATAAGAATAGGTTATTCCTTTTTTAAGCCCAAAAAATGTAAAAACCCTATTCTTATTTTTTGGTAATTTCTGAGACCATGTTTATAGAACTTAATCGACACCGGACACGAGAGAATTTGACTTTTTTAAATTTCCCGGAGCGTCCCGAGAAATCCGGTAGCGCCTAACTCAAAAAAATATATAGAGAGAATGATTACCACGTGACGAGAGAATCGATTCCACGTTAAAGTTCTCTTTAACTTTGCCGGTCGATTCCACGCATAGCACGTGATACGCACGCGTCGATTCCTGACGGTCGATTTTGATTTTTTTTAACACTGACGCGCAATGTAATCGATTCCAAACGATCGGAATATTTATTTATTGATGCTGGAGGAATCCGATGAGCTGCGAATCTCTTTTTCACATGCGAATGGATTGTACAGGGTGGTCCAGATGTCTTGTGACCCCCCCCACCCCAATTTTTTTGTTCTTTTGCATTTTCAGTTATGTTTTCATTCAAACCTTACTTTAAAAAAAATATGACGTTTTAGTGAATTAAACTGGGGGAGGGGGTCACAAGACATCTGGACCAACCCATCCGTCGTATGTCATCGAGTTGCGGAAACGTTCACACGGGCAGCGATTTAGATTCCTGATCGCGCAATCGATTTTTTTTATACCCACGCCACATTTCGTAGGTACGATAATCGATTTAAATTCCTGTGCGGGCGGGGCGAGGTGAGCAAGGGGGCGGGGCAAGGTGGGGGCGGGGCGAGGTGAGCAGGGGGGCGGGGCGAGGTGGGGGGCGGGGCGAGGTGAGCAAGGGGGCGGGGCGAGGTAGGGGGCGGGGCGAGGTGAGCAGGGGGGCGGGGCGAGGTAGGGGGCGGGGCGAGGTAGGGGGCGGGGCGAGGTGAGCAAGGGGGCGGGGCGAGGTAGGGGCGGGGCGAGGTAGGGGGCGGGGCGAGGTGAGCAGGGGGGCGGGGCGAGGTAGGGGGAGGGGCGAGGTAGGGGGCGGGGCGAGGTAGGGGGCGGGGCGAGGTAGGGGGCGGGGCGAGGTAGGGGGCGGGGCAAGGTAGGGGGAGGGGCGAGGTGGCTATTTCTCAGACGCGGGGCGGTTTTGTGAAAACACGACAATCGATTACGATTCGCGCGAGGATTCGATGCGAGGGAATCGATAGCGCCAGGGGTTGTCGTGGGGGGGGGGAGTGGTGGTGGTGGTGTTGTCGCTATGGCGTCTCATCTGGCGAGCGGGAGGCTCAACCTCGGCGTTCTTCGCGAAGCGGCGCGGAGGCGTCTGCTGCAGATCCTCGACAAACTATCGGGCAGCAAGGCGAGAGGCACCATCCTCACCCACCCCACCCACCCACTCCTCTCTTGACTCTTCCTCGCGATGGGAGTCGTTGTTGGGTGCGATGTTGTCACGCCTGGGGGGTGGGTTGGTTGTTGTCGATGGTTGTTGTCGATGGTTGTTGTGAGTTGGTGGGTGAAAGATGGTGAGCTCCTCCGTCAGGCTGGGGTCACGTACCCACCCCGCACGCCCAGGAGTTGACGGGTCACGGGAGGACGTGGAGCTGAGTGGAATTGTCCGTGACCGGCACCAGCGGTGTCACGATCGGTCCTCTGTGGAGGGAGGCAGTCGCCCTCCAGCAACAACAACAACAACGGAGGGGAAAGAGGAGCGACAACAAAGAGGAGCGACAACAACGAGCGGAGCGCAGGGCGGATAAAACGCAGCAAGTTGGCACAGTAGGGGGAACGGGGTGGTGCATCTCCCTGCCTGATCTCAGTTGACCCTTGGCACCTGCTGGGGTCTGTCCCGTGACCTGTCAACGAGTCTTGGACACTTCACGTGGCCTCAAAGTGCACCTGGCCTGGCACAGGCGCCGTGGTGACGTCAACGCCGGTTGTTGTTGTTGTTGTGGGTGATGGTTGTGATGATGGTTGTTGGTGGTTATGGTTGGTACTGGCGAGAGAGGTGATTCTCGAAGTGATGATTGGCGGTAAGTTGTGGGTGCTGGGATTGCTGAGATCATGAGTGGTGGTTTCGGTTGGAGTGATGGTTGTGGTGAAGTTGATGTTAGTGGTGTGGGTTGGTGGTGGTAGTCGTGGTGCTAGTGTGGGTAATGGGTGATTGAATTCTGGTGATGCGGGGAGTTGATGTGATTGCCAGAAGAATGTGGAATGTGCCATCTTTGTTCTCGAAATGGCATACGGTGCAATAACCGTTTCCTTATGGCCTGAGTCCCTCAATTCTTTAAATATTTGTTTAATCTCTTAAAAGATACCGTGTGTTTTCAATTGTGTCATGATTGAAATTGCAATGCCAATGAGATTACAGCCCTATACAGCCCCTTTTGTCAGTCTCCTGCTGAATGAGGCCCTCCCTATGCTGTGCAGGTCATGGGGGCTATTTGACCATACTTTACACTGGTCAGTGCTACATCACCATGCTGGTCAGTTGCGGATTGATGAAAGCTGAGCACAGAGATGTGGGAACGTATAAGTAGAGCACAATAATTGAGTTTGCTACACAGCTGACTATAAAGTAGCTCCGCAGCCTGGTATGCATGGGGTCGCCCATCCAAGAACTATCCAGACTCAACTCTGAATTTTCTCCCGAGCTTGGGCGAGATTGGAAACGGCATATTACAGGTGATCCGAACACATAGGCTGACGTTACAGACAGTATGTAGTCCTCCTTTGTTGTATGGCCTCTGCCATAGAAATGTGGAATTTCCTGCTGGTCCCCAGGAGCTAACTAATGCTTAATTATGCAGTAGCAGTGACTGAGATGACTGCCTCTTTGGATTTGTGGCAATAGAAGCAGTCTTCATGTCCATAGCCCCAACCTTAAACCCGAATATCTAAACTCTATTTTTCAAACCCTAGACTTCCACACGTTAACCCTTTAACTCCGAGCCTAAACCCAAGACCCCAAACGCCAACTCTTAGCGCTCATTGAAAACTAAAGATACATTGTCCGTGAAATACTTAACGAACTGAAACCCACTGAAAGTCAGTTATAGGATGCAAATATGGTTGATGAATGAACATTCGTGGGAACAGTCGCCACTTCCAATGATAATTCCTGAGTGAAGGATTGTTTGTCTTGTGCAGCCTCCTTGTTAACCATGTGCTGCTGCTGTTTGTTTCTCACCAGGCCATCGTGTGGGATGAAAGCCTGACTGGACCTTTTGGCCTCATCGCTGAATACTCACTGCTAAAGGTAACGTTAGTAAATGGTGTCACCCATTCCTTCATCACATCCAGAATAATTGATGAATGCTACTGTAACCCCTACGGCCTCCAATCGCCAATTGATCAAATATAACCACTGCTAGACTTCTCACCCGCACCCGTAAATGAGACCACATCATTCTGGTACTCCAATCCCTCCACTGGCTCCCAATGCGATCCCCGATTAATGTCAAGATTTTCTTGTCTGTCAAGTATGACTTTCTCTAACTTGCATGTTGAGTGACTAACTCAGAGACAATAAGACTTGGAGGCACTTCTTTATTAACAAGCACCATCGGGGTTAACACTCTTAATAATTAGTCCGCCTATTGTCGGCGACGCTACTCAGCTAGGACAGTCGGTAGGCTGCCTGACTAACGGCGCCTCGAGATGGTGAAGATGGAGACGACGACGAGGATGGTGAAGACGATGAGAATAACGGTGACGAAGACTTCAGCAGCACGACGGAGATCCCACTCCAACAACAGACCCAAGGTCTCCTACAGGGGCGGCTCTTAAACTGTCAGCGTGGCCTCGCTCCGTATCCGGCCATGCCCTCTTTCTGGAACCTACTAGTGGGTTCCTGGTGTGCCCTTCTGTGACCTTTCCCCTAGATCCCCCTCTCGTGTAAATCCTGGCCTGCTGACGTCAGGACTGCCGTACGCCGCAGATCCCCTTTTTCTGCCAGCAGCCAGCGCTATGCCACTACACGTGTTCATCTTTCTGTCCTTCCGTAGTTCAAAGCACGTATCTCTCCACGTTTCTTTGTGTAAGTTTGCGCATTTGTTCCAATGTCTTTATCATTGACCATGTTTCTCATTAATATTGGCATTCTCGCTGGTTGAATGTCCACGATGATGATAATGTTGATGATGGTAACATAGCCCGGTTCACCCGTGACAGGAGCATGAAGTAGACAAGATGTTTCCTCTGCGGGAGGAACGCCTGCCGCCACTGCCGCCATCTCCTTCCCGACACGTGATTTTCATGCTACGGCCACGCGTAGAGCTCATGCAGATCGTGGGCACCAGTCTGCTCAAGTAAGTGACGGAAAACACACATGGTGGCCTCCTCTCGCGAGAGATATCACAAGGTCGGTGTTCCCGACAGCATTGCTCTTCACCCTACGTTGGTGGTGCAGCGTGAGTTTACCTGGCCTCAAAACGAGTACGTGGTGCGGTGTGTAAACATCACCACTGGGGAGACAAAGGCAGTTGGGTGTGGTGCTCGCCCCCACCCCCTCGTGTGCCGTGCCGGCCTTTGTAGGTGCTCGCCAATAGCACTTGCCCTAAAAGTCTGTTAAGGCTATACAGGGCGGGGGTCTTTGTTGATGAAGGCAGGGAGTGTAAACGTAGGTACAAGAGGAATCTAGAGCCGACACAAATGGACGTTCATTCCAGTGGTGGTCCTGGCCAATTGGAGGCCCTAAGTTCAAATTACATTTGGCAACCACCACCCCCTTTAAATTTGCTAAATCTTAATCCGTTGATATATGAGATATAGAAAAGAGATATGTGTAGTGAGACAATAAAAGTCGATGTATGTTGAACTTCTTTCACACCAAATGTAGCCAACCGTGCTAATCGGAGGTGCGGGGGAAGGAAATATAGAAATGTATTTGGATGAGAAATGAAAGACACAAACATTCAGGGATGAGACAGATTAATTGGCTTTTTGAATGAAGATTGTTGCTCTGGTTTTTATTAGGATTTGAATTTGAGCGGCTCATTTGATTGACCCTATTTTTTTTTTATGCATTCTGGGCCTCATGCACTGCTTGGCGCACCTCTAATTAGGACGGTCGTGCTATGTACAGTGCAAATGAAGTTCAACATACAGTAAAACCTTGGATTGCGAGCATAATTCGTTCTGGAAACGTGTTTGTAATCCAAAGCACTCGTATATCAAAGCACTCGTGTATCCATTGTGATCACGTGACGCTCGGCAGACAAAGCATATACACGTACTACTCGTAGTGCAAGACCTCGCTCTTTTATCAAATTAATATTTATTAAAACAAATTTGCTCGTCTTGCAAAACACTCGCAGACCAAGTTACTCGCAATCCAAGCTTTTACTGTACATTGGCATTTGCTTGGTTTTCTAATGCCGAGCGCCATCACTGACCGCCCTGTGTGTGCCGCAGGGAAGAAGGCTGCTCCCCGGGCAGGGAGTACCACCTGGTGTGCGTGCCGCGCCGCTGTGTACTCTGCGAGCAGCATCTGCAGCAGATGGGCGTCTTCGGCACCTTTACCACCATCCAGGAATATCCCTTGGACTTCATTCCTTTTGACAGTGACCTCATATCCATGGAGAACGAGTTCGCATTCAGGGTATGCGCTCCCCCCTTTTAAGTGCTGTAGTGTCAATCGTACGAGGGAGAAATTATTTCCTGCTCATTGGACATTGAAGTGGTGCTCATCGTCCGTACACAGCCCCTCAGACGGTGGTGAAAACTCAACTTTGCAATGACGGGGGCACGGCTATCTGTCGGACAACCTTTGTAGACTTCCCACAAAGTGGTATGCATATGTTCTACCCCGGAGAGCGGGACGATGGGCCGAGTCGACCCCCAACTAAGTAGGATTTGAACGAATGAGTTAAATGATGACGTCACCCTGCTGCTCTGTTTAAGACCGGGAGCAAGTGAGGGCTCCACCTTTCTGGCGATTTGCCCGATGATGCTGGATGTAATTACCAGCGAAACGTCATACTCAAAAATTGTAAATGCTGTGGATTCACTCATCAACACACCGGTGGGCTAAAGTAGTGAACTATTTGTCTTTTTTCAATGTGACACTTTTTTACTGTTTGGCCGTGTCTGGTGGTGGAGGGTTACGACATTTATAAATAACGCGATCTAAGTCAAAAACCTTTATTATGAATAATATTGGTCGCGAAAGTCTACGTGTTAAACTGAGGATTTGAACTTGCAACCTTCCAATTGTGAACGGCTTGCTCGACTAACTGAGCCAGTGATGAGATAAAAGATAGGTTTTTGTAATCCAATATCATCCGTGAAATTTGCTATTCACGAGCATCTCCGGAAGGTAATACCGTGGTCCTGCAGTAGCCTAGAGCACCTGTTTTATACATGCAAGTCACCCATTTAAGCGCTCTCCAGGCTCAACCCTGCTGATGAGATCGGGCACATTACGGATGAATCATGGTCGCAATGCAAAACAGTATCATACAATTTGGTTTCACTTGTGCTCTATGCAAAATGACAGATTTATGCATAGTGCAAGGCCGCTGTCCTTGTTCACACGTGAGTTTGTGGAAATAAGAATTGCCGATATTGGGATTTGTCCTCATTGGAATGTTTTGTCTCTTGATAAATAATTTCTTTGCTTTCAGGAATGTCACTTGGAAAATGACTTCACAAGTTTGTTCCACGTTGCCAAAGGACTGATGACCATGCAGTCTCTTTATGGCACCATTCCAAATATCTCCGGAAAGGGAGAATGGGCCAGGGTGAGTACCTTGTGGTTGTTGGTTGATGACCGTTCTGTTATTATGAAGGTTTTTCAATGGGGAAAATCTGGAAACTTACTTGTGCGCATGTGAAGCTCGCCGCTACCTATTTATGTTGAACTTCTTTCGCACCGTACGTAGCCAACCGTGCTAATCGGAGGTACTACGCCCCGTTGGAACTCCCTGTCCAGGGAACCCTCTCCACTTTGAAGTCTCCTCAAAATCTTACCCTTAAACCGTGACTCAGGACTCACTTCCTTAGTTACTTCCTCTATTTTCCTCACCCTTGCTACGTCCCTCCCCCATTCTTCCTCTGTCATTTTGCGCTCCGGTCCACTTGTTACATTCGTGGGCTTATGAGCAACATAGACGTTGCTGTCGCTGAGAACATTCAACGGCAAAAGCTTCCGTTATTTGTGAACAGTTGTGGGTCGCCAAGCATTTACCATGTCGATTGGCGTAAAAAAACAAGAAGGAAACAATTTGTCGTAAGGCTGACGCGTTTTCTTGCGATGCGTGACGTTGCAGCGCGTGACCGACATGCTGCTGAGGATGCACCGCGAGATGGCGGGGGTGCAGATGCACATGCCTCCTGCCATCGACACGCTCCTCATCATCGACCGCAGCGTCGACCTGCTCACCCCCATGCTCACCCAGCTCACCTACGAGGGCCTCGTCGATGAAATATACGGCCTTCAGAACAGTGAGTTTTGATGCCAATTGCGCGCGGCCCAACTCCGTGCCCGTGTGTAACGTGCGCTGGGGGGGGGGGGTGGGCCTTGCGTCGGTCCGCTGCTCAGAATCAGAATATTTGTACTGGAGGAATCCAATGTTCTATAAATCTATTTTTCACAGATGTCCGGATGTCTCTGCTGGTTGACGGGGGGCTTTCCTGTGCCATGCGTGAAATACGGTTCGATGACCGTACTTCACCACACTGGTCCGTGCAGATATTAGTGTTAAGGCTGAGAGTGTAGACGCGGAGCATAGAAGTTTTTACGCACCGCTGTCCACATCACTAATTAATACCCTGGCACAAGCGGTGGATGTAACGATGTATGGATTCGTCCCTGCGATTTTGTGCTCATTTGAGCAAGAAATCACGTGTTTTTTCTTTTTTCTTTACAGCTTCGGTCAAGCTTCCGCCGGAGAAGTTTCAGCCGCGTAAGCAGGACGGCGAAGCAGCAGCAGAGCTGCCCTCGGAGCCCAAGAAGCTGATTTTGAATTCGGCCGAGGAGCTGTACGCGGAAATCAGGGATCGCAACTTCAACGCCGTGGGGGAGGTGCTGAGCCGTAAAGCCAGGCTCATCACAGCCCAGTTTGAGGTGCTCCTCTTACCCCCCTCTGCCTTCGCCTGTGCACGTTGTACCGTATTCTCCGGACTCCGGAAAGTCGGACGCAGCCCAAACTCTGGGAGACAGCGGTATTGCTACGGAGATCCGTCTGCCAGAACATGATTGTGAAGGCGCTGCTTTAAAGTGGGGAGAAATTTATTCTGGAAGATTATTCTGAAAGGCTGGTGGCGGCTGCCTTCTGTCTTCTGGGTGGTGTTGTATTGCCTATGTCTCGTTGTCACTATCCAGGCTCAAAATCTTGCTTCGCATCCGACACCTGATGAGTAAAATGGGGGGCTTTCCAAGAGATGGGGCGCCATGGCAGCGAGATGTTAACTACCTCGCCTGTTATACAGGAAGTCGTTGGTTCGGTCCCGACCCTGATGTCTGTATATATGGAGTTTGCGTGTTCTCACGTACATTTTTCACCGGGTCCTCCAGTTTTTCCCTCCACGTTTATAATCAACATGCATTTTGAGTATTTAGCTGCTATACATTTCCACGTAATGAGCCACTTCGTTGAGCTATCATTTGTAGCCAGGTCACTTTTTCAAAAAATGAGCTAGATAGAGCTCAGTGGGCCTTACCTGGTAAAAAAAAAAACGTTTGACCTGTTGCTGTGTTTGCAGGAAAGGCACCAAGCAAAAACCGTTGGGGAGATAAAGGAATTTGTTTCCAAGCTCCCGCACATGCAAGCTGTGAAATCGTCCCTCGCCACCCACACGTCCATCGCGGAGCTTGTGCAGGAGGTCACTCGTACGTACTCGTCCGCTGCCTCTTGTACCACTTTTTCCACTGCACAACCGAGCCACACCGTGGCCGTGCCCGAGCAGAAGTCAACCAGCACAAATAGATTTTTTTAATCAGTTCAGTTAAACGGAATGTGAGGCTGTGAGGTGGTAGTCTTAAGTTCAAGAGCTGCTCATCATGGATATCGCTTCGACTTTTGACGTCGACTTGACTCGGGATTCTACGTGCATCGTAGTGGCCAACTAATAATTGATCGTTGAATCGAATTGTGATGGAGAGGATCATTATGCGCCGAGAAAGAACCCTTGGAGATTCTGACAATCGTTTACTCCCGCCTCTTGACTTCACGTTTTTCGTCTCCAGATTCAGACACCTTCCTCGACTCATTGGCTGTTGAACAAGAGTTCATCGCCGGCATAGACACCGATAAGGTGAAGTATATTTTATAATTCATTATTATTTACGCTTGTTTACCCAGGAAAGCCTCGCTGAGTCTCACGACTCATTTTTCAGGAGATTTCTGTCACGTTTTCATGAAGGGCGGAAGGTGGGGGGCGCTGTGAATGCTATGTATATTCTAATTAAGTAAGAAGCAGGCAGGACTGGAAAAATGCTGCTTTTACACTGTGTGAGATCAGGAGGTCCTCTGTGTGGATCAGAGGATCTTGGAGGTGGGCTATGCGATATCCACTTGGGCAGGCCATTCTCGAACAGATTCGCGAGCGTTCAGAATCGATTCTTCGTCTTTTCGACGTGGCGCCGGTCGCTTGATCGGGGAAAACATTGGCGATAAAGATGCTAAAATTACAAAAACCCTTCTGTTTTTTATCGCTCTGTGTGGGTGCTTATCAGGCCAACGTTTACATCGAGGAGTGCATTGCGCAGAAGCTGCCCTTGATGCGCGTGCTGCGCTTGATGTGCATACAGTCGCTGTGCAATAACGGCCTCAAACCCAAACTGCTGGAATACTATCGGCGCGAGATCATACAGGTGAGCGTGCAATGCATCGGGAAGGCAGAGCTGTCCGTTTTTTCCACTGCACGTTGATGATTATGTTTGTATGTTGAACTTCTTTGGCACCATACGTAGCCAACCGTGCGAATCGGAGGTTCTGGGGAAGGACAACTAAACACAAAAAGTAGTTCTGAAGAAATGAGTTTTCGTTCTAGATTTAAAAGTGCGTAGCTCCCAGTGGCCTCCTAATATCATCAAGGAAGAGCATTCCAGGCGGCCGCAAAAGCGCATCTGAAAGCGCGCAATGCAGTGACCATCTTTGTTCGATGATTAGCCAAAAGCTGCTGCGACGATGACCGGAGTTTTAGTTATGGTTTATGCTCCTTGTCGAGATGCTGGTGGTGAATGATGGCAGGAAAATTCAGCACTCGACCTAAATCAATTTAGCCATCCACCGGATTGTACAATATGCAGGCCTTCATCATTCCACTGCTGGATGTGTTGCTCGTGACAGACGTATGGGTTTGAGCACATGCTCACCTTGTTCAACCTGGAGAAAGCCGGCCTGCTGAAGCTGCAGCCGCCAGGACGGAACAACTTCCCCACTCTCCGCAAAACCCTGCGGCTCCACCAAACCGACGTCAACGAAAGGGTGAGTGTGGCGGGTCGTCACCAATCCACTGCTGGATGAAGGCTTCGCCCCCCCCCCAAGCCATCGCCACCCCCCACGGCCATGTGATGTAAACATAAACCTGGCACCGGTACGCGAGCTGACTTGATTGCTCCATCTTCACGGTGAACGTCCTCTCGGGGTGCGTTCTTTCCTTCGGCCGCTACCCAGCCGGTCGTTTATCCCAATGTGACCTCTTTAACCTATGTATTTCAGAATCGGAAGCTTTATTTATCCTGGAGAAATCCGACTAGCTATGAAGCTCTTTTTCACAGATGTCCAGTATGTTCTCCAATCAAATCCCATTATAAGCGGGGACATGGTATATCCACTTGTGGACACGCTGTATTCGTGCTGTTTCCGTTTCCGTTTCCGTTTCATGGCCTAGTTTGTGATGCTGGGTGCTGTGCTTTGTGGGGAGCGGTTGTGCAACGGTTTGCGTGCTGCGCTAGGAACACGGTAACTGGAGTTTGATTCCTGTTCACGGCCAACACCAGTGATGATTTATCTGAACCGGTCCTGAGCCTCCCCTTGGTCAACTCGGCCTCAAATGAGAACCTGGTATGGTGTGTAAACATTCCCACTGTTGAGATAAAGGTGGCCGGGTGTGGTGCTGGCCACCCACTTCCTCGTGTGCCGTGCCGGCCTTTGTCGGTGCTTGCTATAATAGGACTTGCCCCAATAGTCTGTTAAGGCTGTATGTGTTACTTGTCTGAGACCAGCCGAGATGTGCTGCATTACGTTTGTTTTGGCTGCGTTAAGGGCATTCCGACTCCTGTTTGCCCACATCTTGAAGTGGTAGTGCCCGATGCCAGCCGGATTGTGGTGGCCGCATTGTTGCCCGTCGCAGGCCCCCACGGACGTATCCTACGTGTACAGCGGCTACGCGCCGCTCTCCGTCCGACTGGCTCAGCTGAGTACGCGCCCCGGCTGGAGAGTCATCGAGGAGGCCCTGAAGCTGCTGCCGGGGCCCGAGTTCCACGAGAAGCAACCGATTCCAACGGGGCTCGCTCACAAACGTGAGCCACACAGCGTCCACATTTCTTTGTCCCCACCGCTCCTCCTGGCACTGATGCCCATCCGCAGTCTGATCGCGTATATTGTAAAAGGCAGGAATCGCTTTACTCCTGAAATTTACACATTGCCATAATGTTAATTTGGCAATTGCATTGCTTGCACCAGGGCCCATGCCAACCATGCTACGCCACTGCATTAATGCATACACGTACAATGGTTCTGAGGGCATACGTCAGGCAGACTGCATTTTGTAAATGCACATTCACAATGGTTTCTGTGGCTTCCATTGGGCAAACTGCATGCGTTAATTGACGTGTACGATGGCTCTGGTGCGTGTGTGTGGTGCTGCGCAGGCGATACGGGATCACGCATCACCCTCGTGCTCTTCCTGGGCGGCGTGACGAGCGCCGAGATCTCGGCGATCCGCTTCCTGGGGCAGTCCGAGGACAGCAACACCGATTACGTCATTGGGACCACGAAGCTCATCAACGGGACTTCCTGGCTGCAGTCTCTCGCGGAAAAGCTGGAGCCGATCACCACATGCCCCGCCAAATAAATAATGCACGCTGCGCTACAAACCATGCCAGACGATTGGAATTTTACCCGAGCCAAGGATGGCGAGCAGTTAAACCTACTCCCTGGATGTAAAAAAAAGCCATTCGCATCGTCAGCCTCAATAAATCCACTGGCAAATGAACACCTTCCCAGGCCATTGCCGTTGGTCATAGTCTTGCGATGTATTCACCCAGCACCTGCAAAAGCAAACGAGTGGAGTTCATCGTTCCACCTCCGCGGTGGACGTTATTCCTCGGTGTTTCCTCCGGTCCAGTGGACATCATCTCTTTTCGAGATGCATCCTATCCAATTGCTTTGCTTAAGTCAGTATATCTTGAACCGCGGTGTATGTTCTCTCATCTGTGCATTCTTGAATGTCTCCATATGCCACTCAAAGTGTAGCGCTCATTTCTTTTGCAACTTTTCTCTTAACAAAAATGGCTTTTGCACTAATTTGATGAATTGGTTCCGAGGGTGTATTTGGTTCAAACGCGCGCAGAAAACTACTGATATTTGTAAATATAAAACATTCCCATCGGCTCTTAAAATCACGTTTCTTTGATGTGCAAATTGTCACCGGGGATATTAAACGTGTGCAACTCTGTTATAAAAGCACTGCAGGATGAGGGCCTCCCCATGCCATTCGGGTCATGAAGGTTATTTGGCCAAACTTTACCGAACTGGTCAATACGGGTTTTGTAGGGTGGGCAGCATTCGACGTTGGCGTATAGTACAATGTGATGGATTTAACGGCACTGCCCTCATTGTTGAGAACATAGACCCTTGAGCAGCTTACAACATGGTGGTTACCCATCAAAATGCTGTCCTGGCTCAACCCTGCTAGGCTTGTGAGATCGAGTACATTCTGGGGGTGGGGATAAGGGGGCAGTAGCAGTTTTGATTGGGGGTGGGGCTGCCATACCAAAAAAGTGGAAAAGTGGACCACTGCTATGTATTGAAAATGTACAGAATAAGTATTGACTTAACTTATAACTGGCCTGGTAACCTACAGATAGCATTTATCCCTTAAGCTTTTAAAATATTTCAAAATCCAGCTAATCGACTTGAAAAGCATTACTCCATCACTCTTTGCACACAATACATGCCCATGGTCAGGTTCAGCTGTCAGCCCAGTCTAATAATGTTTGGTCGTGCATGTGAAATTGAACTTCGCTCCCTGAGCAAATATGTATATACAGATTGAAAATACACAGCCACCATTTCCAATAATCACAACCATACATTTTTATTATTTACAATCATTTTGAACAATGTTTATATTTTTAAATAGGTTGTGTTTAGAGCAGTAGGATGGATTCATGTCCAATTTGTGGTGCTGGCCACAGCATTATACTGGCTGCCTATATTGGTGCCGTCCATCATGAAATAATTACAATTACCAGTTTGAGCGAGGTTAAAGCTACAAAGCTGTTTGCCTCCCAAGTAGTAGTGACGTCACCACGGCACTTGTGGACACATGCTTTTTCGTCTTAAGATTTTATTGTGAACTTTGTCCTAAACCCCCACAAGCCTGCTATGGCAAAACACCGTATCGATATTAAGAGTCCCAGGTGTATGCCAATTTGTTGGGTTAATGCTTCATTTGTCTGGTTGGAAGATCGCACCAACACTTATGTTAGAAACCTGCATATACAAGGAATATCCTGCTGACATTTAAACCACGCAGCTCAAACTTCCGTCGAATTATAAGCGTTCAATCATGGGCGACACCATTATGAACGGCCTTGTATTGCCAACCCGGGCCGGGCCATCTGAAAGGCCGTATCGTAGCACCGTGACACGGGCAGCATGCTCGCTTGGGTCTTCTCGCCGCTTAGACCTTGGCATTGGCGAGGGCTTCCACCTCCTTGGTGACTTGCTCAGCGCTCAGGTTGTCCAGCAGAACACTTCTCTCTTGGCCATAGGCTGCGGAGCAGAACATGCACGGAACATCACGCGCATGTAAAGACACTTGGGATAACACTTTTGTCACCTTTTCCATTGGTACAACGACGCCGAGCCAGGTCGTCCTGGGTCAGAAGGCACAGGTTCTTTTTTCCCCCCACTGCCAAAGAAAAGTGGCGCCGCTTGCATCATGCCAACTTGAGAAAGTTTAACGGTGAAACGTTAACATTTCTCACGGTAATGCAGACTGACGTCACAATTAAGAGGCCTTTAGCTCCACCCCTTGGACGTGTTTGTCTCGAGAAAATATCAGATGTGTTGTTAGGTCAACGTACCACGATTTGCTTTCCGGGACGACAGAGAAAACCAGTGACAGACCACCCGTACCACGAGAGCCCAGCGTTGGCTCGGCTCAGACGTGCCAGTGGAAAAAGCGTGTCAAAGTCCAGGTTTGGCCGGGATGGGCCCAGCCAAAGTCGGTATGTTGAACTTCTTTCGCGCCGTACGTATCCAACCGTATGAATCGGATGAGGCAATTTGCCGTGGGCAGGGGCAATTGTAACAATTATTCGGAGCCGACAATAATAGGAGGGGGACTGCGATCCACCCCGTGTCACGGTTGAGCCTGCCAGAAATGTGGTAGCTTTCGCCTCTGGAGAAGACCCCTGGTACTGGTAGGAACCTCCTGATTACACCAGCCCACAGGGGATTATTGTGTCCGTCCGTCGTGCAGGGAGGGGCTGGGTGGGGAGGGAGGGGCTGGGTGAGGTGGGGCTGGGTGGGGATGGGGCTGGGTGGGGGGTGGGGCTGGGTGGGGGGGGGGCTGGGTGGGGAGGGGCTGGGTGGGGGGTGGGGTTGGGTGGGGAGGGGCTGGTCACCCCGTGGTGCCCTTATAAAACTCAACGTTTAACCTACTCACGCCGGCTTGTGCCCGCCCTCACAGTCGGGCATATTTGCGGAATACACCACGCCGCCGTTGACCCTGCAGGCCATTGACCGAGCAACCCAACACGTTCCTACCAGCTCCCTCCGCAACAGCAGGAGGAGGAATGTGTTTATTATTTGCGGAGGGCAAGTGCACGTCTTGCGGGGCCCGTACCGTATCGCGCCCAGAGGCGGGCGGGAACGTCGCGGCATTCCCGCACGAGCACGGGGAGGTTGGGATTCTCCGTCTTGAGCGTCACAAAGCGAGCCTCGATGAACTCCCTGCACACGGGGTGGGTGGGGGAGGAGGCACGGCATCGTGATGGCATCGTGATGGCATTGTGATGGCATCTACACGGGCTGCGATGTTAGCGCATTGGGCTTGCTCACTGTGACACTGAACACACAGCACCAGGGCCCAGGACTGGGTTTAGAACATCGTCACTGGCGTTAACTCGGGTCGTCCGCTCCAGTGCTCGGGTACACACGCACACGCCACACAGCCATGCTGGCGTTGACAAGGGTACACACAAGTGCTAGCTCCCACACAAAGTCCACTACTGATACGAGTCGAGGCCTTCTCCCCAATCAGGGGGACACTTTGCTCAAATCTCTCGCCTCCCTCAGCTCCCATCCCCCCCCCCCCACCCCGTGTGTCCCCGTGCGGGCCGCACCTGACCCCGCGGCTCGCCTCTGAGCTCTGGCTCAGGTGCAGACGCAGCTCCCTGAGCGCGGGGGACGCGAATCTGAGACTCGAGCGCGCCGCCATCCTCCTCGTCTCGCCCTCCTCCAAGGGCGAATGCGGCGAGGATCGATCCGGCGGAATGGCGATACGTTCGACATCGATTCTCGATTCACTCGCCGCGCGATGACGTCACACACACATCGCGGCGTGCAACTTTTTTGCGCGGTGACGTCACCACTGCGTTGGGCGCGATGATGTCACCGCGCAACGTTTTGCGGCGTGACGGTGGAGCGATGACGTCACCGCGCAACGTTTAACAGCGTTGACGGTGGTCGCGAGATGACGTCGCCACCTCGCCCCCGCGTGCCAAGTTGCGTTGCGCGATGACGTCACCGCGCAATGTTTACGCGCGCCGCCGTTGCGCGATGACGTCACCACGTCGCTTTGCGTGATGACGTCGTCGCCGCCGCCGTCGGTGACGTCACGCGGTGTTTGGCATTGCCAAGATGGCGTCGGGCGGTCCCAGCGGCAGTGGCGGAGGCAGCGGTGGCACCTCAATGGCGCAAAAGACGTGGGAGATGGCGAACAACATGCAGGATTTACAGAACGTGGACGAGATCTACAAGTACGACAAGAAACAGCAGCAGGAGATCCTCGCGGCCAAGCCCTGGAGCAAAGAGTGAGTGTCGCGGCCCGGCTAGGCGAAGTGGCGCCTCGGATTGTTGGGCCCGCACCCCCCCCCCCCCCCCCGCAAAGAGTGATTTTTGTTTTTTTAAATCGCGTTACCAGCGAATAAAGTTGACCTTTTGTGAATGGTGACTTAACGCGCGTCGGTTTCCCTAAGCGACGCGTGTGTGAGTGCCACCGGATTCGATTTCAGTGCTCCAGACGTCTTGGAGGTGGAGGGGGGTGTTTGTCGTGAGGATGACAGCGTGAGAGCGGTGGGAGGAGATGGAGTGGGATGAAGGGGATGCGTGTGCTTGACTACTCTGTGTGTTGTGTCAGCCAGTCATCTCGAGTCGGTCAACCCATGGCACCTGCTGGCTCTGCCCCGTGACCACCTGTCATCGAGCCTTCGACACTTCACGTGGCCTCAAAGTGCACCTGGCCTGGCACAGGCGCCGTGGTGGCGTCACCGTCACTTAGTGGCGAATGGCGAGTGTTTGTGTTGGTGTATCATGGGGCTAGAGAAGAGATGGGCTGATATACAGAAGGATGTGGAGCTTATTTTACTTGCCGATGACTGGCACTAGAGGTGTCAATATCGGCCTCTGTGGAGGAGGTTCGTGAAGGACGCTACTGAGTTGGACACAGTCGCTCTCCAGCAACAACGGAGGGCAGAGGAGCGACGCTCACAACAACGAGCAGAGCCCCGGGCAGACTAAAACGCAGAAAGTTGGCACATTGGGGAAGCACAGTTGGTGCATCTGCCAGTCATCTCAGTCAACCCATGGGACCTGGGTCTGTTTCCGTGACCTGTCAGTGGGCCTGCGACGCTTCACGTTTTCTCAAAGTGCACCTAGCATGGCACAAGTGTTGTGGTGACGTCACCACCACGTAGTGGTTAACGGCGGTTGTGGTTGGTGTTGTGTGCCTCACTGGGTTGCGTGAGACCGGCGGCGTGAAGTGCGTTAGGAATGGAATTGCTGCTGTTAGAACAAGACGCCGAATGCGTGAGTTTGGCATTTGCCAAAAAGTAAACACTACTACTCGTGTCTTGGCAACAAGACTGTTGAATGGTAAACTATTTGAACAAATTAATTATGGCAAAAAGGTAAAAAAATAATCGGCAACTTTGCGCCCTCCATGACAGAGCTATGAAGAAGGGCCATTTCCCGAAATGTCCCCTCCATATATATTTCATTCTAGGGCAGTGTATTAATTTAATGCGTGTCGTTTGTTTGTGATTTGTGCATAACCACCAATGCAGTTTCACCAACAACTTTTTTGTAAAAGCTGCTGTTCATGTGAGCGACGCTACCGCTACGAATGTGCGATGTTGACGTCGTTAACACCTGCGACGGTGTTGGTGCCGCAGCCACCACTACTTCAAGTGCTGCAAGGTGTCGGCTCTGGCGCTGCTCAAGATGGTGATGCACGCGCGCTCGGGCGGTAACCTGGAGGTGATGGGGCTCATGCTGGGCAAGGTGGACGGAGACACCATGATGGTCATGGACAGTTTCGCGCTGCCCGTGGAGGGCACCGAGACGCGCGTCAACGCGCAGGCAGCCGCCTACGAGTACATGGCCGCCTACATCGAGAACGCCAAGCAGGTTCGTCTCACCATCAAATGCCGTTGAATCAGCTGTGAGCAATACACTGCTGTGTGAAGGTTTTTCCAAGCTATCACCTCCCTTGAATGTCTGCTTGCCCTGGTGTCTCTTGTGAATGTGTGGGTGGTGTGTGCGTATTTTATAGGTGGGCAGGCTAGAAAACGCCATCGGTTGGTACCATAGTCACCCCGGATACGGATGCTGGCTTTCCGGCATTGATGTCAGCACGCAGATGCTGAACCAGCAGTTCCAGGAGCCCTTTGTGGCCGTTGTGGTGAGGATTTGCTATCACTTTCTCTCGGGCTGCCGCAATATCATTTCTCACGATACAATGTTTTGACGGCAACCCTAGCTACCACTACCTCTGGAGAATATTCCCCCGTGGCTCGACTCTTTGCTGTGATTTCTCTAGGCCCTGTGGCCTTTATTATCTCTGTGGTTATTTTCTTGTGGCTTTGCGTCTACAGCTACCTTTTGCTGATGATTCTAGCCTTTGAATCAATACCTCCACTTTTTGTCTCTTCTAGATCGACCCAACGCGCACGATATCCGCAGGGAAAGTGAACCTCGGAGCTTTCCGCACCTACCCAAAAGTGAGTGGCGGTTGGGCTTTGCTAATATTACTTGGGGTGTAATGATACACTCGGGATATAATGATGCACTTATTAACGTTGAATATTAATCTCGCACTTGATAGGTATAATCGTTCATGTACGAATTGATTTAAAAAATGTGTGCATGGTTTACGTAATGAGTTGATGCCACCCCTTCCATTCATTAGAAGCCATAAAAAAAACACATCGACCTGCGATGCTGTTCTGGGCTCTCCCCTTTGGTTGGCTCAACCATACACGATTACCTGGTGCAGCGTGTATCCTTAAGCACTGCGGAGAATAACGTTATCCAGGTGTGGGCCTGCCATGCCAGCCATTATTGATGGCTGGCATGGCAGGCCCCAGCAGTCTGCATGGATATATGGCGGAGCTTTGGTTTTTCTTTTGTGTGGGCTGCAGGGATACAAACCACCGGATGAAGGACCGTCCGAGTACCAGACCATCCCTCTCAACAAAATAGAAGACTTTGGAGTGCACTGCAAACAGTGAGTGTTGTTAATACAGTGCTATTTTAACAGATGCCAGGTGGCACGGTGGTAGAGCGACGGTTGCGAGTTCACAACCTGGTGGGGGTGGGGTTTTGGGTTAACTCGTTTCGTCATTCCTCTGAAGGTCCGTAGAAAGAATGCCACTTTATGGGGAGGGAAGTTGACATTGACTGCCTTGTGCTTAGACTTGGCTGAGGCTTGTGAATGGGAGATGATCAGTGCTTCAATGCTCATTTGAGCAACACCTTACTTGGGTTTTTTGAGATGCCAGAAAAGTGAATTTTTTTCTAGCGTATTGTTTTAGACATGCAGCGACGCGTAGATTCATTGATACGGATATTGCTTACGCTCATGTCTCATGCATGAAAAAAACCGTATATATTTGTTATACAGTGGCTGATGGTGATGATGCATGTTCTTATGCATTTTTAATCGCACACTATCGACGTGTGATATGAAGTCGAGGCGTTGGCCCTGGAGCGTCGTCGCCTGTTATATTGTTTCCCGTTTTAAGACCACAGTTTTATCGCCGAATGTCTTGAGTTTTGATTTATTTCCACAAGGTGGCGCCAATTCACTAGTCTTATACCACTTGGGAATGAAAGAGCATTTAACGAACGCGCACAACACTGTTGCAATTGAAAATATGCGCATAAAGGGCATTTCCCACACACGTCACTAAATCGTGTTACTCACTCGTGATGATTTTAGGAAAATAAAACCTCACTAATGTATGTTTTTGATGATTGCATGTGGTCTATCCAGCGAATGTTGCCATGACTGCATGAATGGCTCCAAATCAATTAATTTCTTCATCTTTGATTGACGAGTTGATATTCCATGAACATTTAACATTTATTTCCAAACTTTAAACAAAAATGAAGTTTGACGACTATGTTTTATCTAAATGTCACCACTGGGATTTGGCCTTTGCTGTACACAATGGCCCAATGTTGTGTTGTACAGTGATGTAGCAACAGGTTCACCAACCTCGACTAATGTGTAACCAATGTCTGAGTCACTGATACAGCATACATGTAATGAGACAAAACAGCACATTTTATTTGGGTCTGCACCTAATTTTACAATTCCATACAATTTTTTCAAATTTTCTTGCTGTGGTTTTCACACCTGATGATGATTGCTTGTGTTGCAATCGAAACGTCGTGAGAATTTTTTTATTTTTATTTTATTACTTCCCTTCTACGTGACTTTACCGAAAGAACCAAGAAGATTAATCCCTGCAGTCACGAAAGCTTTAAATCGAAAAAAAGAAAAAAGAATGTTTGAAAATATTGATTTTTTTATGATAGAATATAGCAATATAATTATATAGACTATAATTCCAGCTGTGATAAAAAAATACGACTTATACTCTGGTGCAACGAATATTGCTCTGTGGCAGAGTGGCTAGGAAAGTTCTGGCCCCTGCTATGTGCACCATAGGTCACTTCAAGGGATCTCAGAAGTCACTGCAGTATCCGCTTCTATGGACCCTTACTCTAACACGAATGGTTCTGCTTGAGATCCGAATATACACGCTGTCTCATGAAATGACACCGACAGCACAAATTGCCGTACAATTATGGGAAAGGACTGAACATTTCAAAAGCATGAAGAAGTTTGATGGATCACTTCAAACCAGGAAACACGTGGGGCTGGCAGGAGTAGTACTCACATGCGATTTTTCATTGTAATTTATCTCCAATGGAAGTCCACTACTTAGCCATACAGCCTGGGCGTGCTCATCAAATCTCTTGGCACTGAACCAAAAGACCGGCTGGAGCATGCGCTCAGCCAAGCACTGGCGTCGTGGCCACTTTGGTGGGTGGGGGGTGGGGTGGTGGGAGGAGGTTCCTCAACCCTATGCCCCTAGCCCAGGATATTCATTACACTATATTGTACGTCCTCCGCCCTGAGTCAAAGGGTCTTTACTTAACTGACATTGCCAATTGACAGCTTGCTAAGATTTGGGGCTGGCGGGGGGCTACTAGGGGTGTGGGCACCCTACATTTGCGTGTGTGCGTGCGTCTGTGTTTCCATGCACGAGCGTGTGTGTTAGTGTGTGCATATGCTGACGTGCGTGTAAGTCTGCGTCTGTGTCTGTGCGAGTGTGTGTGACTGTGGGCAACTGTGTGAGCTCGGGTGTGCGCGTGCTTGCATGCGTGTGTGTGTGTGAGCTTGTGAGCTTGTGTGTGCGTGTGTGTGGCTGCACCCAGCGATCCTTGCTTCCGCCCGGCGCGCTGTGCGGCCCGTGGGACGTGTAGAAGAATGCCGGGCCATGACTTTAGTGCTACCGGTGCGTGTGTGGGTGCGTGTGTTTTGTGTGCGTGTGCATTGCATGCTTGTGCGTGTGCATCCAATGGGATGCGTGTGTGTGTCTACCCATGTGTACATATGTGTGTATCGGTGACGTAGTGGAAAGCACGCTGTGCTAAAAACCCAAACGACCATGAGCTCGATTCCCATCCATGGTTAAAATGTCCCCTTAGGTCAACTCGGCCTTAAATTAGTACCTGATACGGTGTTTAAACATGAGCACTGGGCAGGCTAAGGGTGCCGGGCTCTGGTGCTGGCCGCATCTCCGTCACCTTGTGCATCGTGCCTCTCGTAATGTGTGTTTGCTAACAGTGCTCTCATGCCAACAGTCTGTAAACGGCTGTATGGAAGACCTCTGTACGAGTATGAGCATGTATATGTGTGTATTGGTGTATGAGCACAGGATTATTTGCTTGTGAATGTGCACAATTGTGTGGGGAGTGGGAGTGCAGCGGTTAGCGGGCTGCGCTACGAACCCAGCGACACGAGATCGATTCCTGCTCACGGCCAACACCAGTGATGATTATCTGAACCGGTCCTGGGCCTCCCCTAGGTCGACCCGGCCTCAAATGAGTACCTGGTGTGATGCATAAATATCACCACTTGGGCGTGGTGCTGACCACCCACCCACTCATGTGCCGTGCCGGCCTTTATAGGTGCTTGCTAACAGCACTTGCCCCAATGGTCTGTTAAGCCTATATGGGGGATCTTTGTCTTTGTTTACACAAGTGTGTAAACGAGTGCTGGTTTGCACGTGCATGCGTGGGTGCCTATTTACGGTAATCCAATATGCCATAGGCATTTTGAAATATAGTACAGTAGTTGTGAACGTCAAGTATATCCCTAATTGATTTTAAGAACTCTTGACATATTTAACACACTTTGACATTATGTAACAATATCTCGGCTTTTGTTACCCCTAAATTGTCTGTAAAATTACACTGCCTCCCCGCACACACACGTGCCGTTGATGTGGAGCCGTTCTCACTCTTTCGGCCACGTGCGAGCTCACCTACACACGCACGAGCGGTTGCATCGTGTGCGCGTCCGTCCGTACACGCGATTGGATGGCGGATGTCACCGGTATAGCAATCAAGGGTGGTGTGTAGATGGTGCAACTGCACAACTTCTCCAGGGTCCATGGGTCAGACGGGGGGGGGGGGGGGGTAGATGCAGGCGCCGGGATACAAAGAGGGGTGGGGGGGGAGAATTTGGGCAGAGCCTCTCCCCATTTAATTCGTTGCACCAAGGCCCATGCCAACCACATTATGCCGCTGGCGGTGGTTGCGGGCGTGCGGATGCATGGATCTATGGTATGCGCACTTAATGTGCGTGAGAGCTTTCGACCCCATGCCACCGAATCTGGAAGTGAGTTGCTGTAAATTGATCACGGCGTCTCTCCACGTGTTTCCTGAAACATTTGAGACTCAATTCAACCTTCAATTGCATTTTTTTGTTATCCACCCGCACTCCCCCATTGTAAATGAAGCTGCAAAACGATCAGTTGACCGGATCACTGTAAAAGTTTTTTTGTATTTGCCCGAACCTTTCAACAAATTTGAAAATAATAAGAAAGTGAGCCTATACGCTTTGTTTAATTTTCACTGTGAAGTATACTCAAGTATATTGACTGGTTTTTTTTATTTGACTGTCAGAAAAATCGAGAAAATAACTGTTTCCTTTCAAGCCACGCACACAGACACGCAAATACGCAGCTGCAGTAATACATGGGGTATTGCTGTGCTACAACGTTATGTGTCACTGTTCCCGCCCTCCTGTGGTTGTACATGTACAGCCCTTTTTTTCCCATTCTCTGCTGGATGAGGGCCTCCTCATGCATGCAGTGCTCGTCACGAGGGTTATCTGGCTATACTTTATCACCCTGGTCAGTGGTGTGAGTTTAAGGCAAGGAGCATTGACATGCAGTTCGCAACAAATGATGATTCTGCACTTCCGTCTGCTGCCCACAACACACACCTTATAGCACCTGTTGTATACATGGTGGGCACACATCCAAGCACTATCCAACTCACCTTAGCTTCCGAGAGCTGATGGATGATATTAGGTGCCATTGTGAGTGATTCCGTCATGCTGTCTTGCTAATAGCTGAGCGTTTAGCAGCAAAGACATGAGAGTAGTAGTAGTAGCAGCAGCAGGGCTCACTTTTTGGCTACTGCCAAACTCTTAAGACTTCACTTGCCTCAAGGCAACGTTACCCGGTAGCCACTAACATTCTTGGCTGTTGTGTTTCATTTGATTTTGTGTTTTGTTGTTCCAAGTCAATTACATTTAATGGCATGCTTAGGTTTTCTAATGTTGTAAGTCACATGTTTGCCGGGGGAGAAAAAATATCTAACTTGCCACTTCTGATTGTGAATGACGGTGACTGCGCCCGAGCTAATGACAAGCAGCTCTTGAACTCGGTCCCACCTCACAGTCGTCGACTCCATTCCACTGAACTGCATTTAAAATTAATGTTTTGTGCTTTTTGTTATTGTTCGTTTACGGTGCCGAGAAATTGAATTTCTACGTAGTTGACGTCGTATATACGAGTCCATACGTCGGTCATTTCTTGCTCAAATGAGCATTGAGGCAGTGCTCATTTCCTGTTTACAGCCCAGACCCGGTAGTGGAAATTACACATTCCTATGGTGAAGGTGAGTCCTTTCATAATACAACCACTGTTGAAATACCTCCATGAAGGGGTATTAATTTTATCGACCCCGGAGGGATGACGGGCCGAGTTAACCCCCAACCAGGATTTGAACTCCCAACCCTGCCGATTGCGAGCCACGTGGGTGCAATGCGGGCGTGCTGTGGTGCACGGTGCGTGTAGCACGTAGGTGACAAACTGGCTCGCCCCGACATGCTGTCTGCATCGCAGGTACTACGCCCTGGAAGTGACGTATTTCAAGTCGTCGCTCGACAGGAAGCTGCTGGAGCTCTTGTGGAACAAGTACTGGGTCAACACTCTGAGCTCGTCCAGCCTCCTCACGGTAATACGCAGCGGCAGCGGCGCGTGCCTGTGCAATCTGCCGCTTGACATGCGGTTGTTTGCTTTCTGTCTGATGTGTTTTTCATTTTACACCGAGTTCCGTGATGTTGTGTTATTTGGTTTGCGGCACAACCCGAAAACGCATCGTGGCGTGTGCAGGCCACTGGATGGATTGTCACGTGGCAGGAGAATTAAGGAGACCCTCGTCCAGCAGTGGATTGATGATAGTTGATGATAAGGATTAGAATAATGGCGGCACTGTGGAGCCAATAATTTTCGAGGTTCGACTCCTACCCAGGAAACGGTGGTCAGCCATAAATCCCTGCAAAACTGGGGCTGGCAGATGCAATTATCCAACACTGCCCCACTCCGCCAATTCATAGACCACGTATCACACTGCCACGCTGCCCGCATCGCTGATTCACAGACCATGCATTACATGATCTCACGCAGCCCGGGTCACCAATTCACAACCCACGCATCTCACAATCCCATGCTACCTATGTCGTCGATTCACAGACCATGCATCACATAATCCCACGCTGCCCGCACCGCTGATTCACGGGCAACATTACCAACATCCACCAAGCATACACGGAGACTATCGAATGGCTTCACCTCGCTCTACACGTATAATGTTAAGTTGACATTGCCATACAAAAAAGAAGACTTGGGCCACCACGTAGTGTGGCCTCTAATCCAGGCAGATGCTCAGCATTTGTGATGATCATTAATGCGAGAAATCACTTTGCAATGCACAAAGTGAAAAGCGCCGGTAAGAGATGGTGCACACAACATAGGGCACCAATTATCAGGCCTGGCCCAAAGCCATAAATTAATTTTCATGGACGCATGTTTTGAGGCTTGCGTAAGGATGCACACAGATGGGGTGCAGAAGCTTCAAGACCTACAGGGGTCTCTGACTGAACCCGGGGGGCACGTTCCACTTTGCCCTTAAGCTTCAAGCACGTGCCCTGCCAAACTGATAGAGGGGAGGACACAGTGCTCTGTGAATGGAAAATTTCAAAGCACCACCTCTTTGGACCCCCCCCTGGGACAGCAGATGCAGAGGCATTGGGCAAGAGGCTACGGCTTCAAAAAGTCAGCGTTTTGACAAGAAAGGGCTCTCGCCTTTTCCTGTGACGCCGCCTCTACGCAGAGGTATGTCCAGGATCAAGCATGAAAAGGCAGAAGCCTTGCTGGTGCCAGTGTGATGGTGGAGGAGGTCTCGTATCGGCACTACTGGGTATATTATGTGTCCTCGACATTCACGGCCTCTGTCAGCGTCCCGCTCTCAAAATGGAGGGGTGAGGGAGGGGGGTGGAAAAATCAAACGCTCCTCCGCGTAAAGCGAGTTCCTGTGTGCGTTTGAGCTTGTGGCCAAAGTTGGGAGCTTAATTGTACGTGTGATTGTTACTTGCGCAAATGTTTTCGATTGTAAGCGCTTGCGCGGTTGCAGTTGCGTGTGTGATTGTGATTGTTAGACGCACGCTTGTGGGAACGGGCGCACGGTCGCGTGTCCGTGCGACGCTGAGCGTGCGTGGAAGGCCCCCCCTGTACTTGCTCAGTGTGTGGTTACCGTCATGGGTCGCCGCTCTTTTAGACGTTACTTGATATTGCGTGTAACTCCGTAACATGGGTGCTAGGCCGGTGTAGCACACACAAACTCCGCACCACACACACACACACTCCGTGCTACACACAACACCACACACACACGCTGCACAAAACACACACACACTACACTTACACACATTGCATAATGCAAACTGCACAACACAGCGGCACAGCAAAACAAGGACATGCAAAGACCCCCCATATAGTCTTTAACAGACTGTTGGGGCAAGTGCTGTTAGCGAGCACTTATGAAGGCCAGCACGGCACACGAGGGGGTTGGTGGCCACCACCACACCCGATCGCTTTTGCCTCCCTAGTGGCAATGTTTACACCGCAACAGGTACTCATTTTGAGGCTGAGTCGACCTAGGGGAGGCCCAGGACCGGTTCAGATAATTGTCACTTCTGTTGGCCACGAGCGGGAATCGAACTCTGGTCGCTAGGTTTTTAGTCCAGCGCACTAGCTGTACTGTACATTTAAATAAAATTTCACTTGTCATTAACTGCCATTCAAACTGAAATGCCGAGACCAGGGGTGGGCAACCTACGGCTCCGGAGCCGCATGCGGCTCTTTAAGCACTGCTTCGTGACGTTGTTTATTAATGACCACTGTCTGGTATTCACATTGTATTGCGGCTCCTTGACATATTGAGTTAAATTTTTTTTACCAAATTGAAAACAAATTGCTCTTCTTGTAAATTTGGTTTGCCGACCCCTGACCTCGGGGGAGCAAACACCCTACTTTGGACTGCATTAATTCCCCAAAGTAGTAAGTAGTGCAAACCACCATCGAAAGTATGGTAACGATAATCTGTGTCATCACATTATGCGTATTTGTTTATATTTTCAGCAGAGGGACTATGAGGGTCTTCTTAGAGACGCTTGTGTGAGGGGTCGCGACCCCGAGCGCATGGCGTGACGGAGTTACACGTCTGCTCCGTGACCCGGCACCCTCTGCTCAGTGCCTCCTCCTCCGTGTCACGGCTCAGTCTCATAGCCCACCTAGCTTGACACGGATATGTGAATTTGCACGTGTATGTATGTATGTGTGTTGGCGAAAGAGATACGGCGGGGGGGGGGGGGGGCGGTGGGGAGCGTGCCAGTACTAGTTCAGATGTCACTCACCATGAGTGATGTTAGCTGGGTTCTGAGCGCAAGTGCTAGCCAAATGTAAGCATTACCAAATCACAGTTTGCTTATTTCGGCAACAAAGTGACAGCCTCTCTAGCAGTGGCCACGTGACTTGGAGGTCAGAACGCTGAGCTGGCACCACTGAGTTTTCGATGTTGGAACCGGCTGGAGTTGATGGTTTCATCCCAAACACCGTCGCAAAGCATCGTGGGGAAGTACGGTCAAACGTTCCCCCGTTAGCAGCGCATTATCCAGCAGTAGATTAAGAATGGGCTGTGCAGCATACACATATCCACATTTTTAAATCATTAGTGCCGCACGCCCTCCATCACTACCGCTCCCAGTAGCCCAAGCCTTGCCCAACCCCACCTTCCCCCCCCCTCCACAGACCGCCACAGCATCTTCCACCCCCCCCCCAACCCACCGCACCCCTCCCGGCAGCCCCCCTCTGCCCACGTCCGGGCCTTGACGTGTGCCGGCATTGGCGAGCGTGACTGAGTGGCGGTGTTAGTATGCGGTGTTGCTGTGCGGTGCTGCACCTCCCGAGCCCCTGCGCGTCCCGGGCGAACGCTGGCGTCGGTCGGGTGGCAGAGCGGAGCGTGACGGAGCCTCGTATCCCCGGGCTCCCCTCCACCCCCCCGGTATTGTTTTTCCGCCGACCGCTAATGAAGATGAATAACTCAAACGAGCCCTCCGGCGTTGGCACTTAGCCCCCGCTGTGCCCTGCCTCGGCCTCGCTGCCACGTGGGGACACGAGAAGAGCAATGGGAGGAGGAGGAGGGTGAAGAGGGTGGAGTGCTCGGAGTTTGGTGCGGCAGAGGTGGAGAGAGGGAGTGAGGAGAGTACTTGAATTGTGGAAATTTGGATATGGAAGGTAATTATGGTAATGAAGGTGGCAGCCAAGGATTATTATTTCTAAACCGCTTGGGTAATATATTTGGCAAAAAACTTACTATTTATTAATCGGCTAGCCAATGGGTATTAAGTGTAGCTCATGGTGTGAGACTTGGAATACCACTTGCATCTGGTTAAATCATGGGACATCACTTAAATCTTAGCAAACCACTTGCGCACCTCGTTACTGCGAGACCGCTTAAATTGTTTAATCTTAACGAACTTACCATATATACGGATTCTGTTGGAAAATGTAGGTTGTGCGATTACTTGAGATAGTCTTGTGCTAGTTAACTGTTACATTGAAAGATCGCTTGTGAATACCATTCCCTGCACCTTTCCTGGTTTGCAGATATTAATATTTAAAGTACTGAAGTGCACTATGAAACATTTTCCTGCTTTTTCATTTGTCATTTTTGGCAATTGTATCCTGATTGTGCTATCGATGTCTGTGAACGATTTTTTTTGTAGGAGCATTGCAACTCTCCGTGTTACGGAATGTTCCACAGAAGCGGATATCGTAGAATTTATTTTGAGATCCCCTTCAAGTAACCTCTCTGGTCCACGCATTCGGGAGGGCAGCACTCTCCCCACCCACTGATAGTAATCTTTGTCACGTAACAGTCAAACTGCTACTTTTAATTCTCAGAACTAGAATATAGATACAACTAGCTGCACACGAAATTTAATGTGGTGGGATTTTTGTTGTTGTTATTGTGCAGCGATCGGTGACCGAGCTGTGACTCAACATCTTGCCACCTTGGAGAACCTTGTGTAATCGTGAACACTTGCCCGGATTTTAAACCCAGGATATCTGCAGTGCCAGCTCGGTGCACCGACCTCCTGATCCTCCTGGCCACCTCGTGTTAACGATCACAGTGTCGTAGCCACGTTCCGCAAGTTCACTCGGCAGGGCCGCCTTTCCGCAACGAAGGTTGGGGTCTCAGTGGCCGGACACCCTGAGCGCTCGCCGACTCGATTTCGTGTTTTTCTAAGCGAGGGGTTGCAGACCTGTGGCACGCCAAGCCTCTTCCTGTGGCTCGCCGATCACCGCCTGTGGCGGGCGCCACTGGCGCACCACTCGATTTCGGCGTTAGGTTGAACCAATTTAATGCAACCTCCCCGTAGCACACGTGTACTCGGGGCATACACACATGCACACACATGCACACACACGCAGGCTCCAGCAGGCTCCGCACGGCCTCTCTGGGCTGCATTCAGCTTGCATTTATTTCCTCCTTGAGAGAAACCCCAAAAGCCACCCTCGCCTTGATGGGTTACGTCCTGTTAAGTGCTTTAATCTGCACGCTACTTTCACTTCTGCTTCCGCTGTGTTTGAGCTTATTTGCTGTGTTCCCGGTGTGCGTGAGGTTATGTATTGTATTCCCGAGCGGTGTTTGATGGGGATTATTTCTTTTTTTCTTCCCTTTGCTGAAGTTCCTACAGCTTTGCTTCTGCTGCGTTTGATGCTGCGTGTTTCTAGTCTGGCCTATGACCAAATCATCCGGAATGTGCCCGATGCCATCAGATCACGGAAGCTACGCAGAGACTGAACCTCGATAGCACTTGGGCAGGCGACCAGCGTAGAAACAAATGGATGATTTAGGGCCACTGCTGGGCTCCGCTCTCAGCAGAGGGCAGTGCAGCAAAAACAATTGTTGTACTGTATTGTGCGGCAGCGTCTATGGTCCCTGCCTTCACTGGCCCTTATTCGCCAACATGTGGAAGTATAGTCAAACTACCCACCCGACCTGCATGGTGTATGGAGGTCCTCATTCGGCAGTGCTGACGGCCGTGCATTTTGTTTGTGGCGTGATTTTTTTTTCAATACAGATTTGATGGCGTGCCACATTGGCGAGTTAACTACCTCGCTTGATATGCAGGAGGTCGTGGGTTCGATCCCATCCCTGACGCTTGCATATTCGGAGTTTGCATGCTCTCCTCCGTGGTCACGTGGATTTTTCTCAGGGTCCTCTGGTTTTCCCCTCCACATTTAGAAACAAGCGTTTTGAGTATTTGGCTGCTATAAATTTCCATGTGAAAAGCCACTTCGTTGTGCTTTCATTTGTGGCCCAGGTCGCTTCTGAAAAAGAGCTGTATAGCTCAGTGGGACTTACCTGGCAAAATAAAAAAAATTGTTTAGTTTTTAGTCTATATGTCTCTGGTTCTGTGTTTTATCTCTCTCAAATTTAGCATTCTCAGGAAGAACGTAATCAACCAGGTAGGGCGTTGACTGTTATGTTATCCGACTCTCTGTTGTATTACATTACATTTCTAAGTATACTAGATTTGTGTTTCTATTTCATTTATGCCTGATGATGATTGCTTGTGTTGCAATCGAAACGTCGTATGCTAGTATTTAATTTATTATTTTCTCTTTATACGTGACTTTACCGAAAGAACCAAAGAGTAATTCCTGCAGTCACGAAAGCTCCAAATTAAGTATGAAAGCTCAAAATTAAGTATTTAGTTTGATTGGTTGTGGATGTTATGCAGCCCCTTGTTTGTACCCGGCTTTGTCATAGTCGTCGTCTGTGCAGCCTGACGGTGGCGCGTGTCTCATTGGGGTGCCCCGTGTGCAGAACGCCGACTACACGACGGGACAGATATTCGACCTCTCTGAGAAGCTGGAGCAGTCCGAAGCGCAGCTGGGCCGGGGCAGCTTCTTGCTGGGCATCGACGGGCCGGAGCGCAAGCCCGAGGACAAGCTCACCAAGGCGACGCGCGACAGGTGACCCGGGGGTCGCCTGGGGGTCGCCCCGGATGCCCTCCGTCCGTCCGCACACGCGGCGGTCCCAGGGACGTGGCAACCTACGTCGCAGACCATTATTCGGATTATAAGACCTACCGGAAAGCAAGACGCACCCCACACTTTCTGGAAGTCGCAGGAAACGAGGGTGTTCCAATGTAAAAAAAATATATAGAGAATACGGTAATGTGTAGATGCAATAAAGTTGTTGAATTTGCCAGGGTATCTATAAAGCTGTTCAAAATATTGGTTTACACGGCCACCAAATTGTAACCCCACACTTTCTGGAAGTCACAGGAAACGAGGGTGTTGCAATGTAAAAAAATAGAGAATACGGTAATGTGTAGTAGCAATAAAGTTGATTTTGCCAGGGTATCTATAAAGCTGTTCAAAATATTGGTTTACACGGCCACCGGATTGTAAGACGCACCCAAAACTTTTACTTTTAAATCCCATAAAAGTAATACAATTGTGTGCATCTTGTAATACGGGGGAAGAATATGATGTTTCCACTTGCCTACTTGTACACGACTGCCACTACAGTCCCATTATGTTCATTGACCCTGGATCACGTGTGTGTGTGTGTGTCTCCACAGCTGCAAGACGACAATCGAGGTGATCCACGGACTGATGTCTCAAGTAATCAAAGACAAACTCTTCAATCAGATCACGCCCACGAGCTAGACCACCGACCGCCAGCGAAAGCTGGCAAGATCAAACCAACGCGCGATTTTTGTTATTTACTGCGTGGCATATGACGTTAGTTAACCCCCCCCCCCCGCCGCCCCCCGTGTCCTCTCAAGCAATGGGCAAAGGAAATTGGTAACGGGAACGTTGCAAATGTTTTTGTTGTTCATGCAGCATTTCTGTAATGTATTCTACAGCGAAGTGTTTATCCTGCGATTAAATGCTGATTTGGACAAACTCGAGTAAAAACCGCCTTTCGAGAAACCTGTTTGTTGATGACTGAATGCAATGTAATACGACGCAATGCAATTGTTCATCGCCGCCTGCGCGTTGTGCTTTTAACAATGCTGTACATGAAAACTGCTGGCAATGCCACGCGATGGTGTTCGCCATCGTTAAAGATGCTGCATAAGCAGTTTCCAAGTAGAGGAGTATAATTGAGGCTGCATTTAAAATATAAAAAAACTGATTTTAATGCGCACTTTTTGGCTCGTTTGCATTACGTTATATATGTTACTTCAGGCGCCCAAAGGGCTTAACCTTATGCCATTTGACATATTTGGCAGGAAACAGCGGAAGTGATGTCATTATGGAATGACCTGAAAGAATCTGTTTTTGGATCATACGAAATTTGGTATTCCAACGCGATTTTCAGATTTTTTTTTGCAGTTTAATTTGAAAATCGTGAGCACATGCGTAGGAAACGCATACGTGCGTGCCTGCACGCTTACTAACACGCGTCTTCAGTACTTATTATACATAAACACTCATTATGACAATTATAATTATACGTGAGATGTACGAATATTCACCCATAAAAGCCACACGGAGTACAAAGATTTTGGGGGGGGGGGAGAGGAAAACTCATTCGGGATAGGAGAAGAACTTGAAAACTCCATGCAGAATTGTGCCCGAGTCAGGAATGGAGGGCAGCCAAAAGGTTTTAAAAACAAGTACATAGTAAAAAAAAAAGTTGCACCAACTTAATTCTCTCTACTCTTTTTGACACCTCATTTATGTGTGTTCTGCACCATAAACAGTACTTGCAATGTAATAGAAATGCTGGCATTGACGTTTGCAGTCGGCGAGGTTTTTTTGGCGCACAAAAAAGGAAAACGCAATAAGCTATCGGTGCTCGCGCTTTTAATATCCCGTTGTCAAAACTATTCGGTCGCCCCGTCTTTTGAAAACATTTCCATAATTCCTTCCATCGCGCGCGCACACACGCGCAAGCTCGCACACGAACACACGCGCGGTGTACAAATAAACACGCAAACGTCCGTGCGCACACGCTCCTAGAGCTGTGTGTGTGTTGTACACAGCGCAGGGCGGCTCCTAATATCCTGCGGTTTGCATAACCCTTGGTTATCGACACAAAAACGTGATATCTGGGCAGTAGCCGTGTTTATTTAAGTCCTCGTAAATCAACTCCATGTACGTTCTCGCATATTTGGGATCCCAGCAGCAGAGGCGGTGATTCGAGTGGGTTCCCCTTCACTCTGAATTTCCTCCTCGACCTCTTCGACAGTCGCACCGCTTGCCACCGCTTTGCCGCCACCACTCCATCACCACCCCAACACCTCACCACCACACCACTCCATCACCACACCACTTCACCACTTCACTCTTGCCGACGTCGCGTGCCGAAAGTGTGGCGACTGCCGAGCGTTTATTCACGCGCATCTCAATAGTGTTTATGTTTCTGATGAAGCTCCACTGTGGCGTTTGAATCTCTCCAAGTGTGACACGCTAATAAGTTCATCCCACTTCATCATCATCTCAATTCATACTCTGGTTTTTTCGGTAAAGTCACGGAGGTAAAAAAAAACAATAAATGAATTTGACTGTAACGGTTCCACCTGAAGACGGAAGCTTGTGTTGCCTCCGAAACGTCTTGATTTAATTTAGTTTTTTCATTTATTTATTTTTCACCTACGTGACTTTACCGAAAAAAACAGTATGAATCCTTGCAGTCACGAAAACGTCAAATGTAGAAGACATCTCAATTCACTTGGGTGCACGACTCGCACAGTAACCAACTTGAACACGGACAGAATCAGTATTGGTCGTATACGTATGTTCTGCACTTCTTTTGCACGGCTGATGTAGATGCAGAGCAACAACTACAAATTTACATTCACTTGGGCAAGCCAGACAACCACGTCAGGAGCAGCGTATCGCTGTGATGTCTCCTTCGTATTTGTGGTTCGGGCATTGCGTCCGTTGTACATTTGTTACGGTCTGTTCTGGATGACCAGAGTCGCACACTGGAGATTTTTTAATTTTCCATTTGTGCGTCGGGTATCCGCATGTACTGCCATGGTTTGTGGTTGGTATAGATATTGCATTCAGTTGCCAATGAGCAGTTGGCTTCAGTGCTCTTGTTTTACATGTTCAGGGTTCATATTCTTGGTTCTTTCGGTAAAGTCACGTAGATAGAATTTTTTAAAAATAAAAGCAAAAAAAACCATGACGTTTCGATCGCAATACAATTTTCAATGTTATTGAAAAAATATATCACGTGAAAAATGTTGCGAGAATCTCATACACATTAGTCATGGGTTAAATAAATTAATTTTTAGTCTTGGTTCTTTCGGTAAAGTTACATCAATAGAAACAAAAATAAAAATTAACTTTTCTCTCCGCCTGATGAAGACCGCGATCGAAACGTCGTGGGTTTTTTGCTTTTTTTTTATTACATTTTATTTTAATTTTCTATCTACGTGACTTTACCGAAAGAACCAAGAATATGAATTCCTACAGTCACGAAAGTTTTAAGTCAAAATGTTCAGGGTTATGCTAAGAAAAGAAAGAGAAAAAAAACCCTCAACGTCTGCTCACATCGCGAGATTACTAATCGTGCGATTACGAAAGAAACATTCACAGACTGTTGTTCTCCAGCAGTAGTTTGTGTAGTTTTAAAGGAATTGGGCGAATTAACATCAACATTCTCCAGGAGCCTCTGCGTGCAGTCTTGTTTTGCATCCACAACCCCCCTGCGTGTAATTTGGGCCACATGTTGACAACCTCCCTGTCCTCCGGGACCACCGAGGCCCACGTTTCCACCTTCGACGACTAATCACCGCGTGTTTGTAATGTTAAGCGGGAGGGGGGGGGGGACCCTCCCGTGTGCACCGCGCACGTGTACATACGAACGGTTGACTTGCTTTAACATGCGAAGGGCCGCGTGATTCAGATCGATTGGAGAAGTTTGGCCGACGAGGAAAGCCGCCGTTCCGGCAGTGGCGCCCCAAGGGGCTGGCTTTGGCTGTTGAAATCTGGGCAACTTCAGGCCCAAACGGTTTTAAAACTGCAGACCTCCGTGCCTCCCCACGGCTCCCTTGACTTTGAATGACTTCCAATCAGCTAATGGAGAAATATGGTGGGTCCCGTTATGAGTCGTGCATTTCCCTTGGCAAGTCTATACAACCCGTGCACTATATACTGTTTTTGTAAAATATTAATGCAATACCATTGGAACCTCCTTTGCCAGTAGCAAAATATGATAATTGGTTTTTTACCCTTTTATCTGGCAACAAAACTGATAATTTGTTTTACAAGGAGTCATGTTTGCATTGACCACAATACCTGCGGTCGGAATGCAAACAAAAAACACAACTCTGATAATGTATGCACTGTCCTTGAAATTGATTGGTCCACACCCGAGACAGATTTTCTTAGAGCCTAGTCTCACATGGTGTTGGACCAGATGACACCTTGAGGCTGCAATAGCTCGCTCACGCTACTGTTGGCGGAAAGGCCTCTACTGCGGCGAGCTTCGAGGGAGGAGTCCTCGACTCTTGCGGGTATCTTGGCCTCCTCTTCCACGATGGGGGTCAGACCGTCTTGGAAGAGGTGTGAATACATGCACTTGACCCCCAACAACAACAACCGCCATTCACCACTAAGTGGCGGTGACGTCACCACGGGGCTTGTGCCAGGCTATGTGCACCTTAAGGCCACGTGAAGTGTCGAATGGGATAGACCCAGATGACACGGGTCGACTGACTGAGATGACTGGCCGATGCACCACCTGTGCCCCCTGCTGTGCCAACTTGCAGTGTTTTACCCCCTCCATACATACCACAGGCAAGTTGGCGATCGACTTCACGGGCTGTATACCAAATTGTCCTCCTGGTTTGGCAGAGCCGTGCGGGACAAGGGGTGATTTAAGAAACGGGGAAATCGAATCCAGCGGCAAACTTCTGGTTCGAGGAGCATAAACCATCACGCGAACTTCGGTCATCCTCGCAGTAGCGGCTTTTGGATAACCATCGGACAAAGACGGTCAACGGATCACGCGTTTCCAGGCACGCTTCTGCGGCCGTCTGGAACGCTCTGCCGGTATTGGGAAGCCGCTGAGAGCTATGCACTTTTAAACCATCGAGATTGAAACTAAATAATTTAGAACTGCTGTTGTTTATTTAGTTGTCCTTCCCCCGCACCTCCGATTAGCACGGTTGGCTAGGTAGGGTGCGAAAGAAGTTCAACATGCCAATGAATCCGGTGTGCTGACCAGTAACCTACCCACGGCAGCGTCGGCGTGTACGCGCGCTCTATAAATGCATCGCGCAAGTAGAGGATACGTTTTAATGGGGCTTAGAAGTCATTGAAAATCTCGGGGTCGTAAGGGCCACCGTAGGCCTTGGTTGTAACTCGCAATTAATGAATGGGCTTGCCAAGTCTCCGTTTGGGGAGCGAAGCTCTGAATTGTTCCCACGTATTCCTCTCAAATGCCCGAGTGTGCGTTTATCCCGCGACGCCGAGCGTTCCCAACTCTCACGGCACCGCCCACGCACGCCCCCACTGAAGTAAGTCACTGGCCACATTCCGCCGTCATCGAAGCTGTGAAATGACGAGGAGAAATCCCCCATCATATCCATAGCAGAAAACAAAAAAAATAGTGCAGGCTGGAACATCACACGTGTTAAACAACACGCGCATCGACACGTGTACAAAAAAAGTGGACTCGGCCTTTGTGCGTTGCGCAAAAGCAATTTTGTAAACACGTGTTGTTTGAAATCGTGGAGTTTTCCAGCCTGCGCTATTTTTGGTTTATGGCAGGGTTTCCTAAACTCTAGACCTCGCCACCACTCCGCCACGCGACGTCTTGCTGCGTTTACAAAATCACAAACTCGTTCCACGCTGCACGCGCCCGATCATTGTTAAACACGTCCCACGTGACGCGCTAAGCAATGAACGTTGCTTGCGTCACGTGGGACACGTGTGCGCGCGCACGCACATGCACAATGAGATTTCTATCTTAATTTAAATAGGCTCTTAAATTATGCCCAGTTGAAATGTTACATTTTAATAGTTGGACTATTCATTCGTGGCTAGCCGCGTGAGGTTCACCTGCGGAATGGCCGATATCGATGATTGGACCGCGCTGAGTTAAAGAAAACCATTTTTACGAATGAGCCTCGGCCTTCGCATTCAACTCCCCATTCATCACCTCCACGGCGTTCAGGGTGGAGGGGGAAACGTGGTTCCTTGAGCCAATCGGGCCAACACATGGCTTATCGGTACCATCCAGGGTGAGATAAGCCAACAATGATTATCTGGAAGCATTTTATCTCTAAATCGCAAATATATTTGATAGAAAGGTCACCGTGGTAGCTTTGAGGGTTTTAAAAAGCGAATTTCCGTAATAA